CCTCTTCTTTCACCCCCCCCCCAACTAGGCCTGGACCTCCTTTTATACCTCAAGGGGTTACCACATGGGCCCAAAAGCCTATATAGGGGTGAAAGAGTACATTCTTTGCATTAAATGCATGTCTTGTTGCTTGACTTGGAAGCCATACACAAAGCTCCGTCGTATGGGGCCCATCAAATCGCGCCGGCTGACACAGGGGGATGCTCGTGTCATTCCTCATTTAATAGGTGAAGACTTCTGGGTTCTCTTCACACCGGGAAATGGGAACCCTGCTTGACTAGAGCGGATGAACCGGCTCTGGCTGGGAGGAGAGGCTAAAAGCCTCTCATCATTACGACGTGACGGGGCAAGGCGGCTGCATGCCGCCTAACGCCCGTCAATCATTTGATTGGTCAGGCGCGCTGCACGCCGCATTAAATGCGGTGTGGCACGCTCGTTCGGTCCGCTTTAAATGCTGTTAGGTGGGCGCTTGTTGGTATTTCTTACGACCACAGATAAATCCGCAAGCGCATGGAATACCGTTGTAGCACTTCACCTTTGGGTGACCCCAAAGAGATATCGAACTCAGGGAACGTGTGTAATCTACCTAAGGCTAAGACTATCCAGGGACAACAACTAATGGTAAGCTAGCTAGGCTAGAGAGCAATTTCTAAGTGTTTTATTTATCAAAGCTAACCTGAAGATAATTTCCTATCTATTGCTTCGGGCACCGACCTCTGCTGGTCTGCCAGCGTGGTTCCGGCTATAGCTCTATGATGTACCCGAACGTGGAGGATTACTACGATGGGATTCAGGGCTGTCACCACCTGCCATCTACCTCTGACAAATACGTGGGATACACAACAAACAAAGGTAATCTCAAACCTAGACACCACGTCTAAGTTATTAATTACTACTCTAATACTTGCGTAGGAACTTCCTTCTTTATCCAGAGTCCTAGTACTAGAGCACTTAGTATGAATACTAAACAATGAACCCGTAAAGATTGAAATATATCTCGCTTAGACTAAGTAATTAAATAACATAAGAAAGGATCACGAATGCTTACTTTATAGAAGAAGTTCTCCGAACCCAGAGCAGAGTGTACCGACAGCTCCGGTACTCCTCCAGAATTCCTCCTAGAAAGCTACACTCATCGAGGTAGAAGTCGGAGAGAGCGCCAAACTTCCGGGCACCCCTCCAGAGCTTCTCCTCACTCTCTACCTATTTCTAATGTACAAAAAATACAATAGAGTCTCTTGTAATTCAGCTCAAAGTTGTGTGTTGTGAATAAATGAGAGGAGCTCTATTTATAGCCTCCACATGACGGTTACAGCTATGGGAAATGACCAATCTACCCTCCAACCGTCATTGGGATGTAATCAGGGCCGTCCATGTAAAATATGGCGATCAATGGCCTCTAAATGGGTTCAGCCGAACCCGGGACAGCTCCTTTCGGCCCGTTTTTCCTCGTGGACACTAATTTTGAGGCCCTCAGCCCATTGGCATGGTGGATTGGGCCATTTGGAGGTGTTTAATTGGGTTTTTGGTCCAAAACTTCATAAGTTCGGATATGTGTTTGATTATCCTCCTTTTTTATGTATATTTCCTCTCAACTTTGTTAATTTTGTCACATGTATCCAAATATATACCAACACTAGTGGAAATGATTAGTAATAAACCCTACCACTAAGTTTAATACCATATTTTACTCCATTATATGCAGTTATTGACAGTCAGATATTATGATTTAAGGACCGTCAACAGCATTCCTGAATTTATAGGATCTTTAACGTCAACAGCTGGTATTGATAATTCAAGTTACCCCCTTGATAGTTCTGGAAATTCGGCTGAATATTACGCACCAAGTGCTCAGGGATAATTTGGGCTGCAACCGACTGATCTGGTTGTACCGTGTGTACCATATGCTCAGGGATGACTTGAGTCACATTTTGATGTGTCTGCCGATTATTAGGTGTCCTTAATCCAGTCGGCATCTGCTGCACCGTCTGCTGCTGAATCGGCTGGACTGTTTGCTGTTGAATCGGCTGGACCGCTTGCTCCCTTGGGGGCGTCTGTTGAACTGGTCCGACAATTGGCTGAGTTGGTAAAAACATTGAAGCAATCTACTCCTGGGACATCCGATTGATGTTCTGACCAGCATGTTGCGGTTGCTCTCTGGACAAGAGACGAGGATTAATTGTCTGCTTTTGTGCCGTTGATGGCGCAACTGGTGCTAGAGTCGAAGCTGCTGCCGTCGGCTGAACTTGTGGTGCATTGGAAGTATTCTGTTGATTACTTGTCACTAAGCTCTTATAGTTTGGGAAGACAACTCCTGGCAAGTAAACTGGTCCCGTGGTCTGATGCTCATCTATTGTGTCGTCAATCACAGATTTGATCATATTTGTCAATGTATTGACGAGTACTCCAGACTGGTTGATCAAGGCGTGTTGCACGGTGTAATCAACTTGATCTTGGAAATTCATGCGCCTAGGAGGTTCTTCTTGCACTTCAGCACCATCTTCGCCAAGATCTTCAATCACACCATCCTGAAGGTTGTCACCTTTGTCGCCGGAAGCATCTACAGCACCTTTACCATCTTGAGATGAGCTTGAGCCAACATCATCGGCAGCAACCACTTTCAGCTTGTATTTCTGAACAACTATCCCTTGGTGGGTTTCCTTGAATGAGTTCATGAACTTGTCCTTCACGCTACTCATCATCTATTCAAGCTCCTGCCTCTGTTCGACCATCAGTTTGTCTAATGTGACTGGAATAATGTTTGTATCACTGACTTCGGACTCAAGCCCAGTTAATGGTGGACTAGTTCCTGGATGTTTGGGAAGCTTGGTTTTCGGAGGAATCGGTGGCTTGCTTGCCGATGACGGGGATGGCTTTTCTGCTGACATGGTTGTCACTTCTCGTGTCCCACTGGGCGTGTCAAAAACGTGTTGATGCGAAAAACACGCACTGGGCTGGAAGATCTGCTTAACTTCAATGTAGGTCCAAAATCTTGCCTTTAGGTTCGTGAGCGTGCCAGTTGATTTGATCCTGCAATCAATAAGAAACAAAGATAAAAGAAACCGCGGTTAAATCCATAAACGATAGCCGATCGGCCAGTCGCCGATGACATATCATTTATCTTCAAGCCGATGTCATATGTGAATCAATCGGCAGTTGTAAATAAGCAAGATAAGACTAAATCTACTCGATCGGCTGTAGATATTAACGCTATATAATTCTTCTGTTGATGTATATTTAAATCAAGTGATTGGGATAGATCGGTCGCCATGCCGAGACAGTATAAACCACTTAGATCGAAGTATATGTTAACATAAAGATTATAAATGCTTATAGCATAGCCGATCAGATAGATCTAGTATGTATCGGTTAGTACTCCGATACCACTCTACATTAAGATATCAAAACAGATAGAATATATCAAACAGAAGCCTAATATACTTTATTGTGGTAAGATCTTAATATAAATGGCAGATTTGGCATATCAATTAAGCATATAAGACATAAAGCTAAATCAGGTAAGATCGGCTGAAATCCCGATACTATCTCTCTTAATGATCATAAAATGAGCCAGACATCACGATTATAAATATTACTTAATAGATCGAACTCAACCGATGCAGCATTAAGCATAAAGACAAGTGTGAGATCTAAGTGGGATGATGAAAACCTACAAGAGATGGTAGATACACGATACAATCTAGATTAATAACAAAATGTAACTCTACCGATTGTTCCCTAACAACAAGAACCAGCCGATAACAAGCTATATAGTGCAACTAACATATATTGCAATATGTATATGATAACTCGACGAATTACATAATCAGAGTTAAAGTGTCATAAAGATGGAAGTATTAACCCCGATAATGCAAGCCACCATAACAAGCTTTGCCTCTAGTTGAAGATCGAAATCAATGCAGCTCAACCCGAAAGCAAGAACTCATTGAAATAAACGAAAGTAAAAAGGGTGGCGATGCGCTGAGATTGTATTGAACGATTGTTATTTGATTACATGGGTTCGGGTCATATTTATACCCGAGATACAAAATGTCCTTGCCGGACACAACACTTACCTCTAACAAACTCTAAGATAACATAAGTCTTTACGGCAGACTTTTGCCCAAACATATCTCTAAGGAAATTATATGAAATATCCTAATTAATATATACAATTGCCTAATCCAAGAGCTTTATCTCCATCGTGGCAATCCCCGTAAAGCATTTTGAATGATTCTAGAAACAACCTTGAAACCGTCTTCATCGGAATCGGTTGCATCACCTCTATCGGCTTGTCTTGGAGTCCGTCCATACACAAATTGTCTTGGAGTCTGTTCAGCAGCTGGCTACAAATCTATAGCCGGTTATTCTTCTCTCTCATCTTTTATTTGTTTATAGCTTTCTTATACTCCCTCCATCACAAAATATAAGTATTTTTAGTATAGTGACAAGTCAAACATTTTTAACTATGACTATTAATAGAAAATAAAATCAATCATGTAAAATTGATGGTACTTGATTTATTATTAAACAAATTATCATAATATGCAACTCTTTTTATTTAAAACATCTTACTTTTATAGATATTGTTAGTCAAAGTAGTATCTCGGAGACCATATCAGATTCTGCAAATGCTTATATTTTAGGAGGGTAGTCTGCTATGGTACCTCCTCTAATTCATCCTAAACTTTTTCTTTCGAACAACCGCTCCCAAAACTTATTGTTACTCTCGTTTTTTCTCCAAACAACAGGGAATAAAAATCAAACTTCATAACCAATATCACAGCCAAATTCCCTCCTCTCAAATACAGTCCCTTCCCTTGTGTTGCCAAATAAAAGAAGACTCAACGGAATGAATTAATATTCGCAATACTGTCTTTTCATCTGAACCGTTGATTTTGATCGAATTCCCCCACGCAGTGGAAGAGATCGATCCGTTGGTCCGTCCGCGTGAGAAACAAGCAGACCTGAGAGAGGAAGAATCGCGTTCGCATCGCCACCAAATCAGATCCAATTTCCCATAAAAAAAATCAGATCCAATTCCACACGAGAATACATACCAGAGTTGAGGGCTTGAAGCGCTCGGAGTGAAGGGAGAAGAAGAGCGGCGGCGGCGATGGAGGGGTGGGACAAGGGGACGAAGAGCGTGGTGGGCGAGATCCCGCTGCTGTCGACGCGGGCGGGGCCCCGGGACGGCGAGGCGTGGCGGCAGCGTCTCAAGGAGGAGTACCGCGCGCTGATCGCCTACACGTCGGTGAACAAGTCCAAGGACAACGACTGGTTCCGCATCTCCGCCGCCAACCCCGAGGGCACCCGCTGGGAGGGCACCTGCTGGTACGTCCACAACCTCCGCCGCTACGAGTTCCCCCTCCAGTTCGACATCCCCGTCGCCTACCCCCAGGTCGCCCCCGAGATCGAGCTCCCCACCCTCGATGGCAAGACCCACAAGGTGTGGTTCTTGGTTTATTCCCCCCACGCTTTTCTTCAATTCTGTCCGTTCATGCGAATATTGTTTGATTGGATTGTGATTGATGTTGCTGTGGATGGATATGCAGATGTACCGTGGCGGGAAGATCTGCCTCACCGTGCACTTCAAGCCGCTGTGGGCGAAGAACTGCCCAAGGTTCGGGATCGCGCACGCGCTGTGCCTCGGCCTGGCGCCGTGGCTGGCGGCGGAGGTGCCGATTCTAGTCGATTCGGGCATGGTTAAGCACAAGGACGATGAGGCGGCTCCGGCCGATGCAGCGGCTGCTGCGTCTGGATCTGCCGCTGCTTCGTAATTGTAAGTCTGTGTCATGTGGCTGTATCAGGGTTGGAAATCCACCCAGTTGTGAACTAATAAGAATAACACCTATACAATGTTGATGCGCTGATTTCTGGTTGAAGATACAGTTAGTTGTTGACTAATTTGGTGTGCATGATACAATCGTAACATAGATACAGTTAATTTGTTTAATATGCATGATACAGCTTATGAATTCCATCTCCCAAATCAACTATCCTGCAGAATAACAAACAACGTATAAGCGTAGGTGTGTGCTTTTTATTACTGATGAACCATGTTCCCTATTATTGGTTAACTGTAGATTATTTGCAAACTGCTAATAGGTTCTTGACATGACCATAACAAAATGATTCCACTGATCTCTCTCTCTCTCTCTCTCTCTCTCTCTCTCTCTCTGAGTTCTGACAAGTGACAAACTGACAACTACAATATTCTGTTTACACATTTTCTTTTGAAGTCTTCTTTGTCTGACTAACCATCTGATGAAGCAAAATGGTGTCAGTCTAACATAGTGTGTGTTCAGTGCTGATGTCTTCTGTTTATACAGTAACTTAGTAAGTCAGCTATGATTCCAGGCATTTAACAAGGAGCGCAAAGTAATAATTTGTGTGCCCTTCATGCCTGTTGCACATTTTTATTGTATTTGCTGCGTCCTGCATGTAGAATTGATATCATTTAATTATTAGTCAATAAGAGGGAGCTATTTTGCTGGATTGGGAACAGTTTTGATGTGCCTATACTCAATCTGTTTTAACTAGGCACAGTTTGCAGATCATTGTCCATATTTTGGCGAATTATCAGTGATAAGTAACAGAACATAGAGAAATTGCCACTTGTCTTTTCCATTTCTTCATTTTGATGTAAATTTGCCAAATATAGTACTTCCTCCGTTTCATATTATAAGACTTTATAGTATTGCCCACATTCATATATGTGTTAATGAATACCTAGATTCATTAACACATATATGAATGTGGGCAATGCTAGAAAGTCTTATAACCTGAAATGGAGGTACTATTTGATTTTCTGTTATTTTTATATATAAATTTCCTTAGCATAAACAAGTTTAACACTATATTGCATTATATCTATATCAAGGTTCATTCCTTTGGGGCACTTCACACATTGACATTTCTCTTGAATGATTCTATGAAGTTTTAACAATTCGTTTGAAAGGATTTCTCTTAAGAATAATCTAGAATAATTTACATAGTAGTTTTGATATATGGTTTCAGATGCTCCTCCATTATGTTCAGTGGGCTTCATAGAGTTTCTGTATCAGCAGAATCAAACTCCTTATGCATAATCATAGGTATGTTCTTTTTTATTTAGGATGAAACATGTTTCCTATTGATGGTTAACTAAGAATATTGTAAACTACTATAGGTTTCTGACATAACCATAAGAAACTGAAGTTCCATTTGTCTTTTTTTTCTCCGAGTTCTGACAAGTTACAACTACAATAATCTGACCACACTTTTCTTTTGAAGTCTTTTTTTGTCCGACTAGTACCAAAACCGATGAAGCAAAACAGTGCCATGTCTTACTCTGTTGCATCACCTAATATAGTTTATAGCCTCTTAAATATCCACTATCCTAGACATGCTTAGAATACTACGAATCAACTAAAGCTGAGTAAAGGACTCAAACTTGCATCTTCAGGGCAGGTATCATCTGGTTGTATAGACAAGTCAGCTGGGAGTTTTTCTCTTTTTTCTTTTTTGATCTTTTTTTTGGTTTCCACGTACCATTGTGGCACTTCATGTTGACATTTCTATTTAATGCCCTTAAGTTTTAACATTTTCTCTTGAAATAATTTCTCCCAAGGATAAGCCAGAACAATTTATTTTAGTAGTTTGAGATATGATTTCAGAATTCAGATGCCTCTTCCTTTAAGTTCTGGAGGCTTCATAGAGTTTATGTTTAACAGCACAACCGAATTCCTTATTAATCTCATTCTCCTTTGAATTGGTCTTTACCTTGCTTGCTGCAACATGTTTGTCATCGAAGAAGATATACAAGCTATGATTTCAGTGTTGGTACCTTTTTTTCTCAATGTATTTCAATTTTTAACAGTCAAGTAAGTTGCAACAAATCAAGAAGACAATTAGCTGTTTTGTGAGCAACCACCAATTTCACAATTTTGCATTTCTCGGCAGTATATTTCGTTGATAAATTAATTTTCATTAGTATTCTAAAAAAAATTGTACCACAAACACATCAATTCAACTGGCTGAAAACATCGCAGTGCATTGTGAAACTTGAATTGAAATTTGGATAGGTTTCAGAGGTTGCCATGGTGCAAGTTTGCCACTGGCAGTAGGTTCGTGCCTTCTTTTGGCACAATGAGGGATGAGGCTGATACCAGTGGTCGCTCACTCTTCACTAGAGAGCACCGGCCAGCATGTTATAAGAATCAGGTTGTAGAATTTTTAAGTAGCTAATATGTATAACATACTAGTATCATGATCAATGGCCAACGCACTCAAACTTCAGTAGTAGTGACATCTAGCCACAATTGCTGTCGTTAATTTCTCTCGAAACTCTTGCGCACAGGATTATAAAATGTTGAGATCAGATGTAAACTTATGACTGACTGAAAACTTACCCCCGCACTGTCGAGGACACATGAAAAAACAAAAACAAAATGCAAAATTGCAGCAGACAAAATAGCAAGCCATGGAGGTAAGGGGCAGACAGCCACTAAGGATTTAGAATAAACAAAATTGCCATCAGGATTAGCATCTTTACATGTTAGATGTGAAAAGTAAGCGCAGATTTCTTCATGTGTTTATGTTGTATGTACACCTAATCCACAAACCATCCTATCTGACTTTCGATAAGATGACAAGCCAAAAGAACCACTTCAGTTTCTATGGCACTCTGGTATATATGAACCACCTCAGTTTCTGTGGCGCCCTGGTATGACTTGAAATACATTCCTTCTCTTCAGCCACATCGAAAAGAGGATCTGCTTGAGGCAAATGGACCAGTTAAGAATGACACTACTGCAAATATAGAGAAAACCCATTGTTTTCATAACTTCAAGCAAGTTACAAGGATGTGCAGATAGAACACAGTGAAAAACGTTGACAGCATTCAACAGAAACAACCACTAAGCATATATATATCTTCTATTATATATTTGCAACATATATTGTGGAGGTTTGCAGTGTTAACAGCAGTTGGTTTATCCCTCCTCTCACCTCCGGTGAGAAAAAACTGCTTCCCCTAACAAACTCAGGAAGACACTGTTAACATTTCAGGCTATCTATCTAAAACAGTCTTTCTTATCTGTTGAGCTTGGTGACAAAGGCATGACAAGAGCTGGGCATAGCATAGAGTTGATGGCATGGTGCAATTAAGACTAGTGACAGTGCCACAGTGGCTTGGCATACTTGGAGACATTTTTTTTTTCAATCCATACAAATGCATGGGCATACAAGTATACAACTAGTTAACCTGATATCTTGCTAGAACTCTCCACATTTGTCCATTAACTACTTCTATCATGTGGTTACTCATATTTTTGAAGGAATAAGAATGGATATCAATACATCAGCTAGCTGAATAACATCAACATATTAAACGACACATCCAAAAAAACTAGCCAGATATCATTTTAGACCATGATGATGGAGAAACTATCAGAATGATCAAGTTTGTACCTGCAAGGTAAGCAAGGAGCTATAGTAGGGGCCTTGCTTCCTTCTTCAAAGGAATAATTACATCCAGGTTTTGAGTGGTTTGCCACCCGTTCAGGTAGATGGCATTCTTGTCTTCCAGATGAAGATGAAAATTCATAATTTTTGAACAACCAGGAGGTACGCCCTCCATATGAGTTTCATCTTCTACAAGCTGCTCTATAAATGCCGTCTCCTGTAAGGATTAATTATAACAGCTATTAGATAACCAAACAAACATGAGTGCATCCAAGCCAAGGTGGTAGTTAAAATCAGAACAAAAATATAAAGGGAAGACACAAGGTGTGGTTAACTTCGGACGGAAATATAAGTATAAGACATTACAAATTACCATTTTAAATTTTTCACGAAAAGCAACATGATTAGATTATCAAGTTATGCACATACATTGGGAAAATGAGTAAAAATACATAAGGTTTTCATTTGTGTAGGAAAGAGCTGAAAACATCACATAAGTGTGGTAGGCTCAATTCGACTATCAAGTGCAAACAGATATGCAGCTTCAGTATGAAGTATAAACTAGCTGAATCAAGTGAAGGTGTAGAATGCAAGAAAGATGCATTTAGTTTCCTGCCCTTCTAATAGAAGAGAAAAAAACAGACCCATGCCATAATTCACACCAAAAACTTCTCCTGATGCAAAGTATATTTCGGTATGATTAACACGAATAACAAGAGAGACATGCCTATGCCTGAGGTACCTGCTAGTTGGTTACTTGGTTTACATTGGCAATGCTCATAAAACCTCCATTATCCTTTTTTTTCCTTAAAACACAAGAACTCTGCACATTTTTTATTAATATGGAAGGATGGATTTATAACAATAATAAACTGTGATGAACACAAAGACAGGAACAGAAATCCACTGCCATGAACACACGCACACAGAGAAAAAAAAGACTATTCTCCCAACAGTTTCTACAACCATTTCACACCAACTGCTTGTCCAATGATGATGGCGTATTATGGAACTCTTATGTTTTGTGCTCCTACCAGTTTAACTACTAAATGAGGATGATCAAGAAATCAAGCTTGGCCCTGTGAACTGCTCCCTTTCTTGGAGCAGTCACCAATCCGTAATTTCGTGTTGTTAAGCTGGCTGGTACCAGAGTAATGGGTTAATGGAAGCATTCCAACACTTCCATTGTGCAGATAAGCTGTTTCATTACTTCTTTTTCTGAACTGAGTTCTTGTATTACTTCATAAGTTCATATAAAGGGAACAGACACTTTTCATCCAAATGAATAAACTTAAGAGGTATGGTAGTTTATAAATAAATTAATAATGCTTGATCAGTTGCCAAAATTGGCAAATTAAACTGCATTAAAAGCATAAGGCAGGTACACTATTAATAAGCCAGTTACTCCCTCCATTTCAGGTTATAAAAGCAGGTACAATAGCAGGCTATAAGTCAGCTGCAAACATATTTTAAAAAGATAAATTAGGAGAAAGAAGAGCAGCGGGCTACAGATTTGTAGCCAGCTGTAGCACGGACTACAAGACACAGTGTGTCTATGACAGGTGGGACTAGGTATTAATAGTGTAGTATGTAACTATTGTATGAATGAGCTATTAGATTGGCTATAGATGAATTGGAGCTAGTAGTTGGCTATACTATTGAACTTGCTCTAAGGAGTAGTAGGAAAAAGAAGTATACTAGCTAGCTTACTTGAAACCCCTCCTTTGCCGTGTCGAGCTGCCGGATGTAATTCCAGGCCTGATGACCTCTGTTCTTGGCGTCCCAAAGCTTACTGCTGTTGAATGCAAAACCAGACATATCTACATGGAACCTCCTCTGATTCTTGCTCCTATCTGTTGTGTGCCATCCCACCACACGACTACCTTCACAGACTGGTCCTTGTAGTATCGTCTTACTCTTCCCGGGGGCCAAGGTTGCCACAGGCCAGGTTCCAAAACTCCTAAACACCAGAATATCGTTCAGTGTTCACCAATTGGCACCAATGAGTTTCGTGTACCGAAACTCCAATAACGAATTAGTACGACGTAATCTAAATTGACTTGGATTCCAATCAGGATATCAAAAGAACAGTCTAAATTGTCAGAAGTGTGACGTCATGATAGCTACACTTCACCTAATGTCGCGAAGATGGTAGAAGAGGTCAAGGGAGTAGACGTTGTCCTCGTCGGCGAAGTAGACGATGCCGTGTAGGCGGTGGTGCTCGATGTGATCCAGCGCCGTGTTCCGCTGGCGGGCGCGGCTGTCAACAGCCGGGCGGTCCTGCCTCCGTCCGCGGCGGCGGGGACGATCCTGGGGCGCGTCGGGGACGGGGGAGGAGAGGTGGCGGTACATGACCCCGCAGCCGCGGAGGAGCGCGGCCGTGTCGCGCGTGGCGGCGCCGGACTCGACGACGAGCCAGAGCAGCGGGGACGGCGCGAGGCGGAGCGTGTGCGCGAGCCGGCGCAGGTAGTACGCCTGCAGCGGGCGTGCGCGGGTCGGCGTCACGACCAGCAGCAGCTTCCGCTCCTCCGCCGCCGCCGGCAACGGGGTGTCGACGTCGACGACGACGGACGGCGGGTCCTCCCTGACGAGGATGGCGGTCGCAGGGGGAGGGAGCGGGAGGTGGAGGTCGAGGTGGAGGTGGCGGTGGGCGAAGGGGAAGAGGCCCGCGACGAAGCCGAGGAGGAAGCAGAGGAGGAAGCACGGCGCGGAGATGGGCCGCCGCGGCGGGCACGGCGGAGCGGCCATGCGTGGCGGTGGCGGTGGCGTGGGTGAGTGGACGGACACGACTTATGTGGCGCTCCGTTTCGTGGTGGCGGCAGGCGGCATCGCTTTTTGTGGGAGCCGGGAGGAGGCCGTGGAATTGGTCGCGTCGCGCGGTGGCGTGAGATGGGAGAGTGCAGACCAGCCAGTGGACGGGGTCGGAGCCGCGTGCGTCGTGCGGGAGGAATGGGCCGCCGTGGCAGATGGGAGGGAGTTGTGTGTACCGGTACGAGGCGGATTTTGGGGAAAGGTAGGCAGGGGCGCGGGGCGGTGGCAGAATGTCGCGTCGGTTGCCGCGTGGAGGGAGTAGCTGAACACGTTGCGTGGGCATCTAATATTCTGATTTCCCGTACTTGTATACCCACGTGTATCTCTGTTCACCAAATATCGTTTCATTTGTATTTATGTTTATTATCGATACACCTTATTAAGAATTCAAAATAATTTATAAATAAAACTTTTATATTTTTATTCTTAACGAATTTGAAGTAAACTAGAATGTCGTCTGTGCATTGCAACGGGATATTTAGAAGGGCACCGAGTGAAATTTTGAATTGTTTTTGAGCATTCAAATTCAAAATATAAAAGATCAATAAATAGTTTGATCAAAATTTGATGACAAATGTTGACCAACCTCACCTTTTCGTTTATACTTATGCTTATTAGTCAATTAGTCAAAAATTAAATTTTTAACCTTAAATTTTGGAATTGATTTTGAGGTTTTTTCATCGAATTTTATTTTTGAGCCTTTGCTTTTAGATCGCTAAGGACACGTATATAAAAGTTTTATTCATAAATTATTCTTCGTTTGCAAATATATCGTTTGACTTATTTCACGAATAAGCTAGACGATAGAGCGGTCATATGGCCTAGGGTCAAGGTCCAACACGTAATCGGAAAGGTGAATCCTGCTAGAGAGAGCTTGGTTTACTTTTTTATTTTTAGAACGGATGGAATGTGGTTTAGTTTTTCAGACTAGTTTATTCTCTCGGTAGTGTAGTTTTCCATATGCATTTAAGAAATTATGAATTGCAAGAGTATTATCTGACAGAAATATAATGGTATTATTTTTTTCACCAATCTATATACATTTTTTTTATATATTATGGATTCTAGAAAAAATATGTTTAACGGCAGAGCCATACATGGAGTATATAAATGTATAATATAAATCTGGGCACAGCTAGGACAGTATTGGAATATCAAAATACAGAAACTATGTAGACAAGTCCACTACCATATACCGTCAATTGAAGTTGAGACAATATCTTTTTCTTCAATCACAGCCAGATTACCTTTTTCTTCAATTGCAGCAAGAAGCCATCATGGCTACCACGGTCTCCTTTAAACTCCTCTGAGTGATTCCTTATGCTAAAAGCTTCTCCTAATGTCAGGAGAATTTTCCCTCCTCTATGTGTCTCGAAAGCTACCACGGTGGTCCTGCCTATAGCCATGGGCCTATCCTTGACACCAACATGATGGCTTGGATATCCTCTTCCTCCTGTAACCACAAAAACCGAACCCCCTCATCAAGGAACACATGATGCTCCCTCGTTCTTGTGTATTCGCTCACCACAGTCATCAATTCCATGCTCGAGGTTACTCCAGTTCTAAATCTAGAATTGACGTTCTGACAAGCGTTGTCATTCTCTTTGAAAACTAATGGCACCATTGTGTTCATAACTCTCGGGAACTTTCTCCCTGCAGTTCGACATCCATCTCATTTACCCTTCTGGCCTTCTCCCTGTTTTGACGAGTATAATCAGAGACGAGGAACACGGATGAGATGGCGGTTCGGGCGATACGGTGGGAGTTATCCTCCGTGCTATTCGGTCTGTAGAGGGGAAACGCACCGAGGGCATCTTTAGATTGGCGTTACGGACAAAATATGGGGAGGACGATCATAGAGTTACCAATTTTTTAATTAGTTAAGATATTGTAAAATAAACTATGTTGAAAAAAAAAATCAAAAATCAACTTCTAAGTTTTAATATTCAAATTTTAGGTTATAACTGTCAACATAGTAGATCGCGACTATGGTATTTGCAGAGTATGGAGATCGTTGGAACTAAGGTATACGTAATATTAAGATAAAAGAGCCGGGAAACAAGGATTTTTATATAGGTTCGGACCCCTTATCTGTAAGGTAATAGCCCTACTCCTGCTGGCCGAAGCTGGTGTTACTCTTATTTATCAGAATCACACGAGTATAATATTTGGGATAACTATCCAGTCGTCATCGACTTTGCGGCATGGAACACCACATGTAGTTAACGGCGGGGTAGTCTTCCTCCTCGAATACAAACTTGGCGAGATCAGATATAGCGCTAGATCCTCTTGCCGACCTTTGTGGCACCAGATTGGGTATGTCTAGGCTTATCTCTGATGTCGATATCTGGCGGCGCATATTGGTGTCTATTCTCATTGGGCGTGTCCCCTCTCCTCCTAGGGGGTCTTGTATTTATACCTGTAGTGCCCCTTATCCACGTAGAACTAGGGATACAAATATGGATACGATCTGAGTAGTCCTTGTAGAACTCTACTTCTTCTTCCTTATTCGGAATACCTTCCATATATAAGGCATGACTCCGTATAAGATTTGATATATGGTGGACCCCGCCAATCCCAATCCAAGATCATTGGGTATGTCTTATCCACAAGACCAACAATAAGCATAAGAGAAATGTATATCTCTAACACTCTTACTTTGCTTGCATACCTAGAGATGATGGGGGCGTGCAATCCTCTTGCGGTCACAGGCATGGCCGACAGCAGCCACCATGTCCGTCGTGTGCTCCTCCAAGATGTATGCCACGGATATGCCAGTCTCCGCCGAGTCTTGTCATAGTCAATGGTAAGGTCGCCACCAACCTCAACGACACGCTTGGTTGCATCTAGGAGGGCGAGCTTGCAGTGCGTGGCCTCGCCGATGCCCAACACCATCGGCGAGCAAGAATAATGTTCAGGATCTGGGAGCCAATGTGGAAATGCAGGAGCTGGAGGAAGTTGAGCATACCAAGGGTTGTCTTAATTCATGAGCTTAGACATACCGGAGAGAATCTGCACTGTGTTCAGGCCGAACTTGCCCTCCTCTCCCTCAACGTGGAGCCGTGCCTGCCGTTCTTTGCGCTCATTAGCTCATGTCTCAAAGGCACGAGGCATTAGCTTATATCCAAGAAGAACAAAACTAATTTTAAGTTTTAGCAAAAATGATGAGATGGGCAAACTGCAAAGAGGCAATTGATTTGGTGTGGCCATCACATGCCATGATGCCAACCATTTTCACCCTTATCAAGAAAAAATAGGCACCTCGCCTATGGGTGAAGGTTCCGATGACAACGAAGATCCTGACGATCCTGACACTGACAGACCCTCCGATCCCAAGGAGCACGAGCTCGAAGACGCCAAAAGTTGACGGAGGCGGTGCTTGTCGCGTGAGTGGTGATGGGCTTGTGGCGTAGCGTGGCGGCACTGAGGCCAGAAAGGAGAAGCCGCGGCCGCTGTTGGAGGAGGGTGGCCTGTGGTTGTTGCACGTGGCGAGGTAGCTCATGGCGAGTAGCAGCTCTGTCATGGAGCCATCCTTTAGGCTGAAGCAGAACGGCTGGCCAAACTCTTGTCCATGGGCGAGGTGTGTAGAGGAGAGAGACCAGAGAGGGGAGGGGTGGAGGAAGAACATAGGTAATCACTTACATGTGGGACCTATTTTTTAATTTATTAGAAAAAATACTCGTGCGTTGCAACGGGTAAATGCTATTTTAATATTATTATTATTATTATTATTATTATTATTATTATTATTATTATTATTATATGGTTTAGCTAGGGTAAAATTCACGGTGTGAATTCGCTTGGATATTTTTTCAGAAAATCATGAGTTATATTTAGAAGTCTGTATTTCATCTCAAGTTAGCATACGAGTAGTTTCAAAATATTTCTTATACGGCTCCTTTTATACTTCTAAAAGCAAACAGGCTTAAAATCCAACTCAAACATAAATTTGTATTTCCAAAAATAAATGAACTTAAAACCGACTCAAATACGGATGGCGTACCAAAATACTGACAAAAACATCTTTAATTTGTATGATAATAGATAAGAGATTTGACGACTGGTTTGTCACGTGGGCGTCATGTCAGTAAAAAACTAAAAACCACTCTCAAAACAGTTAAGGGAGTCGTTTGTATGGTTTAAATAGTTGGAGGAGTCAATACCGATTTTGCGGTTGAGGATACAAATTTGACTTATATTTAAGGGAACTTTTTTTGGCTGAAAGTTTACGTGCAATTGGGCTCCCAAGTATTCACATGGCCCAGGAAGCTCCCAAGGAATCCATCTTCGAAACGAAAGCCCAAAAGCTCGGTCGGATCCTAAACCCCCGGCAAGCTACGAATCCCTCGGCCTTGTGTAAGACGGTAGTAAACGTGCGCCACTTGTACCCCTGGCCAGCCACCACCTGCTTCCTATAAATCTATGCCCCTCGCCGCAACGCGACGCTCCCTATTCTTCCTCCGCAAAAACCCCAGACTAGTAGTGAGGCCGTTCCCGAACTCCTCTCCGCCTTCCCCCGACAGAGATCGCGGCGGCGGCAATGGCGTTCGCTGCGGGCGGCATCGACCACCACGTGGCGGTGGATGTGGAGGGGGAGGAGGAAAGCAGGAGGAGGGCGGTGGCGGAGGAAGCGGACCTGCTCTGGGCGGCCTTCGAGCGGCTCCCCTCCGCGAAGCGGCGGAGCCACGCCGTCGTCCTCCCCGATCCCGACGGCCTAGGCGGCGGCGACGGCGGCGGAAGAGGAGAAGGCCAGTTGGTGGACGTGCGGAAGCTCGACCGGCCCGGGCTCCAGCGCGTGCTCCGCCACGCGCTCGCCACCTCCGAACTCGACAACGCCAACCTCCTCCACGGCATCAAGGCCCGCTTCGACGCGTACGTAATGGGGGGCTTCGATTCTCCGCTTCGCTACAAGCGTGAGCGTCTCTAATTAAGATCTAACTGCTTTGTTTTCGCCGGCTTTCAATTTGCTGGGATTGTGCAGGGTGGGATTGGAGGTGCCGCGGGTGGAGGTGAGGTTCCAGAACCTGACCGTATCAACAGATGTCCATGTCGGCCGGCGAGCACTGCCCACTCTTGTCAACTACGTCCACGACATTGCGGAGGTATAGTGATCTGATCTATAGATTTGCTATTACGTGTTTATGTGGTGCATGGCGCGGTAAATGGGGAAAGGATTTAATAGGCAAAATAGACGAGAGCGATGCTACAACACTCCATGTGAATAAAAGTGACCGAAGTAGTAGCTTGTATTAATTAGTTTGTTGTCACAACTCACGCGAGCTTGTCTACTCCTCTTCCCTTAATGCGAAACTTAAATTAGATCACGTGTATTTACGGCTATGAGATGCAACTACATTAATTTGACTAATTGGCTGGTTGGTTTGTGACTTTGTGTGACCCTTTTGTTTCGCCCAGATGACCCATATGTATCTGTTTATGGTTTGTGGTGCACGGAAGTCAGAATTTAAACGGTTGTGGTAGTTTGGATATGGGCAGTTCTTGTTAGATCAGAGGCTGGATTTCCCATATTTGCATTAGTTGTTTTTGCTATGGAATAGTCATTCTGCATCGCTACTTATGATTATTTGCTGTCTTTGTTCGAAATAGATGAAAGCTAGCAGAGACAAAGACTACTCTATTAGCTGGTTGGCTGGCCAGTGCAGTATCACTTACTATAGTTGCCAGTTTAAAACGTGGATTCTTAAATAGCTTAATTTTACTTCATTAACCATTCATCATTGTGATATTGTACTTTGTTGAACTCTTGCTGATATACCCTTTTTATCATTTACTTGTAAGCAGAGAATTCTTATTAGCAGCCATCTTTTACGTCCTGACAAGCACAAGCTGGTTATTTTGGACGACGTTAGTGGAGTTATCAAACCTGGGAGGTGAGAAACTTAGCATACAGAGAATGCACATGCATAACGCTTGATGCATTTACACTAGTTTGGAAAAAAAAAAAGGAAACTGTTTGTTTGCATGGCAATGTGCTTAATCTTGACATCTCACTGTTTCCCTTGGAATTGTGATATATTCTTATATATGCATGTACCTATTTGATTTTTAAGAAATGCTATTTGGTACAACTTGTTGAGTCTGTACTTTTGTTTTTGTGTGTGGTGCAAGAATGACGTTGTTGTTGGGACCTCCTGCATCTGGGAAGTCAACTCTTTTGTTGGCTCTTGCTGATAAACTGGATTCTCAGCTAAAAGTGAGTATCTCCAGCCTCAACACACGCATATACGTGTACATTTCAGTTATTTTGTCCATCTTGACTAAAGTTAATTCTGTCCTCTAGAATGAAATTCATAGTTTCTCATGACTTATTTTCCCCCCCAATTTGTATTCACCTTCCAACAGAAAAGTGGAGAAGTGGCCTACAATGGAATGGCTCTAGATCAATTTTGTGTACAGAGAACTTCTGCTTATATCAGCCAGACAGATAACCACATTGGAGAATTGACAGTACGAGAAACTTTAGATTTTGCGGCAAAATGCCAGGGCGCTAGTGAAAATTGGCAAGGTTGGTCTTATTTACTAGTTCATTGTCCTTTTATGACATGTTTATAATAAAAATACTACATGCTACAAATAATTCCTTGTTATTACTTCAAAATTAGTAAATTATGCCATGAAAATATAAAGAGAGGTTAAGTTAATAATATCTTATGAAACATTATTGTTTGCTCTACATGATATTTTCCTTTCAACATGTTTGGTGCGTGCACATACGCTTATTTCTGATTTGGATTATGCACACCATGTGCTTACTTCCATATATGTTTCTTAATTCTGTTGCATTTGGTTGTTCGGTTTTGTGGTAGCTGATATATTATGTTTGACAACAATCAAAATCTCAATTAATGTTGTACCACTTTGGCCTGTAAGATAAAATGTTTCAAAGAAAAAAGTGACCCTGCTCTCAGTTGCTTCTAGAGTCTAGAGAGTGCATCCCAATAGCCATTTTCGTAATGCAAGTATTCTGTTTAATAAAAGAAGCACTTCTTAGGGGAAAAAATAACCTCCATGAAAATTGAAATTTCTATTTTTCTGGCCATTGTTTTTATGATTGTTCAGTTTGCAGATTATGTGATGATCCATGCCTCTTATGCCAGCCAGGCACTGTAAAATACTTGCAGATGCCCTTCTATTTAGGCACATTTAATTCTCTATAGAAACTAATATGAATGGGAGCTCATTTAATATTAGCTCTGTTTTTTTAAACTTTTCTAGTAATATAACATACAACTCGGTTTGCTATTCTTTCAAAAAAAAAGAGGGGGTGGGGGGATACCTGATCTGCATTTTTGTTCTTTTCAATGTCATGTCATTTACTAAGTCTAAAACTAATATTTGTTGTGCTGGACCATATTCTGAAGTGCTTCCCATGTCTTGTTCCTGGAAACCTTTTAGCTGATTTTCAGTGTCACAAAACATGAAGCCAATTTATACTTCTGAAATACTGTTTGTTAACAAGTAATTGTTGTAGAAATTTATGTCTCGAATGCTTGTAATAGCAACATAGTTAGGCATTTGCACAAGCTATTTTAGTTGTTTTCATCTTTTTAACTTGTTTAGGTACCAACTTACACCTGTTTTTGTCTATGTGTAGAGTGCCTAAAAGAATTGGTCAATCTTGAAAAGGAAAGGGGCATAAGGCCAAGTCCTGAGATAGATGCTTTTATGAAGGTTCGTTACCTAATTTTGTGGTTAAACTTCTTACATGCCATATTTCGTTCTGGAAAGTGATTTGTTTTGTGTGGCCAGACTGCATCATTCCGAAGAGAAAAACACAATCTTGTCTCAGACTATGTATTGAGAGTGCTTGGGTTGGATATATGTGCTGATACCCCTGTTGGCAGTGACATGGAAAGAGGTGTCTCTGGTGGCCAGAAAAAACGAGTTACAACAGGTTCCAACTACCATTACTTTCTTTGTTCTACATTACTCGTGGTACATCTCTCCTGAACGTGATGCAATCTTGCAGGTGAAATGATTATTGGACCAAGAAAAACCCTTCTCATGGATGAAATATCGACAGGTCTTGACAGCTCAACAACCTTTCAAATTGTTAACTGCATGAGGAACTTTGTTCATGAGATGGAAGCTACTGTGCTGATGTCACTTCTTCAGCCCGCACCTGAGACATTTGAATTATTTGATGATCTAATTCTGTTGTCAGAAGGAAAGATCATTTATCAAGGTCCTATCAAGCATGTCGTGGACTATTTTAAATCATTGGGATTTTCATTGCCACCTCGGAAGGGAATTGCAGATTTTCTCCAGGAGGTATTGTTTTAGTCTGCTTATTCCATAGAAGTTGGGGGCATGCTGAAGTTTACATGCAAGTAACTTTTTTTTTCCAGGTGACTTCAAAGAAAGATCAAGCTCAGTATTGGTCTGATCAGTCCAAACAACACATCTTTGTTTCTGCATCAGAAATGGCAGCTGTATTCAAAGAATCCCAGTATGGTACATATTTGGAGGCTAATCTAAGTAGTTCGTGTGGTAATAAAGATTCTGCTCTGGTTCTTCCCAGGTCGAAATTTGCAGTACCAAAATTTAGCCTTGTTAGAGCATGCTTTGCCAGAGAGCTTATTTTAATAAGCCGTAATCGTTTCCTCTACACTTTTAGGACATGCCAAGTACGTCATGACTCTCATTACTTCTTTTAATAATTTATTAGAACAGTTAATTTTGTTAACTACGAGGAACATGCATATTGATTTTTACAATATATGGACTAGTCTATGAAGCATGAAATAAATTTATAGATTTTCCTGTTATAATCTGTCATAGTGGCCAATGTCTGTGAAGGTCAACCACAACAAGCTCATCCATGATACATCAAATCAGCACTATTGCAGCATGCATCAAATTTATTTGGGTTGGGAATAGTTAATACTAGAGGCTTGAAAAGTCACAATCTTAGACACTAACGATGGTAAAAAAAAGTTCTTCAAATCTTTAGTATGTTTTTTTACATTATTTTTTCACGTAACCTTTTCTTAACAGAATTTATGCTTTGTTTGTAGAATTTCATGTCATATTGTTCTAGTATTCAGCACTCAGTACTTCTCCTATTGCTTAAGTTGGCATTCAAACGCTCCCTTAAGATTGCATTCATGTTTGGTATAAAAAAGTTATTGAGGCAGAAGTACTTCAAGAATATTACATGTTGCGTTACTTTTATCTAGTTTATAAAGGGACTTGCTGTTTTATTTTTGCCATATTCTTGTCACCTGTAATTTGAACATACAGAATTTTATACATGAATGGCTATCATTTCATTTCACTTCTACCAAGTCATGATTTGGTTGATAAATATTATGTGAAGTCATGTTATCATTTTCTTCACTTGGGGTTTTGAGCAATAGAGTGATTTTTTTTTTTCAGGTTGCTTTTGTTGGGATCATTACATCCACACTGTTTCTCCGGACAAGATTACATCCTGTTGATGAGCAAAACGGGAATCTTTATCTGGCATGTCTATTTTTTGGGCTTGTGCATATGATGTTTAATGGTTTTACAGAGATGACCATGACTATTTCTCGACTTCCAGTGTTCTATAAACAGAGAGATAATTTCTTTCATCCCGCATGGGCTTTCTCACTTCCAAATTGGATACTAAGAATTCCATATTCCTTTATTGAAGCTGTCGTATGGTCATGTGTAGTATACTACACGGTAGGCTTTGCACCAACGGTTGACAGGTATACCCAGGACATGTACCCTTTTGATCAATTTGCTTAACTAGCTACATCTCTTGTATTTGTTCATGTCTGTGATTAAACATACCATCTGCAGATTCTTTCGCTTTATGTTGCTGTTATTCTCTATACATCAAATGGCATTGGGCCTTTTCCGAATGATGGGAGCTATTGCACGAGACATGACCATCGCTAGTACTTTTGGATCTGCTGTCTTATTGGCAATTTTTCTTTTAGGAGGATTCGTTGTTCCTAAAGGTTGATATTTAGTACCATTATCAATTTTTGCTTGATTATTCATTAATCTGACCTACATTAAATTGTTTTACCAAATTATTATTGGCGAGGATACATGACTCCTGCTGTTTAACATAGGGTTCATAAAACCATGGTGGGACTGGGCGTATTGGATTTCACCATTGATGTACGCACAGCGTGCTGTTTCAGTTAATGAGTTCTCAGCATCCAGATGGTCAAAGGTCCATTTAATTGTATATGCATATTTTATTCACTCATCCTGACTTGCCTGCCTTTTACTTTAGTTGTGTTATTCATTTTCTTTTTAACTGTCTGCTGTTCATAATTTTTTGGTTTCAGGTATCAGTTTCAGGGAACATGACAGTTGGAACCAATATTCTTATTTCACACAGTCTCCCAACAGACGATCATTGGTTCTGGATTGGAGTTGGCGTTTTATTAGCCTATTCCATATTTTTCAATATTATGTTTACTCTTGCGTTGGCGTTCCTTAATCGTGAGTATTGAGATGATAAAATCAAATTCTAAAATAATATTTGGCTGCCAGTTGTTTTAATTTCTGAAATAACTTTTCTTTTAAAGCCCTTCGAAAGCCACAGTCAATGGTTCCTTCTGATGCTGGGGATGGAAGAGATGTGCATATAAATACTGACTCCAACAAAAATACGATTGGAGGTGATTTTCATATCTATCTGCAGCTTTGATTTTTCTATATTAAAATATACACAGTAGGTTTTCCCAGTTCTTTCTGGCATATTCTACTTATGCTCTTTCACCCTACTAAACATTGTAATTGTATATGTGGATCACGTCACCTAGATTTACTTAAGAGTTGAATGATGGCTGACTGGCTGTCTGATTTATGGTTTATTGATCTTCTAACATTCTTCAGCATTAGTAAAATGGTCAGATGGATTTGTATTTATAACAGCATGACATTCTTATTGTCCATCTGATTTACACTGAATACACTTTTACTTCAACATGTAACAACTTCTATGGAACTAAATTGCAGAAATATTCGAGAACAATGATGGATTTGAAGGGCAGACGGAGTGCAAAAGTAAAAAGGGAATGATACTACCTTTTCAGCCACTCACCATGACGTTCCACAATGTGAACTATTATGTCAATATGCCAAAGGTGACTCACTTAAAAATCTAGTTCTCTTATTTATTGATCTTACATGTTACCTCAGCTAAAACTGTATTTCGTTAAACAGGAAATGCAAGCAAAAGGTGTTCCTGAGAAAAGACTACAGTTGCTGTCTGAAGTTAGTGGGATATTTAGGCCACGTGTCCTGACAGCATTGGTTGGTGCAAGTGGTTCTGGGAAGACGACACTTATGGATGTTTTAGCTGGCAGAAAAACTGGTGGCTACATAGAAGGTGATATCAGGATTTCTGGCCATAAAAAAGAACAGCGAACATTTGCCAGGATAGCAGGATATGTTGAACAAAATGACATACACTCGCCACAAGTAACAGTTGAAGAGTCTCTCTGGTTCTCGTCAACCCTGCGGCTTCCAAATGACATAAGCAGAGAAACAAGACATGTCTGTTCTAAACTTTCACTTAAATTTTATATCCTAGGAGTGTTTGCTCTTTTTGCTGATACATAATCCTAATTTACCTGCAGGCATTTGTTGAAGAAGTTATGGCATTGGTAGAGCTCGATCAAATTCGGTATGCATTAGTTGGAAAACAGGGTTTAACAGGCTTATCGACAGAGCAAAGGAAACGTCTTACTATAGCTGTTGAGCTTGTTGCAAATCCTTCCATCATTTTTATGGATGAACCTACATCTGGTTTGGATGCGCGAGCAGCTGCCATTGTGATGCGCACTGTTCGAAACACTGTTGATACTGGTAGAACTGTGGTCTGCACGATACACCAGCCAAGTATTGATATCTTTGAGGCATTTGATGAGGTAGTGGCAGGGATAGTGTTGCATTCTTTGTTTTGTTTTTAGTTGCATATTGCCATCGTTGGTCGTGCTGACTATTTGATTTGATGCAGCTACTCCTGATGAAACGAGGAGGTCGAGTAATATATGGAGGTTCACTTGGTGTCAACTCAGTTGACATGATTAATTACTTTCAGGTAATACATAGAGAGTGTTACACAGCTGCATTATTCCTTGTTAAAACTAGGTTCTTTTCACAGAATGTCATAAAAGGGGAGATTATACGCAATAGTGTTTTTGTTATTATATTGTTCTACTATGTTAGTGGGATGTAATAGTTTCTGTAAACAACTGATATTCCTTTTTTTTTTGGTACCCTATGTTTCTGAACACTCTTGAACATTATTTGTTCACAAATATTTGACACCTTGTATTTCCATTTTGCGCTCCCTAATTCCCCTTGCCCCTCCTCCCCCTACCAGATATTTAGTGGGATATCAATAAGCTTAGTTCTTAATGACATACTCCCTCCTTCCCAAATTGATCATCAAATAACTGTATGGACACGGATTTCATCGGAATACAATTAATGCAGCATGGGAGAATGTGTGCATACTAGGGTGTAATTGGCATGGTGTTTTAATCGATGCATGTATTGTGGGACAATGTGTGCATGGTGTCTTCATTGAAGATCATTTTGGGATGGAGAGAGTATCATTTTTGACAAATTTGATAAAATCACTGGTCAAAAAGTGTTAATGCTGCCTGCCTAATTAGATTTTCATTTGCATGCAATCATGATGTGAAGAGCTTTACCCTTTTTAGAAAGTGTTAACCTTAAGCTATATTTTGTGGCATATGGCGTTTATTTAAAAGCTCTGGCCCTACCAAATATGACTTCAATACATTAGTAAGAAAGGGAACACCAACAGATGCCATTATGGCTTGTTCAGGAGTTCATCCATTCATGTCACTGATTTGTTTTCTGGAAATTGAAAATTACAAAGTCAAAAGCTGCAAGTCTTTGGTCAATTTTGGTTGTCGAAAAAATTAGTTACCATCCTTAACAACTGGTGTCTTACCAATGATTGCTAGTTTACTTCTGTGTTTGAAATACGTGAGCGGTTTTAATATTGCTCTCCAGTGTCAACCATCATTAATCTCAATTTATAATGATCATAAACTAACTTTTTATAAAATATTGACAACACAGGGAATTCCTAGGGTCGTTCCTATCACTGAAGGCTACAACCCAGCAACCTGGATGCTTGAAGTTACAACACAAGCATCTGAAGAAAGGCTTGGCATAGATTTTGCAACAGTTTACAAGAACTCATATCAGTTCAGGTTATTCCTAGTGCATTAAATAAAATACCTCCAGTTTTTTCTTCTAATTGTTGGAATTCAGTTAATAAACTAATTTTCTATACTTTAGGAACGTGGAAAACTTAATTGTAGAACTAAGCATTCCAGCTTCTGGCACAGAGCCTTTAAAGTTCTCATCGGAGTTTTCACAGAATCGCCTTACTCAATTCATGGTGTGCCTGCGCAAGCAAAGTCTTGTTTACTGGAGAAGTCCAGAGTATAATGTTGTGCGGTTATTTTTCACATCAGTTGCTGCTATAATATTTGGTTCAATATTTTGGAACGTCGGGATGAAGAGGTAAATCTTCAACGCAGAACTTCTCAAATACTCCTTCTGGTAAAAAAGTATATGGTGTTTGACTTGTTTTATGGTCTTCAAGGTGTTACTTTGAGCACAAGTTTTTAATAGAATAAGTTTATCAGATTATTATAGTACTTTTCAAGACAAATGTACACAACTTTTTTTATGTTTTCAAGCAAAATATTTTAAAAGTTGATGACCAATGTTTCAAAAGTTCGACTAAATGTCCAAAATATCATATATTTAAATTTTCACCGGATGTTGTCCAAGGCGACCAGAGGGATTATTTTCTTGTATGTCTTATGTATATTTATGTTTGTTCTTAGTAATCATCTGATAGCAAAGCATGTATTTTACTTGAATAATTTATTCATGGAAGGGTTGCACTATTAGCTAGAGAATTATTTCAATTTGTTCCACCTAGCCACAAAACTCTAATTTTGTAGAATTGATTCCCCAAGCTATATTCTTCTTTACTTGAGCCCAAGCACTGTTTGATTTTTTTTAGTTAACATCATTTATCATCAATAATTATATAAATGGACCCATCTAACTAATACCTTGATGACATGAATTCCAATTTGACCCACTGAAAGTATCATACCAATTTTGATAAAATAACCAACTGTTATTTGAATTCGATAACATTATTTGGAACATTGTCAAGTACATTAATTGTGCGCAAGAAGATCTCTACCTAAGCCATCCTAGTCTTCCTATGTGTGCTATATACCCATGTCAAAGTTGGTTCAGGATACTGTGAATCCAACAAAAGATAACTCTTTCAGAAGAGCCTTAATTTTGAGTTGCATCTGAATGGGTTAAGTATCTCCATTAGAAGTGTGTGTTCGACTGACAACTGAGCTCTGTATTGTCGACCCTAAATTATTTCTCCCAACCACTCGTATGCATGTATGATTTCTATGTATACGTGTTGGAATGAAGGTGAGAGGCATACACCATTTCACTTACATCAGTATTATTTTGCAGAGAATCCACAGAAGATATATTACTTCTCATGGGTGCTCTTTATGCGGCATGCCTATTTCTTGGTGTAAATAATGCTTCATCTGTACAACCTGTAGTTTCTGTTGAGAGGACAGTCTACTATAGAGAAAGAGCAGCTAACATGTACTCGTCATTCCCATATGCTGCAGCTCAGGTTTACCACGTACCTTTTACTGGCCTGGTTCCCATCTTGGTTGTTATCCTCCCTTAAAATCTTTCCTACAGGGTCTTGTGGAGATCCCATATATTGCAGTTCAGACACTAATATTTGGTCTCATTACTTACTTCATGGTCAATTATGAGCGGAACATAAGTAAGTTCTTTGTCACCAGAAATGTTTCCAATCCATATGGTCTTGCAGAGATTCTAATGCGCTTCCAGTCTTCTACACATAACGCAATTGGCATTTCTTTATGGTACTTTAGTCTTTTTCCCATTTTGTAATATGATAAAGTCGATCTTTTGATTGCAGGAAAATTGGTCTTGTACCTTATTTACATGTTCCTTACTTTTACCTACTTCACGTTTTATGGAATGGTGGCAGTAGGCTTGACACCTACTCAACACATGGCATCTGTGGTATCCTCAGCGTTTTACTCATTATGGAATCTTCTTTCTGGGTTCTTAATCCCACAATCTGTAAGACACTACAAGACATTATTTCATTCTACTTTTGTCTTTTTTTTTCTGTTGAATTATTTGTTAACAATCTACATAGGAAAGGCTTTACTTAATTATTTCCTGGAAAATCATGGAATGCATGTCTGATCAAATCTTTATGTTTTATTAATTTTATTGCTCTATTACCTTAATTTTCCCACGCTGATAGTTTTCGCCAGTTTTCATGCTGAGCATCTAATTTCAGTTGATGCATTGTTAAAAAATACCCTTTTGGAGCTAATCAGATAATATTTTTTAATCTATTCTGATTAATTTTTATTGACCATCTTACAGAGAATTCCAGGATGGTGGATCTGGTTTTATTATATCTGCCCAGTGGCATGGACCCTGCGAGGCGTCATTACATCACAATTAGGTGACGTGGACACGAGGATAGTGGGCCCTGGTTTCGACGGGACGGTGCATGAATTCCTCCAGCAAAACCTGGGATTTGAACAGGGGATGACAGGCGCCACGGTTGCCGTCCTCGTTGCGTTTTCGGTTTTCTTCTTTTCAATTTACGCCATATCCATCAAGATGATTAATTTCCAGAGAAGGTAACCACTCTACTGGACACCCTGGTGGCAGAGCTGATGTTTGGGTGTTGCCTTTATTGTGGATGAAGCACCAGTTAATGTGAGGACAATGTTTGCTGATGCAGCTAAAAGAAATATAGCTAATTTTGAGAGTAGCATTCCAAATGTATATATCGAAAGAAGATAGTTGTGCAATGTATATATTTCTTTTGCTGGTTTTGGAGAGGGATTTTTAAAACTCAAGCTTTGAAGCCACTATGCTTGATACTTATGTTGGGCATCTCCAAAATGTGTTGTGTTCCAGGAACAGAGTTCACTCCAACATACTAGGTTGTCTTAATTATTCCAAAACCGTGTTCTGATGTAACTATGGAAGTGTTCCTCTGTACGTACTCTTGTTGGGCATTTTCACTCTTGACGTGCTAGAAGAGTTCCCTCCAATACATTGTATGTCATATTCCGCTTCAAATATATATGTATATATCATGTTTATTTAGTATCATTGACACCATCCGGCCTTTTCCCTGAATGAAAAAAATCCTTCACAGCTCCAACAATGTCACTCTTAACGCAGCCCCAATTCCTTTGGTAGAACCTTGCCGGAAACCTGTCAGGCCCAGGTGCCTTGAGTGAGCCAATCTAAAACATCGCTGTTGCTATCTCCTCTTCCAAAAATTCCTTGCATAAATTGGCATTCATTTCTACCGATACCTTTGTCTATAAGAGTCTCGTGACTCTGGATTGGTCAAGACTTAGGTTAGCAGTACATATCGACTGAAAATACTCAGTTGCCATCTGCTCCATCTCGCTTGCCGTACTGTGAACAGTGCACCCGGCGTCCCGAAGTTTAGATATCTTGTTCTTTTTAGCCCTCCAAACAGCCCGGCTATGAAAAAAATTGGTATTGCAATCTCCTTTCTTCAGCCAGTTGACACGAGAACGTCGGAGCCATAGCATTTCTTTTCTGTATAATAGTTCATCGATGTTATCAGTTTCTTGGCGAATAGCAACATGATCTGTATTTGCCACAAGTAAGTCTGAAAGCTTCTTTCTTGCCTTGTCAAGTTCACGACCTACGTTTATGCACTTGGCCTTGCTCCAAGAATGCAGGGCTCTCATTACTTTGCCAAGAGCTTTCTTTATGTCTCCCAGATTCTGTTTTCCCCCTGAATCTTCCCAGGCTGAATTTATTACTTCCTGTAGTGCTGCTTCTCTTTCCCAAAATATTTCATAACGAAGACATTTCGTTTTGTGTTGGGACTGAGATTCTGTATCGAACTTTAACAAGATCGGGCAATGATCAGAGCAGGGTGAGATCAAATGAGATACTTGATAATCAGTGAAGAAATTCCGCCAGTTATCATCCGCAACTGCTCGGTCAAGTCGGACTTTCACATTGTTCCGACCCTCTCTTTTATTGTCATATGTATGCGACAACCCTTTAAATCCAAAATCAAACAGCTGGTAATTATGTAAAACATCCCGAAATTCTTGCATCTGTGCTTCGTTCCGGGGTCTCTTGGAAAAGTGCTAAAATTGCCACAACACCTCATTAAAATCCCCTATAACAAGCCATGGCAAACCAGAAATTTGCCTAATTGAACTCAACAGGGACCACATCAAGTGCATGTTCACCACTCTGGGTTCACCATACGCAAAGGCAGCATGCCACAAAGGTCCATCCAGAGACAATCTCACATACGCGTCAATATATCTTTCATTCATACTTAAAACTTCGACATGAACATACTCATCGCAAAACAAAGCAAGGCCACCACTCATTCCTTCACTACTAACCCCAGCAAAACCATTTAAAACCAATCTAGGAGTATTACGAAGGCATCTAACTCTTTCCACTTTTTTCCTAGTCTCACATAAAAAAAAACTATATGGGAACCAACCTCTTTCACCAAGGTACAAAGTTCTCGAACTGTCGCGGCATTCCCAAAACCCCGAAGTTCCAAGATAGGCAACTCATTGCTCCTGACGGGTCCCGTCATCGGGTCCCGTCAGTTTACCAGTAGCCACATGACTGGTTGCTTCCATATCCACCGCCTTGGCCCCCTCCACTGCATCTTTCTTGAACCTCTTCAGCACTCGTGCTGTGTTGCTAGGTACCACCTAGAGTTGCTTGTTGTCCCCTGTCAACTGCCCATAGCCCAAAAAGGCCGGTTGCACTCTCCCCATCTGTTTAGCAGCGCCCTGATCAGGAGATCTTCTCTTGAGTTGGCTATTACTTTCCTTAGTTGATCCATCCCCAAACGACGCCTGTTGGTGTAGGTTCTTTATCACTGGAATCATCTCTTCTGAGGGAAGTTGTGCAGCCTCTGTCCCTCCACGACCACCTTCTGACGAACTATCCTGCTGCCTCGCCACCTTCTTAACAGAAACCTGCAGATTGCAAGCTTGCTCTGCCAATTGTTGATCTATCTTCTCATCTTCCTCCTTCTCTCTGGATTCAAAACCATCCTGAGCATCCACCCTCCGGGGAATGGCTTCGTCCCATTGTTCTCCTTTATCTTGACACGACGAGGTTGAGCTTGCACTGCCCACACCTTTGAAAATGAGCTTGCACACAACCCCTGTACTCTGCATCGGCTTCACCTTATTGATCTTCCTCTCAAATGGTTTCAGAGGTGAACAACGCAGCTCTGCGGAGAATTGGAAAGGTTGAAAACCTGTGGCCAGTTTCCTATCACACTCCTTATCTGAGTGGCCAATTAAACCACATATGAAGCAGAAGTGTGGCACTCGCTCATATCTCAAATCAAAGTGCCGAACGACCTCATTACCTTGAACATTGATTTTAATGGCTAGCTTTGTTTTCAGGGGACGCTTGACAGGAAGATCCACTCATAAGCGGGAAAAAAAATCATGTTTGTTACGCCCGTCATCCTCCACATCCACTTCCTTGACCTGGCCAAGTTTGCTTCCATATAAAATTCCTCTTTCTTTCGTCATTAGAACCAGCGGTAAATCATATATCCTAACTGTTGGCGGCTATTAAATGCCTATTCTATGTCGCCAGTACCTGCATAATACTTGGATAATACAACATCCAACATAGTGATAGGATTTAACTCTAACATATTCCACGAGTGTTAGTGTATATTTGGATGCAAGTAATAAACCACTGAAGTTGGGAGAAAATTTAGATTAAAGTGAAGAATAATTCTATTCATATGAGAGTTGGGCTCCTAAACTCCATCAAAACAGCAAAAAATGGGCCCAACTACTGGAGAAATGGATAAGGAAGAGCGAGGAGGAGGCCCAGACTAAATCTGGGGACCATCTGGCCTAGCCCAGGTTGGTTCGGTCGAACCCTGGTGACCGCCGTTGGATCCAGGTTTTGGTTTAGACACTTCAGACGCTCTCTTGATGGCGGTTGCGGGGTATTTTTGACAATTCACATAGTTACAACCGTCATACCTGCCTATTTAAGGAGTTCACTCCTTCACTTCTCACACACACTCCAAGCTTGAGCTGAATTATAAGAGGCTCTATTGTACTTTATGTATACTAGAATTAGGGAGAGAGTAAAGTAGAAGAAGTCGAAGGAATTCTGAATTTGTCAGTAATCCTCTTCTATTTCTTATACTTTATTAATTATTCTGCTTTAATAGAAATATCATTATGAGTAATTAAGATTTACTTCGTGAGAATTATTCTTGGTTAGTTCCTAATTAGCGCGTGGGATCATTGTTCACTATAGTCCATTAATTTATATTGATTGCTTTAGTGTTTAGCTAGCGCTAAAGTAGTTATTAATTGCGTAGACGCGGTGTCTGAGTAATTAACTTCCGGTGATTGCTTCGTATCCCACAATAGGCTTGAGGTGGGTGTAGAGGTGGTGACAGCCCTCAATTACAAGTCCTCCCTGTCCGGGTACGCAGTAGAGTGACATCTGGGAGTAGCAGGATGGTCAGTGCCTGAAGTATCGCGTTAGGATTAAACTGAGTTTTCCGTAGACACTGTTTCTTACTAGTAAATCCTCTCTACCCTTTGCCTACATTTGCTTCATGCCCTTGGATGAGCCTGAAGAGCTGAACACACATGTTCCCTGATGAAATTGATACCTTGGAATACTCTCAGATGAAGTGCTACATTGGTATCTTCCGTATGCTTACGGATTTTACCTGTGATGTTAAGAAATACCAATACTAACCTAGATGGGAACTACCTCAAGGGGAACCTGTGACGGACTAGTAATTCCATCAAACTTTGCCACCATAAGAGCATCTTCTCTGTGCAGCCATGGGCCTCCCTGTACGATGAACTGGTAGACACCCTCCACTATGAAAGTAACAATGAACAAATTGTCTCTCAGAGACTTAAACTTATGTCAGATTTCAGCCTCCACGCCCGTGGCATATCATCAAAAAGAGCTGTCTGATTCGGCGTTTTCAGCGAATAATATCATTCCAGGATTGACCATTGTCCTGCTTGCTTGACCTCTTCTTCCTCTAAATTCACCTCAATCACGTCCTCTTCTTCATAGACTTCGCCTTCTGTAAATGCTCCAGGTCCCTGCAAATAGCTATCTTGCTCTTCTCTTTGAACCGAGCTTTGAGAGGATATAACCAGCTTGCATTTATCCCCCTATCTTTGAGAGGATATAACCAAAGCTAAAGCAGTTGGATCATCCACCGCCATCTTATCCCCCTACAACTTGTGGCACATCTTGGCCATGGCGTCGCTCGACGGCTTCGGGCAGGCAACCTTCTCAACGATGGTCCCTTTATCGCCCCCACCGTCAAAAGACGTCATGGATTGGATCTTGTTGCCTCGAGGACTAAACCCTAGAAACCAAAGCAGACCTAGCACCTCCATGGATTTCACGGGTTCAACCAGTAGCGGCGTAGTCCCCTCAGCTTTATACGCTTCAACTACCGAGTCCGATTTCTTCATGATCTCAAACCAGAAATACCATCCACGATCATATTTCCAACGTTTCCCAATATGAGATCCCATATGTTTGTTATAGGACATTTGCTTATTTGACCCTATTTCGAAGCCTAACTACCAATTTAGCCCTATTTTTCTAGTTTGCTTATTTGACCTTGTTTTTCGAAAACAAACACTCCGTTTGATTCTGTTTCTGCCACACCGTTAAATATCCATTAAAAAAAAAGAAAAGAAATATAATTACATTTCGTAATGACCAAAATACCCTCGAACCCTATCCAGACAACCCTATCCAGTCTCTCTCTCTTGTATTCTTCCTTCTCTCTCTCCCGGCGAGTGACGCGGTGGCGCTGGCTGGTGGAGGGAGCACCGACGGCGGTAGCGGCGGGCCGTGGAGGGAGGGGATCCGCGCCGGCACCGACTCGCGGAGGGAGGGCGGCTGTGCCGGGGCGTGGATCTACGGTGGTGACGGCTAGTGGAGGGAGGAAGCACCGGCGGCGGTCGCGGCGGGCCGTGGAGGGAGGGGATCCACGCCGGCGGTGGCTCGCGGGGGGAGAGCGGATGTGCCGGGGCGCAGATCTGCGGCGGCGACGGCTGGGGGAGGGAGCGACCGCCGGGCCATGGAAGACGGGGATCCATGCCGGCGGTGGCTTGCGGGGGGAGAGCGGCTGCGCCGGTCGCAAGTGGAGGTAGTGGCGGCGCGGCCATCATCGTTCCAGTGTTCGATGTAGTGGCCTTCCATGGCGTCGAAGCTGTTGACGATGAGGCCATGGCTGCCGGCAGTGGTCTTTCCTAGCTTCGCATCCATCTCCACGATCTGCGTGAGAAAGACGTGCGGGAACTCCAGCACGGGGAACGCCGCCGCGGCGCCGCGCGCGCCGTCAGCCACCAACACGACTTGCGGGAACATGTACACACTTCGCACCAAAGAACGCCACCGTCGGGAAGATGTCAAATTGTCTTGTTCACTTCAATTTGTGAAAAATCTGTCAAATTGTAATTAAATTTATCAAATTGATTCAAATTTGTCAAATTGAATTCAAATCCGTCAAACTTGTATTGAATGTGAAACATATGTCAAATTAATTACAAATTTGTCAACAGATCTGAATATATACATGTTCTGACATAATAAAATAGGGCCAAATAAGTAAGGACAAAAAGGACTATTTGCTCCTAACTTAACACCGTTAACTCATCTTAACGGAATAGGGTCAGATGGTAGGTTCGTTTTCGAAAAGCAGGGTCAAATAAGCAAACTAGAAAAAGTAGAGTTAAATTAGTAGTTAGGCTTCGAAACAGGGACTGTGTTTAGTTCACTTCAAACTTTCAATTTTTCCGTCACATCAAATGTTTGGACACATGCATGGAGCATTAAATATGGACGAAAAAAACCAATTACACACTTTGCATGTAAATTGCGAGACGAATCTTTCGAGCCTAATTACGCCATGATTTGATAATGTGGTGCTACATTAAACATTTGCTAATGACGGATTAATTAGGCTTAATAGATTTGTCTCGATGTTTACAAGCGAAATCTGTAATTTGTTTGTTATGATTAATAGATTCGTCTCGCTGTTTACAGGCGAAATCCGTAATTTGTTTTATTTTTAGTCTACGTTTAATATTTCAAATGTTTCAAATGTGTATCCGTATTAAATTTTTTTTTTTGCCAAAACAACTAAACACGGCCAGGGTCAATAAGCAATTGCCCTGCTTGTTATAGATACCATAGTAGATTATCTCATCTGGTATCCTTACCTTATCCGCTAAAGATTTATTGGTATGGCGGCTGTACTGGGAATCGAACCCAAGCAGAAGACCAAAACAGACCTTCCAAACTCGATTTTCCAACCGGATCACACCCACGGGTGAAATCCCTGAAGCGTTTTTCTGCAAATCGGAGTAGAACTCCATCTAGATCCATCTCTACACAAGAAAAATGGCTGCCGCCTCCTGGTCGCCCAGGCGCCGCCAAAACCCTAGCATTCCGTAAAAAACGGAGCAAATTATAATAACTTTTTTTTGGGGGAAATTATATTGTAACAAATATATGTATAAAGTTATGTTTTAATTTTTAGTATTTATATTAAAGTTATAATTTAGTTATAGTATAATCTATCTATTATTATATACTAAAAATCCATTAAACTTCCTGCAAACGCTCTGAAACCGCCACGTGACACCCCTACAAACGCTCCTATACCGCCACGTGGCTCTCTAATAAATTAGAAGAATTATAAAAAAAGCAAAACATCTAATCATTGGTTTTCATTTAATCTGGTGGACCCATTATTTTTAACCGTTAGATATAGCATAAAAATGTCAATTAGATTTATTATCTTCAGAAAGCCACACATGGCACGTACGTGTACGTCAAGTACGTACGTACTCCATCCGTCCAAAAAAAAAGGCAAACCCTGGATTTCCGTGTCCAACGTTTGACTGTCCATCTTATATGAAATTTTTTTATAATTAGTATTTTCATTGTTGTTAGATGATAAAACATGATTAATATTTTATGCATGACTTGTCTTGTTAATTTTTTTCATATTTTTTTTAAATAAGATGAACGGTCAAAAGTTGTACACGGAAACTCAGGGTTTGTCTTTTTTTTTACGGACGAAGTACATATTTTGTACGTGAGCCCCACACCTTATTTTCTATTTTTCTTTTGCACGAACACATGAAAAAAATAAAATTCATATTTCAGCCCATATAGTTCGGAGTATGTACGTTGCACATCAGATAAAAACCACATTAAATAATTCTAGGCTTCCAGCCCATAGTTATACAAATATAAGTTATTTTGAGTTGTATTGTACTCTACTCACGTCATCGAAATATTCATAAAATATCTCAATATGTGAATAATATACATTATATAATTATCTAATTGTATATCACTTAATAATATGTATTAATAAATTAGAATTTCATTTTCAAAAATAAAAACAAATCCAGTTATGAGTAACATTAAAAAAACTCCAGTTGTGAGTATCATTAAAAAAATTACTCCCTACTATAAGAAAATACTGTTATATCAGAATAATATTACTAAATTATCATAATTACACCCTACCAATCAAATACCTAATAATTAAAAAAATTACTAAAACATGATAAAAAAAACACTTGAAAAATATTAGTGCACTAACCATCTACACTATTCATTAAAAAAAAGGAAAGTTATTTTTTTATTAATTATACTATTAATAATTTTAATGTTATGATTTAATAAGTAATAATATTATTTATTTGCTATTTTTTTATTATACCGTTTAGCCATTCGAAAAAGTGCTCGCTACAAATAAGGGAGTAACTAATCCCACAAGCATTTTAGAACACACTCCTAAATTTATTACACTTAGATACAAACACAATATGTACTATACAATATACTTGGTCAATTCTAGCCTAAAATATCAGTTGTATATCCTCACTGATCTCCATATATGTAAGTTTTATATACGAGCCATTATCCACTAATCGCCAAGTCATATTACTTACGAGAAATATCAATCGTATATACTCATTGATCCCTATTTATGTAAGTTTTATATACAAGTCATTATCCACTAATCGCCAAGTCATATTACTTACGAGGTATCTGTGCACACAGTGCATATAACGATTAGCTGAGATCTAATGAGCATGTGTGTCATCAAACACTGAAGATAAGGCAATACTAAGTGCGAAACTGTCAACAAATTATAGATAAGTAGAGGATGCAACCAATCCACCGCAAATAATAGTTGACTACAATTAGATTGCGACAACGAGTAATAGCATTCCTACACTCCTATAGATGCTTATAAGATGTCATGTGATGCTCTAATTAGATAGAATCTAAGAAAAGTTATAAAAAAGCAAAACATCTATCATCGATTTACACTCAAAATCGGTGATCCATTATTTTCAACCATTAAATTAGATATATGACAGTAATACATTTGCCCTAAAAACTGTCCAATCTGTCCTTACATACACACACAACTCCTACATATGTACGTACGTACGCAAGAGATAAAAAAGAAAAAAAATAGTATATGATCTATCCCATCTAGAAGTTTTCTTCCTCTTTCCAACTATAAGGTTTTTCCCAAATTGATCATATGCATAGCGACAACTCCTAGCGATATGGAAAAAAAAGACATGCCATGGCGCCGCCTCATGCCACCCATTGCTCCACCCTCTTCTCGTTAATTTATTTGAAGTATTTTTTTTTACTAACGATGTAAAAAGCAATAACATGAGCTCATATAAATGCGTGCATATGCAGTGTATGGATACACATACGTACGCTCTATCCCTATCCCTATGATAGACAAATATTTGTTCGAACAAGCATAGGTGAAATAGATGTATACTATATAAAAAAAATAAAAACTTGTATTAACTCATATGTTAGCGAAGATCACAGGTTGAGCAAATATTTTTTACGTGGTCCTCACCATTGACTGAAGCTATTAGATTTGAAGTAGGATCGAATGATCAACCGAGCTAATTTTTAAAAGAGAAATAAATTATGTCTACTCTATACAATAAATTGACTCAAAGACATAAAAAAACTATTTTCATCATCTCCATCTTCTTTCACTCACACCCTAAACAACGCCAAGCATGGATCTCAATTGACCTACTTACCAATGCAATTCTTTATAAAATTATACACCTCGCTTATCTTGAGGAGCGCGACTATATCAATGCGGAACCCAAGAATAAAGGCATCAAAGAAAAAATCTTAACGGCTACCATCGGCTTCACCCGATGACTTTTAAAGAGGCATTGATATAAGTTTAATGATTTTATCCAGTTAATTGGTAGAAGCGGTATTTTTAAATATTTATATATAGATTTGATACCTGTAAGTTATTGTATTTGGTATGAGGTAGAGATGAACTTTTTTGGTATTAATGATGTATTTGGTTTATTTTTGATACATATATAATTCTATCTATTAAAAAGACCTTCATATTTAAAGACAATGATAGTAAGTAGTGGTGATAGGTGAGAACAAAAAGATATTCGTATTATTTAGTATGTCAACATCTATGGTTTGCCCCTCCCCCTCAAAAAGACCCACTTTTGGATTTGAATATAGATATATATGTCCAGATTCAAACATAGAAGTGAATATTTTTTTTTTTTGATGGAAGGGAGCATTCCTTATAGTGAATATGGTGAGACAAAGCTTCATTTAGTATTTTTTTTATAAACAATAAATAAACTACCCGCGCATGTGCGCGGGCTTTCTTACTAGTTATATTAATGATTATATTATAATTTTAGTACAGTTAAATTTGAAAGTTTTTCACATTAAAAACTTGCGGCAGTTTTCTTTAGATATATAGTCTTTTTCAAGTTTATGTTTATCTCCATTTTCAACAATTTACGGTTGAGAATAACGTCAATATATTTGACATTCTTTTTACTCGACATGTCGGTAAATTCCAAAAGTATACATTGATTGCAGTATACTGCAGTAGATTCTTGATCTTAGGATTACATGCTTGCCGTACATCTTAATTAGCACATAGCTAGAATAATCAGCGTGTTAAGTTGCTCAGGGCGTACTCACTGGCCGGCCACTCCTGGAAGCCGAAGCCGGTGGCACGCCGGGGATCAACGGCGGGAGGAGGGGCACTGGCGGTAGAAGAGATGGCGGGGGCGGTGGAGGCGGTGGTGGGTTGAGCAACGGCAGCGGCAGCACCGGCGGTATTAACGACGATGGCGGCGGTTGTGGGGTGAGCGGCGGCAGGATTGATGGTGGAGATGGGGTGGGGAACACCGGCGGGACGAGAGACGGCGGCGCCGGCGTGATTGGATTCGGCGGAATTGGCACGCCGCCGATGTTCGGCGGCTCCGGCACGAGAGGGAGCGGCGGGAAGAAGATCCCTTTGTCGTCGCAGAGCTCCGGGTGGACGGCGAACGCTCCGGCGTTGAAGACTCGGGCGCCGTCGCCGCCGTTGTGCTTCGTGGCGGCGAGGCGGAAGCCTCTGGCAGTAGCGGCGGACGTGGCGGCGGCGTCGTCGCATGGGCGCGCCGCATTGCTGGCGAGCAGCTTCACCGAGCACGACGTCACGGAGGCCAGCCGGCTCTTGGCCTCCGGCGGCAGGTGGACGCGGAACTCGCCGCGACGGTCGGTGAGGGCCTGCTGCCGGAAGACATCCCGACCGTTGCCGTCGTGGCACCGGACGGCGACCGGGGCACCTGCACGCATGCGCAACTCACGGGCAAGAGAATCATGGACTGCAAGAAGTGGACATGGCTGAAAGCCTGGAACGTTTGAGATGGAGGAGAAGGCCCCTGCGCGCGCGCACCTGATACCGCGGCCTTGGTGGCGTCTGAGCCGGAGTGGACGGAGCCGACGACGACGACGACGGATGACGGTGGTTGCCGGACATTCTTCCCGCCATGGTGAGCGGCGAGATGGCAGTGGAAGCAAGAGATGACCACCGCCACGAGTAGCAGCTGCCAAGCGTGCATTCGAGCAGTGGCCACCATCTTTAGGCTAAGAATGCGAGGTGGATTAATTTGTGAACGTCTCGCCTGCTACTATTTATGAACGTGAGGAGAAGAAGAATCGAGAAGCACACTGTTGGATGCCCACGTAGCCAGCCCTGTTACCAACTTACCATTACTAACGCGCGAGAACTGGAGAATTACTCCCTTCAAAAAAAAAAAACCCTGGAGAATTATTTTTATTATTTAATCCTTTTTATTAAATAATTTAAAAAACAGGCCCTCCAAACTTCTCATGTCATGCCAATACTTATGGCATCACAGTGTAGCTTGGCCACGCTATTCAGACTGGTGTAGCCAAAAGTTTTAGTTTGGAAAACAAATATTTGGAGAGTCTATTTTTATTTTTTAAGTAAAAATGGTTAAATAATAAATAGAGTAAATTGTATTGATGGTACACAAACTTAAAAATGGTTAAATAATAAATAGAGTAAATTGTATTGATGGTATACAAACTTGTTAGGCGAGTGCAATTTAGTATATAAACTTATAAAATGCTCATTTCGGTAAAAGAACTTGTCTAGTTTGTGCGAACGAGGACCAAAATAGCTTGCAATGTTAATTTTATAAAGCTGGTGTTGATTAGGATGTGACGCCCATACGTGTAATGAGTATGTATAAGACATACAATATTTATAATATTGGTCTCTACTTTATCCTTCATCATGGAAACGATGAATGTCATATATCTCTAACCCTTATATCATTGCTCATTTTTTCATATATTTTTCTATGTTCACTATATATATCCCGTTCTATTTTTTATTGTAGAGGTGTACGGATAATAGCAACCTTCTCAAATATATATGTATACATAGTATCCTAATCAGCCCCTATTGAAGAGGTGTATGGCTAATAGCAACCTTCTCAAATATATGTTTACATAGTATCCTAATCAGCCCCTAAATCAATAGGATTATCCATGTTCGCCTTTCTTTGCACGCACCAAACAAGCTCATGCACCAAAAACGAGTATTTTACAAGTTCGTGCATTAGATTGTACCCACTTGACAAGTTCGTATACCTTAGATGCAATTTAATTTACTCTAATAAAAAAAATCAGAACTGGGCAGGTAAAATACGAACGAATGTTTTTTTAAGACGAGACGAGGGAGGTGGTAATACATTACTACATCTCTCCGGCTGCTCGCCGGATTGTATTACTGTAGAACAGTTTCCATGCACGCACAAACGACATGACATATACGTACACACAACAGGCAGCAGACTATAAATTAATATTTTTATAACAAATAAAATAAATTTATTATGATCATGTGTGTGTGTCTTTTACACAATTGATGAATAGTTAGCTATCACACCCTAAAGTTTCACATTTCTTTAGCCTCAATTCAATTAATAAACTGTCTCCCAAGAATTAATTTGAATTAACCTAGAGCTAAACCCTAATTAATAAATACAATTAATAAGTGGAAATGGTATGGTGAGGTTTTTCTTGAGTTCCCCATGATTAAATACATCAACATGATTTTTACTAGAATTTCCAAAGCAAAAGAAATCATTCTAATAATTCAAATTCGATTATCATAATTAAATTAATTGTTATTCTTTTTTTTCCTCTACTTCTCTCCTCAGGTCGCTTGTCGGACCCTTCCCTTACCTCCGGCCGGCGGAGCCGGAGGGTGCAAACGTCGCTCGCATGTCCTGCACATCTCCTGCGCCCCACTCCACCCTCTCCGTGCAGCCGACGCGCTCCACTCCCCGCAACTACCTCCCACTACCAGAAACATTATTACCTCTGACGGCTAAAACCCATCACGAATAAATGAAAAACCGTCAGGAAAATCGGTCCTGACGTGTCAACGTCAGGAAAATACCGTCAGAACTAGCTTGTTGGGGAAAAAATAATTTGCCTGACGTTTGTCCGTCAGGAAAACTATTCCTGACGTGAGGAAAACTATTCCTGACGTGCGCTCACGTCAGGAATAGTTTTCCTGATGTGGATTGCACAGTCAGGTGGTTTCATACACGTCATGAAAATTAATGACCGTCGGTAGTGTCAACTACTCCCGCCGCATGTCGCTCCCCTCAAAATCGGTGGGATTAGATTTTCAAATCTGGCCGATGTCTCTCTCTCCCTCTCCACTCCCATGTCCGCTGCAAAATACGCCCCCCTACTTGCCACATCCGAGCTCCCTGCCACTATATAAACGACCCTCATGCTCACCTCCTTTTCCCTCATCCGTCGCTCGCTCCCGTCCCCTAACTCGCGCCCACGCCGCCTTTTCGCCGCCTCTGGTCGCCACTAGCCGCTGCGCTAAGCCACGCCGTCACCTCCACCGGGTTCGCAAGGTCGAGGGCTACCTCAGCCGCCGTTCGTCCGTCATTGTCCGCAGCCATAACACGCCTTCCCTCAGTTCGCCGGTGAGCCCTCCATATCCACCGCCTCCGGTCGGCAATGGTTGCCGCCGTGGCCTCTCAAACCCCTCTGATCTTCTTCCCTAGGTCGTTCTGGAGCCTGTACACCCCTTGCCGCCATCGTTGTCGTCCTCCCCGTGCTGGTCGCCGTCGTCGTCGGTGAGGCCCTCCTCTTTTCCTCCTCCCTCTCCTTGCCGTGCCGCCGCTCGCCGTCATCGGGCCGGCTTGTCCCGAGCTGCGCTCCAGTACCCGTGGACCGGTGGTGGACCACCACGGTGGTCCCGGTCCACAGTGGACCTGGTGCTATGTCACCGACGGATGGGGACCGTGTGTCGGCACCCCCTTCCCCTCGCTGACGTCAGCGTCGGCCTTTAATGCAAAATAATTGATTAAGGACTTTTGTTTATAGTAAAAACACAATGAATCTTCTAGAATTCATATCTAATTTATTTGAGCTCCGTTTAAGTCCACTCAAGTCTTAGTGAATTCATAAAAATGATTAGAATCCATTAGAAATGGTTTCATTTCCTGTTTCAGTGGACTTATATAGCCTGTTTTGCTTGTGTGCTTTCTTTGTCACATAGAATCTGGCAGTTCCGACACTCACGTCTATTACGAAGTGGTTGCAGAGGTTCGAGCAGCACCGGAGCAAGGAAAGTCATGCATTACAATTGATCATATTGTACCCAATTTGTAAATGTCTCGCTTTCTATTAAATGCTACATTATTTTACGATGTCATGTGAGATGGTTCCTATTACTTAGCCATATGTTGTTTACCTCATACCTTTCATAACTTGGGATCCAATATGATTAGATATTGGTTTAGAAAGTGCTTAGCCATGCTTAGATCAACAAGCTCTTGATGGGGAATCTCACTAATATCTTAGACCTTGATTATTTATGATAACTTTGGATATGTACCACCATGGTATTAATTAAACTAAAATATGCTTAATGGTGGGCCGTGGGTGCATGATTTTGATAGACGTGCTCATGGCATTTAAGGATTGGTTCGCGGGTTACCCTAGAAGATTTACCATATTTACCAGAAGCCAGCATGAACAACGGCTGGGCTTGTAGTGTAGGTTTTCCCTAGCTGACGTACCAAGGCAAGGGTGAGCGTGATGGAATTTGGATGGGCCCTGTGATGGCCTTTGTGGCTTTTGGATTCACCTAGGCACAAGAGGGGATACCTGACTTGGTTATAAAGGAGGAGGTGATCGAAACCTGAAAAGGGTACAATTTGTTAGGGAGGGTTATGCGAAGGGTCCTGTCACAGTCTCCTTCTGGTATGTTATGGTGGTATATCATGCACGGAAACGTGTCGTGCGGCTGTCTTGTGGGTACAGTTGTACACCTCTGATCAGAGTAAAACTATTCGAATAGCCGTGCCCGCGGTTATGGGCAATCAACCAGACTCGCCGTGATTTGTCTCACTCTTAATAATTTGACTTAATGGAACTAGTTTAGTTCAGGTGGTTGGTTGGGCCTATTGCGATGTGTTGTAGCATTGTACAGTGATAATTAATATTGCTTAATTAGCTTGAACAATTTACTACTTTCAACTTCTCCTTTTAAATGCTAGCTTTATGCAAATAACCCTTAGCCTCCTTTGGAATTACCTTGCATCATACCTCCTCTTGGTATGACTTGCTGAGTAAAGTGGGTAGTACTCAGTCTTGCTCTATCTTCCTCACTTCAGAGGCAGAGTACTTTTCGGATGGAGGTTACTCAGAGGATTAGGCTCGTCACTGCCATCAAGGATGCCCGTGGAGTAGAGTCGCCACGCTGCGAGCGTCAAGTTGTCTAGTTTAGCTCGCTTTTAACTCCATCGCATATGTAGGACTTTATTACGTTTATAAGACATGGATTTGTGTATCAACTTGTCGTTCGTGTACTCTGGTTGGTCCTGGAAAGGGGTTCTAATACACATTCTGCTTGGAAATTCTGATTCGTGAATTTCTGGGGTGACTTAAGTTTAAACAAAAGCTTAATCAAATTGAACGACAAAGGTCAGAGGAGCTTTCAACAGATAGAGCTACTCATAGACTCTCTCGCTTTTCAAATACTTTACGTACCTACTCTAGATTTTGAAATTTGGTAGCTGTAAAAATCTAAAAATAAATAAGTAGCCAAAAGAAACACCCAGTTTCTATTTATATCCACTAGCTGAATACTCATTAATTGCTTCTCAGAATCTCTAGTTCTCTCAGTAGGAAAAGAAAACTCTTGCTCCACAATCACCTCCTATTGTATGGCTCTACCGCACTAGTGGTTACAATTTTTTTTCATCTCTTGAATGTAAGTTTTCAAATTCATCCACCACTTTGCTTCAGACTTTTTAAGTACTCCCTTCGTCGTTTCATTTTATAAGTCGTTTAATTTTTTTCTAATCAAACTTCTTCAAGTTGATCAAGTTTATAGAAAAATATAGTAATATTTTTAACACAAAACAAATATATTATCAAAATATATTCAATGTTAGATTTAATGAAACTAATTTGTTATTTTATACTCCCTCCATCCATAAAGTTACACCTATTTCACATTTGAGTTTTTCCAAATAAGTTGTTCCTATTTGTAGTCTTTATGCATTCAAGACTTAAATGAAGAGATAAATTAAATGTTTTATTAGAATCCATGGAGTCATCTAAATATTCATTGGTTGCATGCTTGCATTCACTCCTTAATTTTGTAACATCCAAGGTGACTTAAGTTCTCCTTGGTCTTGGTGTCAAAAGTAATATGTGTAACTTTTGTAGATGAAGGGAGTATGTTGCTAAATTTTGCTATAAACTTGGTCAAACTAAGATAGTTGCCTTAAAAAAAAGGTCAAACGAGTTATACTATAAAACAGAGGGAGTAACAAGTGAAAATTCAGAGATATATATATATATATATATATATATATATATATATATATATATATATATATATATATATATATGTCTAGAAAACAAATGATATTTTCTTTATGTGAAAGTGAACAATCGAGTGAATCAAGTGAATCAGGAAAGTCAAAATGTTTTGTCCCATACATTGAATAGCGGCTTGTCGGCATGAAAGAACTAGTGGATATAACCGAACATTCCTCTCTACAATTATAGCACAAGCATCGCTAGATGGAAATTCGCCTAAAAAAAAACATCAGTACATAGAATGGCTTTAGATCTCTGATGAATTTTGACACAGTCACCTTATATGTCTGTACTCGTATAATTTGTATACATCGATGACGCTTCATATGTCCAAAGCAGACAAACTCACTCCATCCATACATGCGTATAATAGAAATTAATTCGATCAGCCCCTATACTTGAGAGATGTATACGACCACTACTTTTATCAGAGGCCTGCAACAGCCCAAAAATCAGTCATCTATGCACTATCCTAAGCACAAACTAATGAATACAATCGTATGGCCAGAAAGGCAGAAACAACCAGCCGTTAAGAGAACAACCAATTGACACACATGAGTCGACGTCTACACGGAGGGATGGCAGTGTTTTGGGAGGTTATGCGCCTTCGTTGTCAGGGAAGAGAACAAATATACATACAAGTTTATTTGGCACACTCGTGACTCACCCCATTCACAGCTTCACGTGCAGCGGTTAGGAACGAGTGAGATGCTACGTGGCGATGAAACTGTTCAGCGAGATAATGTTTCCGATGATTATGTAGCGATTGGCTCCGAATTTGTATGCGGTGCTTGCCTAAATGCCTGTCCATTTGACATGTGCCTTTGTTAACCTTATTGAAATTGAAAATTAGTTTGTGCTTTATCGTAGTGAGCATTGCTTATCTAGTAAGTATTTTAAGAACTCCAGTTCAAGTTGTATGCTTCATATGATCCTCGTATTTATGGCTAATTATTTTTCAATGATAAACTCATAATGACTTTATCAATATCAAAATATACCGGTACAGTCTTTCGGAGATAGAGATGCTCCTGGATGTACGGTTGCACTACTATAGAAATAATTTTTCTGGACGAGCATCTCAATAGATTGCAGACAGACAATAGGTGTCGGCGTTTGTAAAAATTGACCCCTACTTTCGCATACGGCTATTTAAGAGACCCACAGGTAAAAATCAATTTTCGTATGCGTGCCACTTAACATGTCCGCATGCGAAAATACCCCCATTTTCATATGCGGCCTTCACTACTAGGAAATCGGGCTTATGCAACGGCTAGAATTCGTTGCAATATGCCCAAAATCATTGCAATAGGAGAAAATGCAACGGATTTTTGTCATTAGGACTCGTGGCGCAAAACTCCGTAGCAATAGGGTTTTTACCACTTGATCACTTTGCCGTTGCAAATAACAACTTATTTTGCAACTGAGTGAACCATGGCAATTAACAAATAATGCAACGGTGGGTTGGTGGTAATAGAACGTATTGCAACATCTGATGTCGTTGTCGTAGGAACTAGTCGCATCGCAGCAAAGCGTGGTAATAAGTGCTTAATGGCGTTGCAAAATGTGTATTACCACGGACCTCAAATGTGGTAATAGGTCGACCTCTTGCCATGCTCACAATTTTAGTTGCTATAGATAGATCCCACTATTGCCACGCTATGTCTCGTTGCTATAGCTAGACCCTTTATTGCCGCTCAAAATATTTGGTTGCTATAAGTGGGCACCTCTATTGCCACTAGAATTATTTGGTTGTGCACCTCTATTGCCATTAGAATTGTTTGTTTGCTATAGGTGGGCATCGCTATTGGCACAATTATTGTTTGATGGCTATAGGTGGGCACTTCTATTGCCAACCAAACGTCTTCGACGATATAGGTGAACCCCTATATTGCCACGATGATGGCGTAGTTGCTAAAGGCGGGCATCTGTATTGCATCGATAAACAAGTGGGCTAAGCCCATATAGGCCCAACAATCAAACACAATAACAACCCATATAGCACAAAGGTTACAGCCTAATTAGCATCCAACACAACCCGACAAACATCCAATACAACACAAAATTTACAACCCAGTTAACAGCCAAATCCAGCTACATTCCAAATACAATCGCAGCAACCAAAATTTCACCAGATGCCGCGTGACCATGATCTTCGAAGTGAGCTTAGCAGCACTGCATATGCACAAGTTAAAACATCAGTAACTGCCAAGCTGAGCTCCTGCAATCAAAAAGTACCCGGAGAACAAAATCACAGTAGTACACCATGGTAATACCTTAAGTTTTCTATCAGGCAACAATCTTGTTTTGATTTGTAAATCGAAACATCACCCCCAAAAAAGTAACCTGAGAAGGACAAAAGTGATTACTCGGTGATGCCAGAGCAACGAAGATCACAAAGCAGTTATTGCCATGGAATAAAACTATAGCATCCACCATGGAAGATGATTAATAGCATCAACAAGGAATACAGGACAAGTAATCCAATAATGTAGATTAAGTCAAGCCTACTCTAGAGCATACCATTCCCATTTGAATAGTCTAAAGTATTGGGCTACCTTGGCTAAAAATGACATGAAAATGTATGCCAACTCCCAAAATAAACTTAAGGCTTTGAGTGCACAAGAAGCAGTTATTATAGGTCTAATTTTTTTGGGACTGCAATTCTAGAAAAAAAAACCAGTAAACCATAGGGGCATAACATACCTTGTTTCTTCTTGTCTCATCTGCACCATTGACAAGCAATATCATTGTTATATCTCTATTTCTACTCTGTATAGCTAAATGCAACGGTGTCCACCCATCCTGCATGAAACAAAAAAATATAAAAGAAAAAATCGATTTCACTGTGAAGGGTTGAACTGATAAGAAAAAGAAAAATGCACAATAGTACATTACATTATCAACAACATTGAAGGGCCAACATGCCATAAAAATATCTAAAATTGGAGTAGAAATTGTTATGTACTTATGTTGCTAGAGAGAAACCAGATCAATGTGAGAGGCACTAACATCACAATGTTTACTATATTCCTCATTGCAGCGTTGTAATGTGCGGTTAGGTAGCCGACAATGTTAATTAGGAACTATTTATAATAAACATTAATAGCAAGTCGATCATAAAGTTGAATGATTCTTTATCTTGGTTATCTATACTAATATAAAAAGGAGCAGTTGTCCCCCTCCAATCCTACAGACCAAATCACCCGAATCGATCTCTGCCGTCCATCTGCGCGCTTGATTTCACCACCGCACGATCCATCCATCCACGCCACGCTGAATACTTCGCTCCTCCTCCACCCGCCAAGACATCACTCCACACGCGAAGACTTCGCTTCTCCTCCTCGCTAGCTCCTCCTCCTCCCCGGATGTTCTGCCGCCGCGCCGCCGCATCCTCGCTGGATATCCTCCCCGCGTGGACTGCCGCTGCCGGAGCCTCTGATTCTTCTTCTTCCCCGCCACCGGAGCCAGTGCTTCTTCCCCGCGTGGACTGCCACTGCATCCCCGCCGCCGGAGCCGGTGCTTCTTCCCCGCCACCGGAGCCGCCGCGGCCGGTTCCAACCTCGGCACCATCCGCCAGCACCGACGACGAGGTCCACCGCCGCGACCGGAGCCGACCTCGGCCCCATCCCCCGCGCGATGACTCCGGGATGCTCCTCCTTCCCTTGATCCGCAACTCCTCACTCCAGCGTGCTCCGTGCCTCCCCGCCGCTGAGACACTCCACCGCGGCCTGCCCCTAACGAAGCTAACTCTGCCGCGCGCTCCTCGCTCCGCTCCTCCCCACCGCCACCACACACCACCGCGCCCTGCCCTCGCCGGCGCCGTGGATCTGTATGTCATGAAGCCTGTCTCCGCTGCTGCACACAGTCGACTCCCCCGTGAATATGCCTTTCGGCTGGTATCACCATCCCGTCACGGCCCTGTGGTCCTACCTTCCAACGGCACTCTGCCGCGCCTCCAGTGGTGCCGCCGTTGTAAGGGTCATAGTCTGCCCACACCACGCACTCGGTTCTCACGGACGTGTGCCATTCTCTCTTTTGCAGGTGAGAGTGCAGAGTGCAGAGTGCTTCAGCTGAAAGTGAGTCTTCCGATTCCCCTCTTCAGCCCAATAGTCCTCTATGTGGATTATCTGAATCTGAATGTACATCATTTTCTTTCACTATGGCTTGATTTACACTATTTGATCTAGCTATCAGTTCAAGTGGATACAATCCTATTGTTATCCTTTCACCACAATCAGTAGTTTTCTGAGAAGTTAATTTCTTTGCATACACTGATGAACTCTGTAGTAGATTCTCTGCAGGCTCTTTCTTGCTCAATTAATTATTGCTCACTCTATAGCAGATCAACTCTGGATTTAGACTTATTTGGCCAAGCACTATGGCTAAAATGGCATGCCAAGCTTGGAACAGAAAGGTCAAGCAATTTTTCCAACCACGGTGCAGCACGTGGCAATGGCACTACCACTAATTTCTATCATATGTAGGAAGATCCAAGTTGATGCTAGCACAGGCTTTGGTGAATCACTGATGGGTGAGAGACCTGCAGAGTTCCTTGTCCAACAGAGCAATGGCTGAGTTCTTTCAGTTGTGGGATGAAATTCAGATGGTGCAGCTTCAACCAGGAATAGCCACGACTCCATTCGGTGGTAGCTAACAGGTGATGGCCAGTTTTCTTTCTCATGGGCTTACAACCTCTTCTTCATGGCAAAGACCAAATGTTTATATGGTGAACTGCATAATTTCGATTCTTTCTGTTCATGATGATCTGTTGGTTAATCTGGAAAGACGGAACGCTTGGGTATTTGAGCAGAGGTCTAGACCTATAGAGCAATTATTTGGAGACATCAAGGAGATCACGATTTGGAAGTCGGCTAGCATTTTTTATCCTGCAGTGATTATTTATTAGTGTTGGTTGTTTATTGTGGTATGAGGTTTTGCCTCATACCTTTGTTCGATAGCATAGTACTTTGTACTTTGTTTCTCCCTAAATCTTAATGAATTTGGTGGGCCTAATCCTTTGGCCAACCTGGCAAATCATTTCAGTAGTAAAAAAATGTGTTTTCCTGGTCAGATTTATATATATATATATATATATATATATATATATATATATATATATGTATATATATATATGATGTCTACTAGGCTGAAACTCTTGGCTTGGAGAAACTTTGTTGCATAATGTAGCAGGAGCTGCAGCGGATTGAAAATTGATGGTATCAAAGGTTCTTAATAATACAAGCAATAAGTTGTCAAAGAATCATTGTTTGATTTTGTAGTACCAAAATTCCAATCACACTTAGTGGCTAATCTTTTTTATTTTGACTAAACTAATGCCACATGTTAGCAGCAGTAGCAGAATTTTTTTATTTTGGTTTCAGGTTTTAGAACTAATGTTATTTGTTGCTCCAAATAATCCACCGATATTGTCAGGTGGGAGCTATTTGACTTGTGTGGCTAGAAGTATTCAAGTCAATTATCTGCTTGCCTCGGCCTACTTCAATAGACAACAGAGGATGCTCTACATCATAATCGTATGCAAAGACAGGTAATACACACCATATTTCCCTTCATTTGCAAAGTCCTAATAAACTGAATAAGAACAGATACCACATTCATATTTTTCTGATAGATCTCAAATCCATATATTGCTAATGGTCTACTTCTCAAATTGGTTTTACACCTCAATGCTTGTTCTGTATTCCGTTTGCCACATATTTTATCAATCAATTGCAGTTCTTTGAAATTGGATCATGACTTCCAACTTGCAGCAGCTAATTGCATTGTATCACACGTTCATTACAAGATACTTAAAGCAAAAACGGCAATATATTGGTTGGCTGCTTGCACTTGCAATGAGTAAGAGCATAGAGGTTCTGGACTTACAATCTGAGGTTAGGATCATGTTCCATATATTTTTACATTGAACACTATTGCATGAATTGCACTATTTGTAGATGTTCTATAGTTAATCAACTATGTTACCTTAAATATACATGGTGTGTTCTAGATTCTGAAATGTTTAGCAAACTTAGGCAACATGTAGATTAACTATCACAATTTATGTCACTTTTTCATATCCAGCGAACTTATCTAACTTTTCTTTTCAGGTTACAAAAAATGCAGGAAAAATGTTTAGACTGTCGAAGCAAATCCATCAGGAGGACACCATGGCATCTGATGTTGTCTACTATGCATCAAAGAGATTACTGGTTGTTTTTATTCCTTCTTTTTGGTTGAGATAATTTACGTTAATATAATGTTTTCATAGAAGTGAGCCAATCTTGATTTGTTTGGTTAACACGGGTTATGTGTTGAACGTGTGATCCAATAGTATGGCTTTGTCATGTTCTCTTATCAGCTAATTGTAAGTCCTTAGCAGCTGGAATGCTAGATCATGACTAACAAGTGAAAACGATCAGTGATAGTTTTATGCGTGATAGTTTTATGCTGGTGCAGACATGCAATGCCAAATAAAACATGGATAATTCCTTCTTGTTTGTGCATAATTAATTGTTTGTGCAGGCTTCTTAGCACTCAGTAATTTATCTTTTCGAAGTTTCTATAGTTGTTGCTCATATACAAGGGATAATTTTGTTGCTCAGTCTCACAAGGACAGCTCACTACCTATCCATCTAAAATCTGATTACACATTTGCCCATTAAATTCTACTATGCACAACAAGAAGCCACGAATTCTACTATGCATAACAAGAAGCCACGATTGTGCTCTTAATTCAAATCTGAATTTGTTAGGACATATTATTGACGTATAACCACATAAATAAATCCGAAGTATATATAATATTTTTGTTTCCCCATTTCAAGGTCTATATGATTTTACTTATTTGGTTTTGGTCCGCATACTGGTAGTATGCCTGAGAGTGGTTATGTTGATGACTGTTAAGAGAATGACAAGTCAATATCTTGCTTTGATACCTTTTTTTTTTTGCATTTTTGATTTAGCTAAAAATAACTATGTACTCGGGTGATATATTTTATCAAAAACGTGCATTGCACGTGCACGATTACTAGTAATCTGAAATTCCGAACTGTGATCTTCTCCCAAACAATATGCTTACATGTTCATTTTCATTTGGCGCTATGCTGCTGCAGCAGTTCAGCAAAAATAGAAAGCCTTGGCAAATAGCAATTTCAGAATCACTGCATTATAGCCAATAGCAGTCATCTGATCATGCACATGACACATGACTGGATAAGCACATATGATTTATTTTGTGATCATGGATTATTTCATTAAAGTAATCATAAAACAACTGTTTCTAACACATGACTGGAAATTGAGTACAACTTAAGCTTAATTTTTGCACCCATTAAGCACTACATCCAGCTCAGGACCAGTCAGGACACAATGTACCCAATAAAACTCAAATAATGACATGACACAACCAAATGACAGGAAAAAATGGAAGAATATTTGACTCATAAAACTAATCAGGTTCCATGTCACTTTTTTATCCGTTTACAGGATACTCATTTCAATTTATCTGTTTCAGATCAGTCACAGATCAAGCATAAAAAAGTATTTACTTTGCTGGATTCAAGGGCCATTGGAGCATTTCCTAAAACAAGATATGTGCAAGTGCAACTCGATCTATCAATTAACCTGACAAAAAGAACTGAAAAGGTTACTTGGGATATTTAAAGAACAACATAAGCAAGAAATTCAAAGCCTAATTATATCATTATATATAAGGCAGATATTGCTTTAAAACATAACAAATATCAGAACATTGCAGCTTGCAACTCTATGTAGCCAAATCACTGTAATGTGAAAGCGTATTAACTAAACTAGATGATACCCCGTGCGTTGCAGCGGACATGGCATGACAAACTTCTCAATTTGCAATATGTGTAATAGTTGTCGGTGAAAGGTACCTGGCTACTGGAGCTAGAGAACCATATCTGAATTCTGAAATACTTAGCACGGTTGGCGAATATTCCTAATAAAAGAACAAATGGCCTGCAAAAATGTGCAATGAAAATGTTATGATGAAAATATCACCGAAAAGATATCCTCTATACTATTATTATTTATCGGCTGACAAAATCAAGTTGCACACATCTACATAATGGAGTAGTTGTCAGCATACCTTAGCTAGCAAATCAAGTTTCCAGAGTGAAGATGTCCAAAGTCTCAAATATATCCAGTTTTATAAGTTCTTGCTTCATCTGCAACAAAAAGGATAGGTGAAACCTCATCATGATCACAAGCTAAAACTCATCTGAGATTGTCGCTGCAAGATAAATTATCAAGATCCATAGGAACAAAAATCAAACAATTCTCCCCAAATACCAAATGCCTAATTTGGGGAAATAGATTCCAAAAGCTCAGATTTAGAGGGAAACCTTGCACTTGAGTACTTGTGCCCAGTAACAATAATAGATCTAAACTATTAGAGAGATCGACAGTACAAAGATAAAATTTAAGTGTACTAATAATCACTTACCTTGCAGCAGTTGATACAAAACTGGGATCATCAGGACTCGGGATGCCTTGTGCAAGTTACAATTTTTGAAGCAAAAATCAGAGGCGCTGAGCACTACCATTACTGGAAGTGCTGCTTCACAACGACAGGAAGAGCACTGTGAACCTGAAGATAAAAACAGCCGGAAGAATCAGAGATGATGGAAAATTCATTAGTTTTTTATAGCACTGAAGCAAAATACAATGTGGTGCCCAAACATTCTGTCAAATGGCAACCATCCATGTGCAGGTTGTACGAAATTAAGGATCGATCAAAGCTATAAACAGTGGATCGTGTAAATAGAAAAGTTTGCTACAGATGATGGGAAGAATCAGATGGGCAACCAAGTAGTACATACTCTTCACGGATACTTTGTGATCATGCACGAGACAGAAGTTGAGCTTTGGTCACACTGAGGTCAGGGCTGCTTCCGGCCGGGATACCGATAGGACGCCGGCAGCTAGATCGACAAAAACGGTAGTGGTAGAATAGATCAATTGCAATTGATTTCTATTTTGTTCGGTTCCTGTTGCAAAGTTACCGATCACCCCCATAAGAAAATGTGAAGCCCAGACCTGGCTTAGCTGATCTAGAATCAGAATTCTTTGGTGCCTTGCTAAACAAAGAAAGAATCACTCCCTGCTAAACAAGTAAAAATAAAGAAAGAATCACCTTGTTCCTCATCGTATATTCAATTTGACATAATCCTACGAACAAAAGCCATGCCTTCAGTTAATCATTGAACTCATCAATTCAACCAAATGTAATCGTTCAGAGAAAGAGGATAAAAGATCTAGAAAGACTACCTTGGCAATCAGATATCTAGTTGTCAGTTCCAGCAGCCGCCGGCGTCCCGCAAGGCCACAACTCAATTCATGCTGGACGCAGCGCCGACGGGAGTCATTTTGAGGGCCTTAGGAGCAGAGGCTAAAAGGAATCGGAGGCCGTCGAACCGCGTCGCGAACTTCTTCCCCTCCACATGCTGCTCCCCCGCCGCCGCGCGTGCCGCGTCCCTTGACAACGACGAACCCTGACGAGCCAAAGGAGAAAAGGGTATCAGAGGAGATCGAGGAAGAGGTTATGATGGACGAGGAAGGCGTCGCACCTGCCGACGGCGGCGGTCTCCTGCTGCTGCGGCTGATTGGCGACTCCTCTTCCTGCGGCTGCTGCGGGTGGGCAGTGGGAGGGTGGGGCGCGCGGGGAGGGGCGTCGGGAGGGTGGGTGCCGTGCCGCCCGTGGCGGTTTGGAGCGAGAGGGAAGGGGCGGGGATTTTGTGACGGTAAGAGGCGTGGGAGCATTAATCCATCCATGGGTTAATCTAACTCGCGACGTGATCATTGGATAAGAGGATTTGACGGTTAGAAATAGGTGGGTATACTAAAAAGGAAACCGCTATTTTTTATATTAGTATAGTTAGATAGATGATTCTGGATTGTCTATTTATACAACTTTGTTATTAATAATTGTTTCATTTGAAATTATTTACTATCTGAAACATTATTTGAATTAAAAGGAGGAAAGCAAATAGACTTCTCGGCGATGGAGGAGAAAAAGGGTTGGGCCTGCAGCCCGAAGAGGGAGGAGGAGGGAGAGAGAGGTTGCGGGCTGAGGGAGAGAGAGAGTAATGCTTGGGCTGAAAAAGGCCCAACGACAGAGAGATGAATTTTAATTTGTTTTTTATTTATTTTAATAGGTTAAATAAATTTTGTGGTATTAAAATTTGTTATTGAGCTCCGAAAATTTAAGAAAAATTTCAGAGAATAATTTAGACCACGTAGAATATTAAAAAATATCTCCGGCCATGATTTTTAAAGGAAAATTTTAGTTTCATCATTAATTCACTTGATTAAATTGCTTTAACTTTTAATATATTTTTCTAGAAATGCATTATATAAATCTATGATGTTTGCTTTGTTCCCCTTATGACAAATTAATATTTGTCACGTTGTCCCATTGAAATACTTTATGACGATTTCTAGTTGGTATTAATAACGAACACCTTTTTTTCGTCACTAAGCCACCCCATCTTATACTAATTGTCATAAAATGGAATGTGCTAATGATGAATAGCACCGTCGTCACGAGGAATTCGTCACAGAAGATCACATTTCTTGTAGTGTTTAAATTTAATTTTAGACTGATCTTTATGTTTCAAATGCAAAAATCATAAACAACAAAATTGTAGAACTTATCGAGATATACAACTATTGTATTGGTCTTTTTTCAAATAAGTTCATTTGAACCGTTCAAATATTTAATTTTCAAAATTTGATAAATTCGAATAAAATTTGGGGTTAATAAATGATTTCAAATGGAAAAATCACCAAAACCAAAGTTGTAGAACTCATCGAGAAGCAAAATTTTTATTTTAGTCATTTCTCCATCCGACTCTATTTGAATAATTTTAAATTCGAAATTCAAAGTTTGAGAACTTCAAATTGAATTTTTTATTAGTGAACGACTTCAACTGAAAAAGTCATCAACAACAAAGTTATATAATCCATCAAGAACTATAATTTTTATTTTGGTCATTTCTTCATCCGATAAAGTGATAGTAACATTGTTCACAAATTTTACATATCTCCCATATGGTTTTATAAATTATAAGAGAGGCTGTGTAAATTCTGTGAACAATGTTACTATCACTTTATCGGATAAAGAAATAACCAAAATAAAAGTTATAGATATTGATGAGTTATACAACTTTGTTGTTGATGACCTTTTCAGTTGAAATAAGTTAGTATTTGAAAATGTTGTTTGAAGTTGTCATAATTTTAAATTCAAATTCAAATTATTGAAACAAATTCATATAGCAAAATGACTAAAACAAAAGTTGTAGATCTTGATAACTTATACAACTTTGTTGTTGAGATTTTTTTCATTTGAAATCATTTACTACCCTAAGTTTTAATATTTTGAAATTAATTAGGAGGAGGGAGGCAAAATGGACTTCTTGGTGAGGGAAGAGCAAAAGGTTTGGGCCGGCGGCCCAAAGAGGGAGGAGGGGAAGGGGAAGCCGGCCCAAATAGGGAGAGAGAGGTGCGGATTGAGGGAGGGAGAGAGTAATACTTGAGCCGAAAAAGGCCCAAGGACAGATAGAGGGAATTTAATTTGTTTTCTATTTATTTTAATAGGTTAAATAAACTTTGTGGTATTAAAATTAGTTATTGAGCTTCGAAAATTCACGGAAAATTTTAGAGAATAATTTAGACCACGTAGAATATTGGAGGGAAGGGGACACCGCAGCCGCAAAGGTGATAGCACACGCGTGCCCTGATGCGGCTATATTGGAGGCCCACATAAACATGTCTATTGCAACACCAGTAATCGTTGCGATATATACAAGTTATTGCAACGAGGATCATGTTCCTTGCAATAAGCATCTAGTAATTGCCACCACTTTAATCATTATTGCATCCACAACAAACCGTGGCAATATGAACATGTTGTTGCATCCAGTGGCATCCGTCGTTGCAATATGCAACTCCCTCTTGCAACCCCACCCAAGAGTAATGCAACACAAGAAAACGGTTGCGATATTGGCAAACTAAAGCAACGCAAACTTATGAGGTTGCAGTATCACATTTCTTTTGCAACGCCAAACATCACTAACGCAACTCTGAAATATTGTGGCAATAGGCCCAACGAATTGCAACACAAATAGGAAAATGGTTGCATCAACCCCATTCTTTTGCAACCGAAATCCATGCATATCGCCACACACACACGCCGTTGCATTACTATAACAAATTACCACCATTTCACGGTTTGGATGCGATACAAAACCCTATTGCATCCACATGAGTGCCATTGCAAGGGGGGACTCGTGGCTATTGCCCGAATTCCTAGTAGTGTTTTTTAAGTGACCCACATGGAAATATCACCCTTCCTATTTCAACACCTTTTTTATGCTCCATTCCTCTCTCTCCCACTCCTACTACCATGGCCCACTCCTCCTCTCTCCCCCACTCCTCCTCAGTCCGGCCTCCTCCCTCCCGACAATGGGCACCGGCGGCGGCAGATGCAACGGCGGGTGTGGTTGACGGCAGCGTCGGTGGGTGTGGACGATAGTGGTCGTGGGCGATGGTGACGGCGACGGCGACAGCCCCCTCTCCCCTACCCGCGCGGATCTGGCGATGGGTTTGAGTGTGAGGCTAGCGGCGGTTCTCCCCCGCCCTCCTTGCACGGATCCGACGGTGGGCTCGAGCCGGATGCAGTGGACGCGGTGGGCGGCACGGTGGTGGCAGGCATGCCGGCGGCAGGTGCATACGACGACGGTGGCGCTGATCCTCCATCGGCGACAATGGGAGGTGTGGATCCACTGGCAGCGGAGACGGGAGAGGCAGATCCGCTAGCCGCGGCTGGCTAGGGTTAGGTTTTGATTTTTGGAATTTTTTTTGTGATTTTCCAATTTTGCGTGCCAACGGCTTATGCGTGGCATGCGGAAATTCGGTTGTCGCATGCGGGTGCACCGCCTGCATGAAAAAATCGCTATATTCGTAGACCTTTCCGGGAAGACGGTTAGTCTAACCGCATGCAAAAATTGATTTTGACCGTTTGGAAAAATCCCTTTTGTAGCAGTGTTGTGTGTTTATAGAATTAAGTATGAATGTATTGTGTTTATAATGTGGTTTAAAAAATACACACTTATATGCACATCTTCAATATAAGTACACACTTATTTTTACATCGTAATTATGACACAGACAACCGACAATGTGTATCTTAACACACTCTTAGGTAGGGGTGAAAATGGTAACCGTAATTACCGGCCGACCGGCGTTCGTTTTTGACTTTCTACTGGCCGAGCCATATGGAAATGGTAATCGACCGAAACAAAAATGGAAATGGTAAAACATATGGAAATGAAAACGAAAATGGTTTTGCTGTTATACCAATCGTTTCCGTATTTACCGTATTCTTATGGAAATTACCGTTTCTTATAATATGGTAATTACTGTATTATAAATATGTCGATATTTATAGGGCATGTCTATACTTGACCCACAACTTACAGATTGACTGACTCTTCAATCAAATCTCTAACTTTTGTGCATGGCTAAAATGAAGTTAATTTATAATTTATATAGTATAAGCTTGAATTTATGAATACATATAACATACTTATGTAAAGTTAAATATATGTTTTTATAGTTTAATGTTCCCGTATTTATTATCGGCTTCCGATCTGTACCGACAAGTTTCCGTCCGTATTGTTCCGTTTCCGGTTTTCCGATATTTCCGATATTGTTTTCGTTTCCGACTTTACCGTTTCCGATTTCGTTTCCAAGAAAAATATGGTTACGGAAATGGTTGAGGCTGTTTTCCGATCGTTTCCGACCGTTTTCATCCCTACTCTTAGGTCTCAACAAAATAAGCAAAGTGACATGGCATAGGATTAGTCTCGTAACACACTCTTAGGTTTTAAGATTTCAAGCTATAAAGTGACATGGCATAGGATTAGCCTCATTCATTGATCATATCGTTCAAGATTTCAAACATTGCGAGAAAGTTCATCTCACATGTCGAGACTCATGTCAAATCCGATTTCATACTCCAATTCACTGCATTTGTATCATTCAAGACTTCAAACACCCAAATCCAAGCAATTTATCTCACATCGATTGTCAAGGCTCATGGCAGTTCTCCAGTTTCATCTCATATTGTCAGGCTCATGGCAGTTCTCCGGTTTCATCCTCAATCGGTTTGGTTCTATATCACAATCAGTCATCTCTTCTCCTAAATCTCATAGAGCTGTTGTTGACAGCTGTTAAGTACCAAATTTACGTCATCAATACCTGCATAAATCTAAAAGTATAAGACATCCAACATAGTGGTAGGGTTTATTTCTAACAATTTCCACGAGTGTTAGTGTATATTTGATGCAGGTAAAAACCTACCAAAGTTGAGACAAAAGATACATAAAGAAGGAGGTGAATTAAACTTCCAAATTTAAGCTATGGATTTTTGAGCCCACAAACCTAATGAAACAAGAGCAAATGGACCTTCCCACTATACATATGGGCTGAGGGATTCTCCACTAGTGTCCACAAGAAAATTCGGGGCAAAGGGGGCCAGAAAGGGTTTGGCCGAACCCAAAACTAGCCTGTTCGGCCCCAAATTTCACAGGCCGGTAGATAACGACTTGTATTACAGTTGGGACCATTTATACCAATGGAAACCATCATAGAGAGGACATGTGGAGGCTCAAGAGTGAAGATGCCCTTTGGATTCCATGGAGCATCCTCATCCTCCCAAGCAAGCTCCACCTATAAATACCCCTTCTCATCCTTCAATCTATCACATACAACTTTGAGCTGAATTATAAGAGGATCTATTGTATCTTTTATACATTAAAAATAGGTAGAGGGTGAAGGGAAGCTCTGGAGGAGTGCCCAGAAGTTTGGCGCTCTCTCCGACTTCTACCTCGACGATTGTAGCTTTCTAGGAGGAATTCTGGAGGGGTACCAGAGCTGTCGATACACTCTACTCCGGGTTCGGAGAACTTCCATTAAGTAAACATTTGGGATCCTTTCTTATCTTATTTAATTATTTAGTCTAATTAAGATAGATTTCCATCTTTACGGGTTCATTGTTTAGTATTCGTACTAGGACTCCGGATAGAGAAGGAAGTTCCTGCGCATATATTAGAGTAGTAATTAATAACTTAGATGTGGTGTCTAGGTTAGAAATTACATTTGTTTGTTGTGTATCCCACAGATTTGTCAGAGGTAGACAGCAGGTGGTGACAGCCCTGAATCCCATCCCAGTAATCTTCCACGTTCAGATACATCATAGAGCTATGGCCGGAACCACGCTGGCAGACCAGCAGGAGTCGGTGCCTGAAGCAACAGATAGGAAATTACCTTTAACTTAGCTTAGATAATTAAAACAATAGAAAGTCCTTTGTAGCCTAGCCAGCCTACCTATAGTTGTTGTCCTTGGATCGTCTTTGCCTTAGGTAGATTACACACGTTCCCTGAGTTCGATATCCTTTTGGGGTCACCCGAAAGTGAAGTGCTGCAGCGGTATTCCGTGTGCTTGCGGATTTATCTGTGGTTGTAAGAAATACCAACAGCTGCTCTAGTTATGGGTTTTATCTAATATTTCCATCATGAGACAGGTATTTTGTTTTTCATCTCCGTAGCTTTATTTTGGTATCTAATGGTGCATTAAAATATTTTCATTATATCGCTCTCTGTTTTTAAGCTTGCTTATCAGCTTAGTTATTCTCTTAAAATAATGTTTGTACAGGTGCTAACTAAATATTTTATCTTAACATTTATTGATGGACAATCGCTAACAAGTACTACCTTAGTATAGTCCGACAGAACGGCAGAACCGCACAAGATAGGAAGCATGCTTCACTGCTTCACCGTTTTCACTCTGCTTTGAAGATTGTTTTTTTCTAGAAAATTTGAGTGACTAATCTCTTCCTTTGCAGCACACACATATATTGAACCTAAATGTATAACCGTATTATTTGATACGCATGTATTGAGATTTCTCAATTAATATATACATTACAACTTAAATTCCAAATAGTGTTCACCTTGTTTTTTAACATGTTCTTAGAATGCACATCCTTACAAGGATAGTAACTATTTAACACGCAAATGTTCCGCAGCAACGCACAGGTGTCATCTAGTTCTACTAATTTCATGCTAAAATGCTACTCTATCTGTCTATGAAGCCTATAAATATTTTATACTGTCTTCAATTAAATACATTAACCATTAATTTATTTCATATTATATTATCAACAAATATAAAATAAGCATCATATGAAAATATTTTGAAAGGCGAATCTATTGATACTTAGTATAGATATTTAGTATAGATATAGTTAGCATAATTATTAGTTAAAAGTTATAGACTTTGATTTTAAAAAACAAGGACGCTCTGTAATTTGGGATGAATGGAATACCAGGTACGGGCGAACAGTACACGGCCTTGGCCCAAATTGGTGTTGTTCTTTGGGGGAATAAGTGCATTTTAGGTTACTTAACTTGACAGCGAGTTCAATTTTCATCCTTGAACCAAAATACCAGCTACAATGGGTCCATCAAGTGTCAAAACCAATACAATATAGGTCCCATGGTAGTATAGCGAGTGGTTTTGTCCGACGTTGCAATTCGACCCAAGTCAACAATGCTGAGAGTCAGCGTAGACCTCACATGTTAGGGCTTCTTCACCTCTCTCTCTCTCTTCACCTATCTCAGTATTCCTCCCCTTGTTCCCATCTCATCAGGGAGCAAACAATGAGGAGAAGGCCCACGGCGGATGGTGAGGAGGAGGACGGCAGGGAGAAGGGCAATTGCCGGTGGGGCGAAGAGTGATTACAATGACACGTCGTATCTCTCTTGAGCTTCTCTTCTCTCTTCCTCACTATCTTTCTTCAGTCACCATGCAACGATGATGGTGTGGAGCGGGATGGCCAAGCTTGTCGTCCATGCCCCATGCATGACCCTCACGGCAAAGCAGAAGCAGAGAAGACGGCGCTGGTCCAATCTCCATGCGGCTTTTCCCCTCCATGTGGTCATCGCCATGATGCCCCCAACAGCCACCACCGCCTTCCTTGCCACTGCGCCCACGCCTCCTCACCGACGGCCTTCTCACCGCCTGTTGGCAGCCTTCTCATCTCTTGTTGTGTTTGAGGTGTCGAGATAGATGAGTCCAGCTAATGTGGGAGCAATTATTGGGTTTTGTGGCAAGTGAGGTGTTGGTATGCGGCTAATGTTGAAGAATATATCGGCACTGCAGTTGTTGTTGCTGTTGCTCCCAATATATCGGCAGCACGAGGAGGAAGAGAAGCTGCGAATCTTGGTTGGTCAATGGAGGTAGTGAGGAGACTGCCATGCCGGAGTCTTGGAGAGACACGGAGGCGAATGCCACGCCGTCAGCCTTAGTAGCCGCGTCAGACTCGAGCCTAGGAAATGGGAAGGGTGGTGGCAGTGGCGCCACGGCGAGGGAAGAGCTTGCAGTGTTGGCTTGCGTGTCGTTCCACATGTTATTTGCATCCGCAGGCAAGACAGTCGCGACGGTAATGGTGTTGGGGACGTTGGGCGTTGTGGCGAATGACGTCATGCTGCCATTCATGATGGATTGACTAAATGCTCTTCGGCAACCTCATTGATGCCTCCGGTGGTGCGCTTGGCATCCACGACGTAGTCAACTGGGTCTCCATGGTCTCCCTCATTTTCATCCATAAATACAGAGAAACCAGGCTCCACCATTGCCCTTCTCCCAGCCGTTGTCCTCCTCACCACCTGCCACTAGACTTCTCACTGCTCGCCACCTAGCGAGATAGGAACTGGGGGACGACAAGAGAGATAGGTGAAGAGGCCTTGACATGTGGGGACCATGTTAGACTTGGGTCGAATTGCCACGTAGGATAAAACCATCCGCTATGCTGCCGTGGGACTTATATTGCACCGGTTTTAACATTTGAGGGATCCGTTGTATCTGGTATTTTGGTTCAAGTACAGAAATCAAACTCACTGTCAAGTTAAGGGACCTAAAATGAACTTATTCCTTCTCAGGCCACAGTGAGACGAACAGGCTGTAGTATCACTGTATCACCCCATTGTTAGGTTGGAAAAAGTCGACTTAGACTCCCTTAATTGTTCACCGAATCTAATTCGTAACCCTTAACTAGAAAACCGGGTAAGACGACTTCCCGAATTATTGAAACCAGTGCAATTTGACTCCTCTAGCGGTTTTGGAGGGCGGTTTTGCTAACGTGGCGCTGACGTAGCATTAGAATTAAAAAAATATCTGTGGGGCCAATCTATCATTCACACACAAAATATATTGTGGGACCCACTTACATATGGAGCCCACATGTCATCCTTTCCCTTCCTTCCTCCTCCTCCCTCTCTCTCTCCCTTCTCTCTCTCTTCTCTCCCCTTCGGACGCACGCGAGGAGCGGGTGCCAGATCGGCGACGGCGGCGGCCAGGGGCTGGAGGGGCGACGGCGGCGTGCGGGCGAGGGCTGGAGCGGCGACGGTGGAGTGCAGGCGACGGCCGAGCCACCGCCTGCCCCGTCTCCAAGCCGGCCCACCGTTGCTCCCCCTCCTTAAAGTCCCAGAGCTGCAGCCTCTGCTCTCCCCCATTGGTCGTCGCCGCCGGAGCAGTAGCAGCAGCGCCGCCGCCGCCTGCAAGGATGAACGGGAGGCCGGCGACCTCAGCCGGAGCGGCGGCGAACCTCTGCAGCAGGCAGGGGTGCTGCGACGGCGGCGGCGGCCACAGCGAAGCTGCGACAACATTGGACTGAAGTGTGCGCTGATCGAAGGCGGCCACCGTGGCGTGCTGCTGGTCCTGCGAGAACGCGAGGTGGGGTGGCATCGCCATCATCTTGAGGTGGGGCAAGCAAGCGTCGCCTGCTTGCTGCTCCTGCTGATGTTGCATTTGCAATGGCTTGCTGTTGCTGATGTTGCAATGGCTTGTTGCCGTTGGTGTTCGAGCAGTGGAGGAGCTCGGCGAACGCGCCGCCGCCGCCGTTGTAGGCGTTGCCATTGTTGTCGCAGGGGGCGTTGGCGAGGGAGAGCACGGTCCGCCGTTGCCGATCCGGCTCCCGCTCCTCGCGTGCGTCTGAAGGGGAAGAGAGAGGACATGTAGGCCCCACATATCGGTGGGTCCCATAATATATTTTGTGTGTGAATGACAGATGGGTCCCATAGATATTTTTTTTAATTCTAATGCCACGTAAGCGCCACGAGGATAAAGACTGGATTAGCACCGCCACATCAGCGCCACGTCAGCAAAACCGCCATCCTAAACCGCTGGAGGAGTCAAAGTGGACTGGTTTCAATAATTCGGAGAGTCGTCCTACCTGGTTTTCTAGTTAAGAGTCATGAATTAGATTCGGTGAACAATTAAGGGAGTCTAAGTGGGCTTTTTCCTTGTTAGGTTTGGGCCATGTGTGGGGCAAGGCCCTGGAGATTGAGCCTAAGTAGTGCCAGCCTAACTGCCGCTGCCACGAGTCCTTTTTTGAAAACAAAGGATTTAACAGATTACGTATAACATCCTAAAAATTCATATACTGTAACAATCAATAACATTTTTCAACCTTTAAAACTTTTTATCAGTATTATTTGCAAAAACCCTAAGTGACCTTTTCATGTAAAATTCAAAAACAATAAAAGTTTCAAACTATACCGTTGTCAAAATCGAAGAGGTCTATTGTCATCGATATAGAAATCTAACAATTATATTTGCGTAGTATCTCTCGTGAGAGAGATGCATGTCAATCAAACTAGCGATTTTCTATAAAGGTTCGGCTCCTTCACGAAATAATAACCCTACATTTGCTTGGTACTCAGTGTGGCTATAAATGGGCATCTGGTGTCTAGTCCAAATTACTATATTCTCGTCAGGAGTTCCAACCAGAAGGTGGTTGGAAGATGGGCCATCGAGAACTGGTTTGATCTGGTTTTACTTAGCTCGATATTTGATCTGTTGTTGTCTTATTCTTGGCCTCCTCTTATGGTCACATGTTAAGTTTCTAAACTACTCCCTCCGTCCCCTAATATAAGGGATTTTGACATTTTGCTTTCAATGTGTGATCATTCATCTTATTAAAAATTATTTATTTTATTTGTGACTTACTTTATTATCCAAAGTACTTTAAGCACAACTTTTTATTTTTTATATTTGCATAAATTTTTTAAATAAGACGAGAGGTCAAACAGTGTAAACAAAATGTCAAAAATTTTAGAAGGCATACTCTCTATGCTACGACTTATGGAATATACCGATAAGGTATACCTTCACGTGTACGGTTGGTTTCCGTATACGCTGTTAGGAGTTTGCCTCAAATTACGGAAAATATATCTATGAGTTAAGGAATTGCCGAAGTCCTACTCGGAAGGGGTAAAATCTCTAGTGTATCGTATCGGTTTACATAATCTCCAAGTCTTACATGGGGTCAAGGTGGGGAAAGGCTAAGGGCATCGCACCTCATAGCCAACACACCCACCAAAGTTTACTAAGCCGGAGTCTATAGAGTCAATTCGCCGGGAGATCTCGTCGAATCCCTCGACCATGATCTCGTCGGTATTATTTGTTCAGTTACTCCCTTTGTAATCTGTTTTCATCATCATCAATCCCATATAAACTGGAATAGGACTATTACCTGATAAGGGGCCTGAACCAATATAATCCCTGTCTTTTGTCTGTTTTGATGTCGTACTACGTAGATCCCTGTTCCAACGTACCCCAATACCCTATTCTTTCGGTCTGCGAGTATCACTCGTCGACAAGTACTAAGCTACGTGTTCTGTGTAAAAGTTTTGCATACAAAAATTTCTTAAAAAAATTAAATCCATTTTCAAGTTTAAAATAATTTATACTTAATTAATCATGGCTAATGACTCATTTCGTTTTATGTGTCGCTGAGTAGCTCAGCCCGAATGCTCATTAGAATGCATCCTTAAGGCCCTCTAATATCTTAGGTGGACAAGTACATACAGGTATTGCAGAAACTCTTCGGTATAGTCCTGATCGAGTCCGACCATACACATCTCCATCAGATGTCGTTTGAATTGTAGAACTAAGATTTTGTAAAAACAGATATGGTATTTTATAATGAATATTTAGAACCTTGAATGATCTCAAATAATAAAATAATCAACAAGAAAGTTGTAGATCTTATCGAGCTTTGCAATTTTGCTATAAAATGTCTTCATATGACTGTATGAAAAAATTATGCATATATCCGAATAAAATTTTATCCATCTCTGCAGATATCCGAATAAAATTTTCGGATAGTTTCCGACCGTTTCCCATTCCGACGGATAGTATTTTTACTGTATTCGATTTCATTTTTGAATCCGAGAATTTCTGAATAGTTACGACCGAATCTATCCGAATCCGAAAAATGGTCCGGATTGACGGAAACTATCCATACAAGTTTCAACCCTAGCTATAGGCTATGGGAATGGTATTGGAGGGTATTTTTGGTACTAAAAGTACCAGATGACGTGCCGTGAAATTTCTCGTGAGAGGATGGTTCACTCGCCTATTCCAAACCGAGCAAATACGACAATATCCAAACAAAACAAACACGTTGTACAGAAAAAGTGACGGAGTGAGCAATCAGAGAATTCAGAAACGAAGTCGCCAAAAACCGGTGACCGGCTCCGTAGAACAAATCCAACATCGGCCATGCCGCCCCGCCAAGAACGCGTACGCCCGAACCACCCCAAGAGGCCAAGACATCTGAACCACTACGTGGTCAGCTTTGACGGACCAACCGAACCCACTCGCTCGCCCTCTCCTTCGCGCCGCGGCAGCTGCTTCTGCTGCTTTAATTTCGCTCCTCTTATTCCCTTCCTTTCTGCATTGTTACTCCAAACCCAACAACGAGAATTACAAAGCAAGAAGCTATCTGCACGCGTGGCATGCAGCTGCTCCTCCTGCTGCTCGCCGCCGTCTTGGTGGCGGCAGAGCCGGCTGCAGCGATATCGACGATGCCCATGGAGCTCTACTTCTCGCCGGGGGAGCTCGCGCGTATTGCCGGGTACGGCGAGGAGCCGGTTTCGACCGTGGTCGTGTCCGGCCAGGTCGCCTGCGAGCTCTGCCTCTGTCCCGGCTCCGACCTCCTCACCTTCGAGCTCCCAGGTTAGCAATAAGTTCTGAACAGTTTGGTATATTCTACTTGTTGATTCATTAATTTGATAGTTCCAGCGGTGCTTTCTTTCCTGATTGCATGTTTGATCATGGACCTGCCTTGTGTGTTCGAAGTTGACATTTAATTAGCTGTCAGTGTTCTTGTCAAATCACCGTGTTTAAGTTCTTTTCGCAACGCCTGTGTGCACAGCACAAACGTTTCTAATTGATTGATTAGCTAGATTCCTCTAGCTTTGATAGTAGGGACCGTAGAAAATTATCTTTATGGTTAATCTTCCGATATAGTAGTGTTAATTCTTATTCAGTAAAGAATTTTTATATTTTCAAAGAGGAATGTAGTTGGATTTATAAGAACAAAAACATATATATGACGTGAGGTCCCTCGTTGTCTGATGAACCGTCATAAAATGCTACGAAAAACATTTTGCATTAGAAACAACATCACTTTGAACTATTCACACTAGATGATCCTTTTCTCCGCTGCGATTATCCGGGCGGTAAATGCATGGTGACAAGCCATGACAAACTTTGAGGACGTGTTTAGATAATATGATATGTGTCAATGACTAAATTGATTTTGAGCAAAAGTTCGAGGACCATATTGATTATTTACCCCATGTAAATCACAGAATAAATGTTCGTAAATCAAGAAAAGACACTCAATATAGCATGTGTGGTATTAGACATCATGCTAAATTTCGAGATAGAACTCATGTTTATTTTTGAGATATGAACTGATAAACAGGAAAGCAAAAGGATAAAACAATAAAAAATAGATGGCCGATTGTTAATTTCATCTCTCATTCAATTTGCTCTCAACATATTGTGCTGCTGTTTAGTATAAGTATTTTCTTAAATATATTTTTTTAGTAAACTTAATTATACTTTAAAAGTTTGAAATTTTTTGCTACAGTACACTCTAGATTTGTGGTGTTTCCTCCACCACACTTTATCTGTGGTTATTTCATAAAAGACACTCCGACCATTTTGTGATGGAGAGAGAAAATTTTGTAATAGATGAATTTACTCTTGGACCACCATGCAAAATTTAAATTTGAAAAAAAATGGTTGAACTTATACATATTTTGCAAAATGCAAAAGCCATCCCAAATTGTGGTAATAAAAGATTTCGGGTGCACTGCACATAATGAGAATTACCAAAAGAAAAAATCAAACAAAAGAAATTAAACCTGGAACAAATATAAGTGAAATTTAAACATATTTTTATAAAATGTTTTTTACATTCATAATTAAGGACAAGTTCCGAATGTTGCAAAATATTGTTAAATTCAGTTAAACTTTTTGCAAATTTAAATTTTACAAGATTTCCCTAAGGGTAAAGGTGTAAATTTACTAAGTTTTTCCTTGGAATTATTTATTTTTCTTCTTCTTTTTGAAGAAAACTAAAAAAGTATACTGTATGTGTAACCGTAAAGACAACGGACTCCGAGTCTTTGGAGATCCTTCCGAGGTCGCTGGCTCACATGGCTCACGCGTAGTAGTACGTACTAGCAGGTCACCAAAAGCAGCAGAATCACAGGTCCTGTACTGTGCTGTTAGCCTACCATCCGGTGTCCCGTCGCTAAATAGCCCAGTAGTCCCCAAAATAAGTGCAGCCGTGGATATCCGTGCTCAACGTTTGACCATCCGTCTTATTTAAAAATTTTGTAAAAAAATTAAAAATATTTAATCACACATAAAGTACTATTCATATTTTATCATCTAATAGCAATAAAAATACTAATCATAAAAAAATTTCAAATAAGACGAACGGTTAAACGTTGAATGAGAATAATGCAAAATAGCACTTATTTTGGGACGGAGGATTACCAAGCAAGAAGCTTTTTTTCTACATGCGTACTTTGGTATACTTGCTGTGTTCTGGTGGGCATAGTACGAGCGATGGAACGGAACGGTACAAACACTGCGATGCGTGTGCTGTTGACAAACGATACGTGCCACGCTTAAAAGATTTTCTTGTTTTTTCAAGTGAGGAAACGCATATATAGGTAGCGTTTGGGAAATGAAATGGGAAAAAGTTAACGGGGTTTGTGATGGGAGAAAAAATTATTTCCCTCATTTCGCATGTGATAGGATTGGGTTATGATTGTTTGCTTGGTTTTGTCAAAGAAATATACCCTCTTTCCACCTGGAATGAACCGAGTATTTAACCTTTTTAAGTTATATTTAACCTTTATTTTGAGGGCAGGTTTGTACCTTCACACCCATTCAGTACCCACCCCCAATAACCCACCTCCTTCAGACTATGTTCGGTTCTTTTCTTTTTTTAAAAAAAAGAAATTGATTAGAAGGGATTTATTTTATATCTATTATGGCGTAAATTTATTTCCGCTCAATCCCCTTTTTCCTCCAAACCAAACGAGGCTCCTTTAGGATAATTATGGTGGGAAATGAGCTGAATATTTCAAAACCTTTTTCTTTTCCCCATCATCCAACAATCCAAACAAGGGATATAAAATGCAATATCCAACCTCTTATTTTCACTCCTACCACTTTTTCCCCTTATCCAATCAAATGGCACCTTAGAGAATTTTATCATGGTTACCTTTTCTTTTTCCCACAAAACAAATATTCACTTAGTTATATATTCTTAGATACTCTGGTGGCTCGCGCATGTGACATTTTCATTGTGTTAATGTATTTATAAAAAATATAAGTGAAACCCACTCTCAATTCGACACATATATATGATACTTTATATCTTATAAAAATTTGGACATGTTTGGGTTAATGCCCAAACAAACACACCAAAATTTTGTCAGTGCTGAAACATGTGCTTGCTGTTTGGTTTCCTATTAACAATTTTTTTTTGGTAATGCCAACTCACCCAATACAAATGTTTTGACAATTCATATTGGTTAGAAATCTTCATATCTTTTGGGGAAACATAGCAACTTCATGGTTTTAGCTTCTGGACACGATAAAAGTTGATCTTTAGGGAAAACAATTTCAAAGTGTGGTTATTTTGCTACCGGACATTGCATAGGTTAAAATATTCGTTTACCAGAGAAAAATATGGTAATGAGTGGTGTAAAAAAAAATTTCAACCATTTTCACCCGTATCAGCACCAATGTCGTAGAAGCAGTAAAAGCAGAGCCTCCTTGAAAACATGCATACGATGGGTTCCTTAATTAGGGCTTTACTCGGAGTACGCCTTAGCAGCCTGAAGCCAATAAATATATGTCCTTCCAATCATAACTATTAACGTTTAGAATTAAAACTTCTACTGTCAATTTTCTATTAAAACAAGTTTGCAAAATCTAATATCTAATAATTTTATGATATCATGACAGTATTATTTTACAAATATACTCTTACGATATTTTTAATTTTAAACTAAGCATTCACAAAGTTAATAATGGTCAAAGTTTCGAATTTTGGCCATTTTTTTGTCATAAATTATTAAATATGTATGAGCGGATTGCGGATCCAGTAATTAATTGTAACTTCAGTTTTCTTAACATGTGCCCGAAGTGGTATTAAGCCAAAATGCCATTAGAAATGCTTCATAGTAGTGATAGCAAATTAGGGCATGTTTAGTTGGCAAAAAATTTTGCCCCTACATATCATATCAAATATACGGACACACATTTAAAGTATTAAACGTAGTCTTCGCCAGGAAACTGCGGGATGAATTTATTAAGCCTAATTAATACGTCATTAGCAATGTTTACTGTAGCACCACATTGTCAATTCATGGCACAAAGTAGGCTTAAAAGATTCGTCTCGTAATTTCCTAGCGAACTGTGTAATTGGTTTTTTTCTACATTTAATACTCTATGCATGTGCCCAAACATTCGATGTGATAGCGTGAAAAATTTTATTTGAAAACTAAACATGCCCTTAGAAACGAATATAGTAAAATAAATATTTTAACTAGTCTTATCCAAGTCAATCGAGACAGAGTTAGTTTGCGTAATTCATTGTAAGGTCAAGTCTATCCTAGAATAAGATAAAATCAAAAGAAAGAAAAGGCAAATAAATCTTGATATTGATTACTTTCAGTATGGCATCACAATTAGACAGTGCCATAATCGTCACGCCTACAATGAAAGAAATGGTCAGGTGTTTGTTTGGTCAACAAGCACAAACCACATACAGTAGGCTAGATTTGCTTTCCTATCTACTACTGGCTAGTGCTAGTATCGCCTATCATGTTAAAAAGCTGATTTAGATGCTCGGAAACAAACGAACCAGACATTCAGACATGGACTACCCACTACCCAGCCGTATGGGCCACGACGATATTGTGATCACTTATCACCCTGACAAGTAGTTCTGCGAGCGAGATGAATTCACCCGTTACATCAAATAATGGCGCTTGCAAATTGCCATTCATTTTCCGTCTGTGTCAACGGATGTAATGTAATTTGTATTTTGCAAATTCCCATTCATCGTCACAATCATTTTCCGTCTGCGTCAAATGTATGTACTCCCTCCATATTTTAATGTATGACGCCGTTGACTTTTTAACAAACGTTTGATCTTTCGTCTTATTCAAAAAATTTATGTAATTATAATTTTTTTTATTGTGACTTGATTTATCATCAAATGTTCTTTAAGTATGACATAAGTATTTTTATATTTGTATAAAAATTTTAAATAAGACGAGTGGTCAAACGTTGGTTAAAAATCAACGGCGTCATACATTAAAATACGGAGGGAGTAGTATATTTGTAGTTTGCATAGTAGCGTGAGCGCATGAATTTGATGGTCTCCAGAAATTCCTTTGTGATGTTTACCTATCGTCGCACGATATATAGAAGGTTCAGAAAGGATTTGGTGTACAAGGGAAAAGAAAAAAGGTACGCCCTTTATAGCTTGGTTTGAGTGTGTGATGAATTCGTCACTTTGATTATAATGAGTTCGTTTGATTTGAGGAATGGAATGGACGTCACACCTCTGTTATAAAATCAGCCCCAATATATACAGAACGAAGAAGAACATCCAAATTAAACGTGATGACCATGCAGATATACGGTATTTCTTAATGAGATTCAACTAAAACTTTATATCACCGGGACACTGATTATAGACACTCCTAGCTGATCCAACGTATTACAGTACATCCGGGTATACATGACTCTCAGACTGACTAAGCCACTGGCTAGGCGTACCCATGCCATTGATACTATCACCATGTGGTTAGAATCAGTGATGCATCTCTACTTAAGAGAGAGTCTAGGACATAGTCCGAATTTAACTCTATCATACACCTATTACAACTCTAAATTCTAAACTGTAATCGACTACATACATATATTCGACATATACTCTGACGAAAACAACTTCCATGCTCACTTATTGGATAAATAATGGAGTCATTTCTCAAATTATGTAGAATTTTTATTTGTGAGGATGATACCATGATGGATCAATTATTCTAGATGGTTTGATTCCTCAGACCAAACTGCCCATTAGACAACGTCATGACACCATTGAAATTGAATATTTTCGTATGACTGAAATCTAGCAAACAAATACCAAATGAATAATTGAACTCTAGTGATCAATTGACAAACTTACTGACACGACTTTCTGTGCTTAATCAAGTATTGACAAATTGACCTTGCAAACTAAATTTTCTTCAGGAGCCAAGGTAGAAGTAGCCTGTGAAACCGAAGGCCCCAACACACAGGCGAACTCTGTATTTACAGCAACCGATGAGTTCGGCAACTTCACCTTCCACCTCCCTTCTCGGCTCCACGCCACACCAAGCCTCGAGAACGCCTGCGTCGTCAAGGTGCTCCAGCTCCCTCCAGACTCTGCATGTGGCCTTCGTCACCGTCCCGCCGCCTCCTACCGCATCCGGCCATCGTCCTCGTTGTCGTCGTCGGCTGATGGCTTCCGCGCCTACACGGCCGGGGTGATACGGCTGCAGCACGGCGGCACGCCGTCCGGGGAGTGCGTGCAGGTAGAGGACAGAGTGGATAAGTAGCCTAAGAATGGCTGGTGGAAATCGTGCATTGGGCGAAACCCAGAGATTTCATCGACCGATCGATCAGTTGCTTAGTTAGATAGGAGTAGCTGTCTTCTGGTTTCTCCAATTTGAGAAATTGTATATGGAGAGGAGAGCGGAGGTGTTGATTAGGTCTTATTACCAAGCATGTAAATGGAAAAAATGCTGCAAATTAAGTACATTTCAGGAGTCAGTTTGAGTTATTTCTCATAATGATGACGAATGATTTGACTAGGAACATTTTGGAAAATAGAAAAAAGATATAGTACGTTCAGGGCTTCAGGCACCATTCGTCACAATCTGTTTGACTATATTCCACATGTAACCAAGTTTCCAACATCAGGAAAGGACCTGCCAAGTTCAAAAAAAAAAAAGGAAAGGACCTGCCTGCAAGCCTGGTTTTAAACCCAAAACCGGTGTAAAATACCGGCCCGCAGTTTTTTTCAGCTGGGCTACAAATGAGTCCTTCGATGACATGTAATAGAAATAAGTCTATTTTGCCTCCCTCATCCTTGCGCTCGGTCGAATGACATCCCTCAACCACAAAACAAAGTAGAGCATCTTCCCCATCTCTAAAGACCGGTACAAATCGAACCCTCGGGTGATTTTGGAAGCGGTTTTATACTATGTGGTGCTTACTGTGCATTCAAGATAGAATAAAATAAAAAAAGTGAAAGTGGGCCCCACATATCGGTCTCACTTTCTCTCTGCTTCTACCCTTTTCTATCTCTCTAGTCTCCCTTTCTTCTCCGGGGTCCAGGAACAGACTGATGGCCGGCGATGCCTGCGAAGAGGAGGAGAAAGAGAGGTCAGCGGCGGTGGATCCGCCTTCCCGTGCCCCCCCACCTCGGCCTCCGCCTCAAGCAGCTCGCCGACACTGCAGGGGCATTGGCCTCAGCCGGGGACATATCATAGATGAACCGGAGCAGCATGGCGGCCATGGTGCGGCACACTTTGTGCATCCAGAGCGTACCAGAGCATCCCGGCTCCGACTGTCCTAATCAACACCACCGACGCTCCGGAACAACGTCGGTCATGAAAGAGTGAGAAGTGTTCGATGCAGAAAATGTAAACAAAATGTACTTTTCCCTTACTGCACAGTCTGCAGTGGCTTCTGTTGGATGGCCTGGTCCATGCGCCGGATCGCTCTCGTCCCCTTGGTCTCCGGTGGAACCACCGCCAACGTCGGCCATGTGAGAAGACGCTGTGCGGCTGGACGGCCTCTGCGTGGCTAGATGGAGAAGACGATGTGCGGCCACGGGGAACGCATTGAGGGTGACGATGGGGGATGAAGTGGATAACCCCGTGATATGCTGTGGGCCCACATCGCGTGGGTGTGTGTATCTTTGTATTCTAATGTGTACGGTAGATAATGCATAAATGTCACTCGAGCGCGGGAATACATACTGAGAGGAATTTCTATGCACGAATCACTAGGCACATCGTGTGGTGCCTGTCTGGGGTACACATCCCCCCTGCAGATAAAAAACTTCCGCCGGTCACGACACCTAATAGCTGGAGAAGAGGCATGGCCGGCGCAAGACTGCCTTGAGGAGAAGCATAACAGAGCCTAATCCCAGAGCAAAACCGGATAGGAGGCGGAGGCCGATCTCCACCGCCACGGATAGGATGCGAAGTGCGAGGTGTGGGGGGACGGGCAACTGGATCCACCGCTGCCGAGCTCTCTCTCTCCTCCTCTTCGCAGGCATCGCTAGCCGTAGTCTGTTCTTGGACCCCCCGAGAAGAAAGGGAGATTGAAAAGGGTAGAGGTGGAGAAAGTGAGACTGACATGTGGGGCCCACTGTTATTTTTTTTGGCTATCTAGAATGCCACCTAAGCACCACTTAGGACAAAACCACCAGAGGAGCCAATTTTGCCGGTTTTTGGAGATGGGAGAGGTGTTATATCCGGTTTTACGGTTGAGGGATGCGATTCAGGGCAAGAGGGAGGCTAGACATCCCATATAATATGTTTTTTTTAGTTCACATTTTGTATAGAAAGAGGCCCATATCTAAAAATTGGTCCATAACATTCGCAAGTAATACACCCGCAGTCAAATCACCTTAGAAAAATGGCGCCGTTAATTCTCAATTTCATAATATTTGGGCAGATGACCTCGTTACTCTTTTTTTAAAACGAGAAACCAAGAACATTTGGTCTTTATATTAAGAGAAGGTTTCTTACAAACTCTTGCGCTTTCATTCTTTTGATCGGACGCCCGATTGAAAGAGTAGAAAATCAGACGCCCCGATTGAAAGAGTAGAAAATCAGACGCCCTCTCTACCTTTCCATACTATGCTAGGAAGCAAACTTACACTTAGGGGCTGTTTGAGATGGGAGGGACTTATTTTAGTCCCTCTCACCACCTTACTCTCCCTGGTACCATACGGCAGTGTGCTACATGTAGTCTGCATGCACATGCACATGCATATCCTACTAGAGCTTCTCATCACTTCTCATAAATATATTTTTAAATTTTTAAACTACCTTTTCTCTTAAATTACTCATTTTATTTGTGATCCGATTGCACCACTATATTTATTATAATTAAATCTTCACAATAAGTTGTCACATGACTATATTTCGAGACTTCAAAATAAAGCAATGTGCAACATTTAAAAGTACATTGGAAAATTAGCAAAAATATTTTTTCATCGAAATATAATCGTGTGAGATCTTAATATAAAATTAATTATAACAAATGCAATGGTATAACTATAATCATATCATAAATCGGATAAATATTTTATGAGAAAAAATATTTTAAAGTTTGTTAAAAGAGGTGATTTTATATGGAGAGAAGAAAAATAATGTAATGCATAACGGCAGCAAGATGCAACACTAAGGCCATATAAAGAGTATTAGGGTGCATGACATATATAGGGCAACAACGCTCGGAGGGGCGCTCGATATCTTTTCGTTGCATCGGTCACCCGTCTTGAATCAATTTCCATGCCTATTGCCTCTGATGACCATTAGATTTTTCCTTTCCAAAATAAATATACTTCCCAGTGCTACATTAATATTAAACACAATTCCCAATATTAAAAATATTCATTTACAAAAAACCAAAGGGATAGAATTATTTGACCACGAATTTAGGAAAAGAAGCATATATATATATATATATATATATATATATATATATATATATATATATATATATATATATATATATTCACATCAAATTTGATTAAATTAATATGACTTTAGAAATTAAAATGTTTATAATTAATTAATCCCTTCGATCCAATAGTTCTACGGGCAATCCCAACCTAAAAACTACTACATTTGTTTTTCATATATGATGTCGTTGACTTTTAAAATAAGTTTGACCATTTGTCTTATTTTAAAAAATATATAATTATTATTTATTTTATTGTATTTGATTTATTATCAAATGTTCTTTAAGCATGACTTAATTTTTTCAATATTTGCACAAAAAATTTGATAAGACAAATGGTCAAAGTTTGTTGAAAAATCAAAGATGTCATATATTAAAAAACAGATGTAGTATCAAATAGTTTTCATACTTGCTATGTTATGTATGCAATATATATAGAAATTATATAACTAGTGAGTGGTTTCTTCAAAATAAATTCTCGTCCAATCACCTCTCTTCTTTCTACTTTTAATTTTTATCCACCAATCTCTTTTTTTCTTAGTTCCTATGTATAGCTAGCTTCTTACATGGAAATGATTTTTCATCTTTTCTCATCTCTCCTTATTAACTCTCTTGTCATCTCTGTCTTTTTTTAATGTGACAATACTATTAAATGATATGTAAACTATAGGATTGGGACTGCTCTTAGCCAATTCTCGTCAAAACTAGTTTAAAAAAGATTAAATTTCATAAAACCCCATCAACTACTACTATAGTCCAAAACGCACAAAACCACATAGTTCTACACATACTCCCAAGTATTATGGTGCTAAAGTTTCACAAAACCACACTATTATCCAATTTTATATACTCCTATATGAAAATTTTAATTTTTTTACTTACATGCATGTAACATTTATACGATAGATAAAAACTTATAAATTTAAAAAGTGATTGTATAACTTAATAAAGCTGTAGTAGATCAAAGTTAAAATGATTAATATTGTGGTTCTGTAAAACTTTTTTAGCCCTAATACTTGGGATTAAGTACCACACTAGAAAATTAGCGTGCCGATTGGCACGCTGGTAAATTTATAGCCCTGTGTGTATTATCATGTGTACTACATAAGTTATGATTTCTACCAAGCAATTGCTTTCAGTTTATTAAAAATATCAACATGGTCATGGTACTTGTCTTAACTGTATTTGTCTATAGATTTTTCAACACCGTATGAAAATTGTTGGTGTTACTTGCTTATGTACATGTAAATTCGCTTATTTTATCTTAATTTTCAATTAAACCTATAGTAGATTACATCTATTTGAAGATTTTTTTAATAATGAGAATCTTGCTACAACTTTTTGGTGCTTTTAATTTCGCTATTTACTGTTTTATTTTCTAGACATCCAGGATGTTACTGTCATTGTGTTACATGCCTCGATTTTGATATAACATGAAGTAATTGCATTTCCGAAAAAACTTACCGTGTGCTAGAAATTCTAATATCGCTCCATTCCTTTTATATTTATTCCGTTTTGTATTGCTCCATCCGGTCAGAAATATTTGACCAAACATCTGTAACTTGTCCACTGATAACTTCTCATAGCTTATATAGCTTAGTTTATCAAACATGGGAAAATAACATATAAAAAAATATTATAAAATTACTGTCATAATCTTATGAACTCAAACTGATGATTAAAGTTCATAAAATTGACTGAAAAATCTTAGTTTAAATGTAAAATATTTTTCTATCGTTGGAGTACTTATTTTTCTTTTCTATTTTTTCTTTAGTATTGTGTTTGCTAGGCATGCACACGCCTAACACATGAAAAGAGACTTTCTTGATGAGAGTTTGATATGTGAGAAAACATCTAGTGTGTTTTTTATTCTTTTTCATGCTATAAGGGTATATGGGCGTCAGGCCCTGATGTGCACTAGGGTTCCCGATCTTCCGAAAGATTCTAATAAACAACGATTTGGGCAGAGTCGCGACACAAATCGATCCGGCTTCTTGAACGCGCATGCTCTTGAGCCCCGCAATCGCAGCACCACGTCTCCTCTAGTTATCTCCCGTGCCGAAACGCGGATGACCTCGCCGAGAAGGCTAATCCCTGTTTGCCAATCGAAGAACACAAACAAGAACGAGATAGAAAACAACCAAAATTGCAGATGAATGATTAAGCTCACTAGTTAGGGTCTTACAAACCGATCTAGCGGCGAAACTGTTCTCGACAGATTAATCTAAGCAAAACCCAACTCTAAATGATGACGGCTACGGATTAAGTACGATTAGGACGTCCTAGGGTTGCCCTAGGGCGCACACCCCCTTGGCTAAGCCCACGACACAATTACAAGGCCCAAAACCCGAGTCAGATTCGGACTGGATGAGATACGTGGCTTGTTTTGCAGATTCCCGGCAGCTCGGTAGGAATTTTGATGTGGGACCAAAACCATATGAAAATAGACTCCATAAGCTTTCCAACAAGTACTCATGGGCCCCGAAATTCCTTCTAGATCAGCGGCTAAGTCCGTTTGAAGTTGATGCTGTCAGGAGGCCCGAATCCGAATCCAAAACGTGTACAACTTGATCTCTTGTCTTCTGTGGACCAAAAGTGACGTGGTGAGGTAGAAGTAGACTTGGAGAAGGTCTTGGTTTGGTCCTCAATCAACTTCTTTAATCATCTATGCATTAGTTACGTTCGGTCTCTTTTCCTTCGCCCAAGCAAGTACCTCTGCAAACGAAAACACACAAAACTTATTGTGTAGCAACGTTTGTTCAAATATATAACAAGTAAATCTAATGTAGAACATATGCACCTTTATTTGATTAATACATAAGATAGTCATGGTTATATCCGAGCTAGTTATGTCCTCCTCATCCTCCCCTTCTTGGTTGGAAATCGTCCTCGGTTTCACCTTGTCATGGAGCGTATTGTACTTATCTTTGTCTATCACAACATCCTGTGCGGAACATTTCTTGATGGCCATATGATTGGATCCTAAAATCTTTGTAGTCGAAAAGCCACAACACTCCCCTTCTTGCAAACCAACCTGTAACTTTTAAACAACTAGAGGAACTAGATAGAGAATTACTTATATGCATGCGGTCCTCTTGACAATACATTTCATCATGAAAAGGAGGTATAGTCAAATTCAAACAAATATATACTCGATGCACATTATATTCTCCTTTACTATCATAATTGCCAATAATATGAAAGATCACATCTGAAGGGCATGGCAATTCAAATCTAGCAAATAATTTCTTCTCTAAACAGTTGAGTGAACAAAGATCATCAAATTGAATATAACCCCAAGTATTTAAAGAAGATAGCTATGTAACCTCTTCATTCTCGCTAGCAATGTGAATAACATGTTTAAACTCAACACATGGTGTCTCTACTATAGAACTAACATGTTCATTCACTAGTTGTGACATAGATATAAGTGAAGCATCGCACAACTCTTCTTTATCACAAGAAACATCAAACAAATTATTTTGTGACAAAGGTATTTCAGCAATTGCTTCCACTATAGGTTGCTCTAGTGTAGCATAAGTAGTGAACATAGTTGGCACATCATAACTATGCATACCTTGAGCAGTTGTAGCACCATTATCTTTACCTTTTTGGTCATCTTCAGAAATTGTAGGCGCTTGGTCAATTAAACATTCCTCAAGCATGCATGGAGCTATGGATAGATCTTTTTGCTCTTCGTCTTTCTTCTCTTCCACCTCATTACCTTGGTTGTTCTCAGATGCCTGCAAGATATTAGTATCCAAAGCAATAGGCACAACAATATGTTCGTTTTGTAATTCAGACTTGGTTGAATACATCACAATAGCATCTTTCCTGGTATCTCTGAAAATCTCATCGATTCCATTCTTCATCTTTTGAAGATTATCTTCAAAAATTTCAGTAAAACTCATGGGTACCAATTTCATTTTCTGACCATTATATCTAAATGTGTATGTGTTAGCAACGAAATTATGCGAACCATTATTATCATATACCCATGGTTGACCAAACAACAAAGAACATGCTTGCATAGGGACAAGATCAAAATTAGTAGTATCATGATAATTTCTAATCGAAAAGTTTATTCTCATAATTCTATTTACCTTGAACTTACCACAAGAGTTGAACCATTTGATGTAATATGGATGAGGATGCGGTTGTGTAGGCAACTCAAGTTTCTCAACCAAATCTGAACTCACCAAGTTATTGCAACTCTCACTATCGATTATGGTACGACATGCTCTATCCTTAACCACAAACTTTGTTTCAAATAATTCGTGGTACTACCATTGCTCCGCTTTCTCCATTTGAGAACTTAGCACTTGTTGCACCAAAGTACTGTCATCACGTGCACCTTGTTAGTATCGCTGATTTTGAGCGCCACTCATACCTGTCATTGCAAACACAAAAACAACAACAAACAATGAAGGTTATCCCTAATAATCTGCTACGCGGTGTAGTGGTGCCCCGCAACAACTCAGCCAAATGGAGCACCTTACCAAGCTCTTACAAGTGTCTTACCAGCAATGCTAAGAACGGTACAACCAGTGGCTGGTTTGTGACACCTTGAAGGACGTGATGTGGCAATTGCAAGGATCAAAGCGGTGCTGACCAGAAGTATATATGTGGAGCTTGGGAGGCACAATATATAGTAGCAAAGGAATGCAATTATGCTAATAAGAAAATGCAAAGTTGAATAATAGTTCAAAGTACTAGTCAATGTGCTGGCCTAGCCTAGACTCAACTCTAGCTCAAGCAAGCACCCGACACCACTAAAGACTAGATATGAATCAATGCACAACTTTGCACTCTGATAACATACTCAAAGGATGAATGATTTTTTTTCTTTCTTGGTGCGGCTTTTTTTAAGCACCTTTCTGCCCTTTTTTTTCTTTTTTTTAGGTGCGGACTTTTTTTTTGCACCTTTCTGCCTTTTCTTTCTTTATTTATTCTTTTTTTTACTTTTTTTTTCAACAAAAACTGACCACTGACCTTGAACATGGATTCAAATGTAAATATGAATATTACAGGGACTCAAACGCAAAGTGCAAAACTAAATTTGGATCATCTCAAAAATGGATTGCTCATATCATGTAGGTTCCGTTTTTATAAAAATATCTCAAATCCGCTGCTTAACAATTGTATAAAGAGGATAATACGGACAGTCACAGATACATCTGATCTGATCCGGAGTTTCTCTTCAACCGTACAGTATTCCCCCTCGCGCGCACAGTACACATGCACAGTACGGCAACTCCAAAACCGTTTGATAAAAATTTCTCCAAATCACAAAAATGGAAACCCGATGAGAGACGATTCAATTTTTCAAGGTCCCGGCAACAACCAACAAGATGCAAAACTGGACCCAAAATTGACGTACAACTCACACGTGATAAACCCTAGACACAAAGTGATGAACAGATGCAATACTCAAAACTAAAAATTAAATCTAAAACTAAACTAGCACTCGACACGACGATGCAATCTAGAATTCAACAAAGCAAAATCTAATAGAACAATGCAACGGCTCAAATTGTCTAGGTAAAGAGTAAATATTTTTTGTGTGGCAATTTTCTGGTTATGGGAAGATAAATTACCTAATGGGCAACCGCGCTCTGATACCACTTGATGCACTAGGGTTCCCGATCTTCCGAAAGGTTCTGATAAACAACGATTTGGGCGGAGTCGCGACACAAATCGATCTGGCTTCTTGAACGCGCTCGCTCTTAAGCCCTGCAATCGCAGCACCACGTCTCCTCTGGTTATCTCCCGTGCCGAAACGCGGATGACCTCGCCGAGAAGGCTAATCCCTATTTGCCAATCGAAGAACACAAACAAGAACGAGATAGAAAACAACCAAAATTGCAGATGAATGATTAAACTTACGAGTTGGGGTCTTACAAACCGATCTAGCGGCGTAACTGTTCTCGACAGATTAATCTAAGCAAAACCCAACTCTAAACGATGACGGCTACGGATTAAGTACGATTAGGACATCCTAGGGTTGCCCTAGGGCGCACACCCCCTTAGCTAAGCCCACGACACAATTACAAGGCCCAAAATCCGAGTCAGATTCGGACTGGATGAGATACGTGGCTTGTTTTGCAGATTCCCGGCAGCTCGGTAGGAATTTTGACGTGGGACCAAAACCATATGAAAATAGACTCCATAAGCTTTCCGACAAGTACTCATGGGCCCCGAAATTCCTTCTAGATCAGCGGCTAGGTCCGTTTGAAGTTGATGCTGTTAGGAGGCCCGAATCCGAATCCAAAACGTGTACAACTTGATCTCTTGTCTTCTATGGACCAAAAGTGACGTGGTGAGGTAGAAGTAGACTTGGAGAAGGTCTTGGTTTGGTCCCCAATCAACTTCTTTAATCATCTATGCATTAGTTACGTTCGGTCTCTTTTCTTTCGCCCAAGCAAGTACCTCTGCAAACGAAAACACACAAAACTCATTATGTAGCAACGTTTGTCCAAATATATAACAAGTAAATCTAATGTAGAACATATGCACATTTATTTGATTAATACATAAGGTAGTCATGGTTATATCCGAGCCCTCATCAGGCCCATGCATGTATGCAAGGCCCAGCTGAATGCCAGGCCCTCGTATGAGCGCAACATAGCGTTCTTTTTTTTCTTTTCTCGATCTCTCCCGTTGCAAGTATGTTCGCCTGTTATTTTGCGTGGAAACCGATTCCGTGAATAGGGACGTGCCACATGGCTTATCTCTCTAGTGATTAATTTGCATAGAATTCTTTTTATAAGATAACAAAATCCTATAGTTTTATGCAATTTAGAACGCAGTACCTATAATTAAGTGAAATTTACTCTTAATAATAAAAAAAAAGCCCCCAACGAAGTCTCTGCTTTGCCGATGCGACCGGTCTCACCTCCCCTACCCACGGCAGGCGCCAACTGAGCCCGGCGCTTCCCGTCCGTCTCCCTTCCTCCACCAGTCCACCCTCTCTCCTTTCCGTTCCGTTCCGTCCCCCAACGAATAAAAGCGCACCGCGTACATGCCTTCCACCGTGTCCTCCAAAGCACCAGCGCCGGCAGGAGGGCCCCCCGCCGGATTCGATTCCCGGCACGTCCTTCTCCTCCCTTTCTCGCGGGCGCCGCACGCCCCTTCCCCCTCCTCCTCCTCCTCTTGGTCTGATGAATGGGGAGAGCCTCCTCGACCGCAGCTCCTCCGCCGACGCCGCCATGAACGACGCCGTGCCCGGCCACCGCCACCACCACCCGCTTAGCGTCTTCCTCCGGGACGCCAGGTTGTTAACCGAGTCATCGGTCTATCGATTTTTTTCCCTTTCCATCTATTTATCTCTGAGTTTTTATTTTCTTGGGGGTCCTGTTGCAGGTTGGCGTTCAGGTGGGACGAGCTCGGGAGGGAGATCATGGGGATTGCGGTGCCCGGCGCGCTCGCCCTCATGGCTGACCCGGTCGCCTCGCTCGTCGACACCGCCTTCATTGGCCACATAGGTTTGCTTCTCTTCTCTCCTTATTTTCCTTATTTTTTTTAATTTTTTCCCCTTACTGCTGACTTCGTTGTGAAGTTTCCACCACCAGTTCTGACCTGCTCCAGGTGGGATTGGAACGTACTCTGTTCTACCCTTCGGCCTTGGTCGCACGATGTAATTTTAATACTACTAGATTTCTTTTCAGCTTGGAGCAAACCTAACCCAGTTCATTCCGTTAGTGGTAGGAATTAAGGTGTGGTGTTTGGTCCTGACTATTACGAAATTTATCTGGCTGTGCTGGTAATAGATCTCGCTTCCATAATGTCGAACCTAAAAAAATGAAGCAGTAGTTTGTAAAGTAGTAGAGTCTTTTGCCGACATCGTGGCTGATGGTTGCCATTGTTTAGAATATTGATACTAACCCTAATATTTCATTGCTAAGTATTAAAACAAAATTTTAATGCTTTCAATTCAAGGGTTAGTGTGTAGTTATGTAGTACGGTGCCCTTAAATGTCTTAACATCAAAGTTGATTGTCAGATAGGTTTTTTATTGATGAATTCTGTAAGAAAGCAATCAAAAAGCATAAAGTTGGATAATGACCATTGTTTAAGGTCAACGCAAACTGGCCATATTTTATATTCAGCAAGTATGTATGGTAATACTAATGAATCAATGTCATGTAAAATAGATGTAGAATTAATTACTGAAGTTTAGACCATTACTAATTCGTAGAGAATTCCAATTGGCTTTGATTTATATTTAGTTTAGCTACTTTATGTCTTGAAATTGAGTTTAGATCTTCTACGGCTAATTTGCTTTCTTGATGTGCTTACATTTGACTTCACCAGTTAGCTAAGAAAGTGCTTCTACGTTATCAAGTAGTAATTTGCCAAGAAGAAAAACAGCACCCCCTGCAGCAGCCACCCATGGCTTTTGTGTTAGTCAACCCATACATTTTTTAGTTTGTAATGTCAAACTGCCTACTAGATGTTGGCACTAGACTACATGTTCACCGTTATCCCAAATAAGATTATTAATGAACTTAATATTGCTCTTTCATTTATTTTTATTTATACATTTCAGCCTGCTTTGAATTTTGTATGAACTTTACTTCTTACTGTATTGTAATAGAAAAAAAGGGACACATTCTGATTTTCAAGTCTTTGACTTATTTTGTCTCAAGTTAATTTGATTCCTTTTGTTCAAAACAGGCCCAGTTGAACTTGCAGCTGTTGGTGTATCTATTGCCGTGTTTAATCAAGTATCAAGGATTGCAATATTTCCCCTTGTCAGTGTCACGACATCATTTGTTGCGGAGGAAGATGCTACATCCAGTGACAGAGAAAAATATGAAATAAATGGCGAGAATGAATTCAATGTTTCAGACAGTGAAATGGAAGAGCTGGTTTCTCATGAAGGTAAAACAGTTCTAATCTTCTTTTAAGAAACATTAGAAATTAAACAATGCTTATTTCTTTGACACTCAATCTTGCCACCAGAGGCTAGTGCTGCTCCCAGTAAGTCGTCTTTCGAAACTGACTCAAGTGATGTCAAAATTGAACATAAGCGGAAAAACATTCCATCGGTGTCTACAGCATTACTACTTGGTGGGGTGCTCGGCCTTTTACAAGCACTGCTTCTTGTTATTTGCGCAAAACCTCTCTTAGGCTACATGGGTGTGAAACAGGTATATGTTCCTTCATACCATTTCCTTTGTGGTAAAATCAATTATTTTGTCTAATCGTAAAGATGTAAACATCAAGGATTGAGTCATCATTTTTTCCTGTTTTTGAAAAATCTATCAATGGATGTTCTTTATCAAAATTTAATAACTGAGAACTCATCTATTATTAAGTTTAGCTCTGGATAGTTGGATGTGCACATATATATTGTAAGTACGAAGTATCACTAATGGAACTTAATTTTTCATGTATATTATGATCTGAATGAAATTGTAGCAACAAACTAGTGTATTGGTGAGTTTCATCATTAAGGACTTCTATGATTTTGGTTTTTTAATTCTAGAATACACTGTTTATTTATTATTTTTCACATCGGAGTCCTTTTTCTACTGAAATTTTCTGATAGGGCTCTGCAATGTTGATGCCAGCACTAAAGTACTTGGTAGTCAGATCTCTTGGTGCTCCTGCTGTGCTTTTATCTCTGGCAATGCAAGGGGTATTTCGTGGACTTAAAGATACAAAGACACCTCTTTATGCAACTGGTACAGTATTTCCTTGACTGCAGAATGGTGTATGCTGTATATAATCAAACCAAGTGTCTAAAATAATGATTATTTAAACTGTCCCTTCAAAGTCATTCTACTTGTGGTGGAATACTTTAATACTTTCTTTTAAGTTCGCAAAGTTAAGGCAAGATGACATGATATGAACTGGTGGGATCAAACACTTATGACCTACCGTACATTATTCATGTAATAAAATGCATGACTGTAGAACATGTGTCTCTTGTAGATGGTATATTTAAATGCATGAGATGTTACGATTAGTGAATAATTTGCCTCAGGATAATACATATACCTAATGGTGTTAACTCTTTTTATACCAGTGGCTGGAGATGCAACCAACATAGTTTTGGATCCAATATTTATGTTTGTCTTCCAGTATGGTGTCAGTGGTGCAGCAATTGCTCATGTTATATCACAGTATGTAGCACAATTCTCTCTTATAATATCATTGTTTTTTACCCGTGAAGTTGGATGACAAACTATGTCCAAAAGTATATAATACCTTTCTTCTACCTCTTGTGATAGTGTATGGTGGAAAATTCTGCAGATATTTCATTGCATCCATTCTCTTATGGAGGTTAAGGCTACATGTTGACCTACTTCCACCCAGCTTTAAACATATGCAGTTCAGTCGATTCCTTAAAAACGGTAATTCTTTTCTAATATTTTTGGGTTCCAACTAAGACATGGCCCTTTTTTTTTGCCACAAACCATTTTACAATACCTGGTCTTCATAGGATGATAATTATTAATATCCATTTTCTCGTATGCATTCTTAGATTTGATTTTTTTCATTGAAAGTGCATACTTAATTCAAAACAGCAAATTAACTATTTATTTCCTTTTTTACATTTGGGTTATGCCTGCTTGACTTTCACATTGTTTTAGCACATAATTTCATTCTAAACGCAAGTTGCCCTTGCTTGTTTCAATTATTTTACTTGAAACATTTCTGGTTATATAAAACTCGTTCTCACTTTTCACACTTCAGGTTTCCTATTACTTGCCAGAGTTATTGCTGCAACATGCTGCGTGACACTATCTGCATCAATGGCTGCACGGCTAGGTTCAGTTCCAATGGCTGCATTTCAGATTTGCTTGCAGATCTGGCTGGCTTCGTCTCTTCTTGCTGATGGATTGGCTTTTGCAGGACAGGTAAGGGAACAGTTGTCTCCACTCACTCCAATGCTGACAATACTGAAGGTTTCTATTGAACCTTCATTTTAATGAAAAATTCTACCTCAGTAACTGCACCAAAGGGTATATAATTGAGTTTTCTAAATTATCTAACGTTGGAAACAGATAATGAGATGTATCAGCATGAACTGAAATGAATTTGCATTTTGTTCTTATGCATCTGGATCATATTTTGACAGGCTATACTTGCAAGTGCATTTGCTCGTCAAGACCATTCTAAGGCCGCAGCCACAGCTTCTCGTATATTGCAGCTGGGATTGGTTTTAGGACTTCTCCTAAGCATTTTTCTTGGCATTGGCCTCCGTTTAGGATCAAGGTTATTTACTGATGACCAGGATGTTCTACATCATATTTACCTAGGCATACCGGTAAACTTTCTTTATACTGATGCCAAAATAATTACAATTTTAAGTCATATTGTAGTTAGGATTCCTCAGTTGTGTGCGGGAGCCTGATGTTCCTTTATGATATCTTTCCTACTGTGCATTGGGATGCCTGCCTACTGTCAGAGTTACCTGGAATTTTTTTAACTAAAGAGTTATTTTTCCTGTTCAGTTTGTCTCTCTGACTCAACCAATCAATGCGTTAGCTTTTGTTTTTGATGGTATCAATTATGGAGCATCAGATTTTGGATATGCTGCTTATTCAATGGCAAGTCAACTAGTCAACACCTATGTCCTTCTATCTGTATTTTCAATCCTTTTTTTTTCACATATTTTTGTTGAATTCATTGTCCTCAGATTCTTGTGGCAATTGTCAGCATCATCTTCATAGTCACACTAGCAAGTTACAATGGTTTTGTCGGAATTTGGATAGCTTTGACAGTCTACATGAGCCTCCGAATGCTTGCAGGATTCTTAAGGTACAATCAGTCAAAGCATTATCTTTTCTAACCTGAGTATTTGATTACAAACCTTTATTACAATGACAAACAATAGTTATAAGTCTTCAGTAATGATTGCTACAACCAGAATCACCACCAAACAGTTCACAGGACACCACTACACCAGCTTTCTCCCAGTCTGCACAGGCACACACCCTAAAAGCTAACATTCCATAGGGAACATCACAATCTGGCAATTCATGGTCAGGAATAAATTCACATTGACAGGATCAACACCACCCTGTGATAAGGAACATCAATAAGACGTGCAGCCACTAGTCTCGTGCCCTCGCCATGCCCTTCCCCCATGGCTAAAACAGAAACCACTTTGCTCTAGCATCTATCAACTCGAATGAGAATAGATGCTATCATGATGAGGACCAATACGAGTAACAGCAAGCATCATACCCCAGCTTTAGAGCTCAACACCAAGGAAGAAAAGTTGCTGATTATAAGAAGTGATTTGTGTCAACGTGCACTTGGCAAATAAAAGAGGTAGCTAGAATGTAGTAATGTATCCCCGTGAGGCCGTGACAGACGAAGCAAGAAAAATACCAAAACTTTGTGCTATATGCCTACAAATGTAGTTTCATCTCAAATACGAAAATAAAAACTTAAATTCGTTTTATACCTACTGCAGTGTCATTCGTTTTCTATATTGATTTTACAAGTTTGCAATAAATCGCTATACTAAATTTTCAGGATAGGGACTGCACGAGGACCATGGACTTTCTATGCAGCTCAACGCATGCATTCTCATGAGGTGGTTGGACTTTGTTGAACAATACTATAGGAAGACACCATGGATACTTTGTAAGGTTTTGCAGGTTTGGTGGGAATGGAGGTTGTTTGAACAAAAGAAAATATTCAACTGTCATGTACATAGATAATCACACATGTTACTACTATTCTAATAGATTCTCCCCTGTCGTGTATGTTGTATTTGCCCATGTATAGTTCAGTATGTTCGGCTGGCTATTTTGTAACAAGTTTGGATATAAAGTCACGTAGCATAAGATGTTTGCACACCGTGAGATATACGGAGCATTGGCATTTGATTTTTAAAACATTAATGGAAATTTTACCAGATGCCAACGACAAGTGATCGGTTCTGTGAATTATTATTGACGGACAAGTTTTTGAAACTCCGCATGTTGCTGCGAGAGTTTAGTAAAATAGCTAGACGACATAGCTTACATAAGTTGATATGATTTATGATAATTTAAAAAGTATATAGAATGATGATTTAAATGTAAAATTAAGGTGATATGGCTTTATAAGAGAAGAAAAGAAGGAAGATAATTTAGTTCATAGATTAATCATCTAAGAACTTAAAAATAATTGAGTGGTATAGCCATCACATAACCACGATCCGAAGCCACACCGAGCAATCACAGAACTACGATCCGAAATAACTAGCTTTATACCTGTCAAGGTTGGATGCGGCCAAGTGGTGAGGGTGAGAATAATCCGAAGCCTCCTGGACTCTGACCTGTCAAACCGAACAATCACAGAACCACAATCTGGGACTAATCCACACAAGAGACCCGAGAGCCAAAAGCACGAATTAGGGGGCACCAGAGGAGCCTTCTCACAAATCCAAAAGAACTCACAAGAACAAAGGGGTAAGACACTTATGTAGTCTTCAGCAATCTCTCATATATGAGGATTTCAATTGAACAAAAGTTATCTAATGGATGGAGTAGAGAGGTATTTATACTAGGAACATCCCTCCTAGCTGAGGTTGTGAATATAAGAAGCCACGTTCTGATGGTCAAGGCTAACATAAATGAGAATGCAAAGCGTTTTCTCGGGTTCGCGCACATCCCTTTAGCTCCTGCACAGGCTTCAGTAAAAATGCCATAACTTTTTCTTGGAAAATGATATTGAGGTGGGGTTTGATGCATTGGAAATTAGATTTGTCCCTCTTTCCAACCATGTATGCATGCAACCCGTCTTTTGACTGGCTGGGTCGCACAAGCCTTGGAAGTTGAGCCTTTGCAGCGTAAACCATCTTCTTGTTGGCGTAGACAGCTACTGGTTGGGCATGAACTGATTCCTCCTCGACGTAACCCTTGTCGTCCTCAACATAACCTATCCTTCTTGGCGTAGTGATGATATCCTCGGGCGTAAACCTTAGCAATACAAAGGTAGAGCATTTAGGTAGTATAAAATTCTCACTAAAATTTGGGTTAAGTTGAGCAAAGAGCGAGTTCACCTCTTGTTGTATTTTCCTAGCATGGCTGCGCATAATTGGACCATGATATGCTTGATCGTTCTTGGTGAAATGTAATCCATCAACTTGATTTACGTCATCTTCATTTTCTTCATGTGATGTATGACGTAAACCATCACCCTTGTTTACGTCAAGTGTAGCTGGGATATGCTCATCAAGGAGCATCCTTAGTTAGCAGGCAAGTTAAGGGTCTAGCAACTAAAGTGAAATGTTTAATCAAGCGCCGATAGAACCTTGCACGAGCTAGGAAGCTATTTACTCCTTTAACATTGGTAGGATGTGGAAGCTGTTGAATGACTTCTATTTTTGTTCTATCCACCTCTACCCCCTTTCGAGGACTGGTGTTCTAGGACTATACCTTCATGGACCATGAAGTTGCATTTTTCCTAATTAAGTACCAAATCATTTTCTTAACACCGTTGCAAGACCATATCTAAATTTATGAGACAATAACAAATTTTTTTTCATAGACTGAGAAATCGTTCATGAAAACTTTCATGATTTCCTTGATCCTGTTGGGGAAGATAGATATCATAGACCTTTGGAATGACGCAAGTGTATTGCACAACCCGAACGACATTCTACAATTTTTTTATAGAAATGTTGCTTTAAAATCATACTACCCATTTTTTAAGTTTTTTTTAGCTAATACTTAATTAATCGTGCACTATCGTTCCGTTTTCCGTGTGGGAGGTGAGGGTTCCTAAATACAGTCTAAATTGGGATGGAAGGAGTAACATTTTAGGGCAGAGGAAGTACAGAGTTTCATCAAAGCAGCCCTGCGAAGTGGCAGCATCGGAGTTTTCCTAATGCGCGATCGATCGTGCGCCCTCAGTACAGAGTTTCATCAAAGCGGCCTTGCGAAGTAGCAGCGATGGAGTTTTCCTAATGCGCGATCGATCTCCCGCGCCGAGGGCGCGCGATCGGGAAAGCCACATCCGTCCCCTAACACACTCCTCTCCTCTTCCTTCTCCCTTATTCTCTTCCTACTACACCATACATTTAAAAAAATAAAAAAACACAAGTTAGAGAAAAGTTAAAAAATAGAAAAAAAATCTAATACTCTTATTTATATGCATAGACTATATACTTACGTACAGACTTTATACCGTAAACATCGCACGTATAAACTTTATGTACAGAAATACTATATATTAAAAATATTTGAATTCAAATTCAAATTTGAATCGGGTATATAAACTTCTGACTTATAAACTTTGGGTTTATAAACTTTAGCTGTAAAAACTTTAGATGTATAAACTTTAGATATATAAATTTTAGGTGTACAAACTTTAGATATATAAAGTTACTAAAATAATAAAGTAAAGCGGTGTTAAAAAAAGGAAACTGCGTGGGGAGGGAACTGATCGCCTAGCGCGATCGATCGCCCAATAGGTTTTTCGGCTGCGACTCACTCAGTCGCTCCCTCGACAAGTTCACAAATCGTCTCCCCTTCTCCGACCATCCAATCCATCGGTTCGGCTCAAGTGCTCAACCCTCCGCAGATCGCCACCGCCTCTTTCGCCTGATCTCATCCCTGACGCTCCTCCTCCTCAACCCAACACATGTGCCTTCCCTCCCTCTCCCTGGCTCCACCACCTCGATCTTCCGACGTCTCCACCCCCTGCTCGTTCAATCCAACACCGACGCCCCCTCCCCCTTCGGCCCTTCCCGCCACCATCCACTACCTTGGCCTTCGCCCACGGTCCCCTCCATCTGATGCTGCCACTTCCGCCTCCCCCAAGTCCCTTTCTTTGGCTCCTCTTTCCCAATTGCGCTCGTTCACAAACTTGAGCGACGACAGAGCACTGGGCATGGGCGAGCTTCGATTGGAAGGGCACTTGCAGAGGAATGATAAGCAAGTGCGCTCGATTGACAAGAGACGTGTCTGGTTTCTAATGATTCCATTGAGGTATAGTATCTCTACTTTTTTTTTCCTTTTTCATTCTGTTTTAGATAACAAATCCATCGGATTTTGATGATTGGTGGAACGATCGTATTGTGTTGTTTTCTCTGAGTAAATTTATCAAAACCACTCGTTCCGTGGTACAAGTAGGAGAAAACCACTGATACTTTGACAGTTGGCACTTAATTAGTGCTCATTGCCACAATCTCCTTTGTGTGAAATTTACTCCAGTTACTTCATTCTCCTTATCCTTACTGCCATATTTATATTTTAGGTCTTAATTAAAGTACAAGCACATGACAATCCACTATAACTTATACTATCCACTCAATTACAAAAGGGCAAAAGGCTGCTATGAGTAGTTTTGCCAACGGGTATGTTTGATGATCAAAAGGTAAAATTAATGTTCATAGCTACATGCTTCTTTTTTTAAGACATTTTTATCATCTACTCCCTCCGTCCCATAATGTAGCAACCTAGGATGGGTCATCCCATCCAAGGACTAGGATGGGTCTCATCTCATCCTAGGTTGCTACATTATGGGACGGAGGGAGTAGATGCCTGATAAAGTGTCACTATGAAAAGACCCTTAGGTCGTTTGCTGGGAACAATGTTGAGCATTTAAGTTGTACAGCCAGCTACAACTTTATGATGTTAAAGTTGTATTGTGTTTGGCAACCCAAGGTGTGTGCTAATATGAGATAGAATAATTTATCTTACTAGATCCAAATCTATTATCTATGTAACAAGTTCTTAAAATAACTGTTGTTCAATTGTTCATCCCTGGAAACCTTACCTCCATCCTCCATCCTCATAATCCGTGATGGTCTATTTCGTATTCAAGTAAAGGACAAAAATACTTAAACTAAGCTCCTTTATATATGTTATGGCTGCATGGAGGTGCAACGTTGCATTAAGAAAATTGGTGATAGGAACTGATAACATGTATCTTCCATTTTAAATTCTGAGCACTGATCAGTCCTGCTAATATTTATGGCAGTATTTTAGAATGCATTATCTTCATAGTCACCAAAAATATAGTTCTTTAGCTGGGTACCAAAGTGGTTCTTGGCATGTTGATGTGCTGCAAGCCTGCAAATAAATATCGTAGAGTATTCCATCAGGCTATCCTTTATCTATTGTCTGCTATCTGGTAAAAGATATCCTTGATGTCTCCATGGTTTGTGATTGGAACAAGTACATTTTTGGCCCTTGAACTCTTCTTGAAGTCCATTTTGCACCATGAACTAAAACACTATTTCTTTTTTTCCGCAATCAACTTTCAAAACCGGACAAGGAGTCTATTTTTGGTGGTTTTATTTGCGATGACAGTGGTTTTGCTAGTGTAGACTCCTATTACACATTTTCCTGATGACGTAGTTAGGTTACATCAATATGTTAGGAGCTACGATTCGTGGCTCCAAAACACACACACACACAAGGGATAGAGATGGAGAAGCAACACTGGAACAGAGAACAACCAGAGAGGAACAGAGGAGCAGATAGAGATAGATTGGATTAATTCTTGCTTGCCATTAACCTTAAACACTCCGGCTCTTAATAGCCTTACAATCCAACTAATGGCGCTAAAAGGAAGGGATAAAACAACTTAACAAACTTCAACTAATGTTGCTAAGATAAAGGGATAAGCAGCAGCACTAAACAGCCGTGCCGCCCGGCCCTATAGCTCGTCCGGCACCAAGCCCAGCTTGCTGCTTGCGCCGGCGGAAGGGAATTCCCCACATAACATCTCTCCCCCCCTCGATCAGTAGCTCGTCCGCGAGCTGGAACGAGGGATATCGGTTGCGAAAGTCGTCCAAGTCCTCCCAAGATGTGGCCGATGCCGGCAGTCCTTCCCATTGAACCAGAAGCTGGCGCACCCCTCGAGCCAAACGGGCGCGCAACACTTGGCGAGGAACAGGTTGGGCCGCTCCATGCTGAATGGGTGGCAAAGCCAGTGGTGCCGATGGCGACACACCCACGAACGGCTTGAGCAGTCCGACATGGAACACATCATGAAGCCGTGTCCCCGGCGGCAATGCGAGGCGATACGCCACCTCGTTGATGACGGCGACGACGCGGTATGGCCCGTAGAAGCGAGGACGAAGCTTGCCCTTGACAGCCTCCGGGAGGGACGCAGGAACGCGGTGGCGAACGCGGAGCCACACCCACGCCCCCACCTCGAACGACACCTCCCGGTGCTTCTGATCATAGTAGCGCTTGGCATACTGTTGTGCTTGTTCCAGGCGGAGACGAACATCAGCGAGGAATGCGTCGCGCTCCTCAATGGACTGTGCCACCGCTGCCACCCGTAGCTCGCTTGCGTCGTATGCCCGGATTGAGGGAGGATCGCGGCCATAGACCAACTTGAACGGCGTGTCACGAAGGGCGGCGTGGAAGGAGGTGTTGTAGATGTACTCTGCCCACGGCAGCCAGCGCAGCCACTGGCGGGAGCGATCTCCGGTCATGCAGCGGAGACACATGGCAATGGCCTTGTTCACGGCCTTCGACTGGCCGTCCGACTGTGGATGGAACGCCGTACTGCGGTGGAGCTTGGTGCAGGTGGCGGTGAAGAGGGCTGTCCAGAACGCCGACGTGAAGACGGGGTCCCGGTCTGAAACGATGGACTCCGGCACCCCGTGTAAGCGCACGATGTCGACGAAGAACGCACGCGCCACCGTCTCCGCCGTGTACGAATGTGCGAGGGCGATGAGGTGGGCGTACTTGGAGAATCGATCGACGACGGTGAGGATGACCGACTTGCCGCCAACGCGTGGAAGGCCCTCGACGAAGTCCATCGCGACATCGGACCAAATGGCAGATGGTACCGGGAGTGGAAGCAGGAGGCCCGCGGGATGGAGGTGGTCCGTCTTGTTGCGCTGGCAGGTGAGGCAGCCTTGGATGTGATCGTGGACGACACGCCGGTCGTCGGGCGTGTGGAAGTCGCGGCGGAGTCGATGAAGTGTTTTTTGGATGCCCTCGTGTCCGTCATCATGCGCCGCGGCGACGACGACTGACACCCATGGTGAGCCCGGCGGAATGTAGATGCGGCGCTTGTAGGTGACGAGGCCGTCGATCACCGCCCATGGTGTTGTGCGCGTGCCGGAGTTGATCTCGTCGCGGAGGGCTTGTAGTGCCGGATCGGTGTCCCCCGCCGTGCGGATGTCTTTGAGGAGATCGAACGTCGGCGTGGAGAGTACGAAGGCCTGGCTGTCTGGTGCGGCGCGGCAAGACAGAGCATCCGCCGCCGCGTTCTGTTTGCCTGGCTTATATTCAACCACAAAATCAAACCCCAACAATTTGCTTACCCAATGATGTTGCGGGATCGTGGATAAGCGTTGGTCAAGAAGGAATTTGAGGCTGTAGTGATCCGTCTTGACGATGAATTGCCGCCCCCACAGGTACGGCCGCCAGTGTCGCACTGCTTGCACCAAGCTGATGAGCTCACGCTCGTACGCGGCGAGCGCGTGATGGCGTGTGGCGATGGGCCGACTGAAGTAGGCGATGGGGTCTTCGCCTTGGTGAAGAACTGCTCCGAAGCCGGTACCGGATGCGTCGCATTCGACCACGAATGGGCGGTTGAAGTCGGGAAGGCTGAGGACCGGCGTGGTTGTGAGGGCGAGCTTGAGGCGCTGGAACGCATCATCGGTCGCCGGCGCCCATGCGAAACTGTCCTTGCGGAGGAGCTGCGTGAGTGGAGCCGCCACGGAACCGAAGTCTTGAATGAACTTGCGGTAGTAGCTGGCCAGACCGAGGAAGCCACGGAGTTCCTTGGGCGAACGGGGGCGCGGCCACTCAGCTACCGCTTGAATCTTGGCGGCGTCCATGGCGAAGCCGTGCTGCGAAATGATGTGGCCGAGGTACGCTACGCTTGGGTCGCCGAACGAACACTTGGTGTGCTTGACGAAGAGCTGGGCTGCCCAGAGCGCGGTGAAGACGGTGCGCAGGTGCTGCAGGTGCGACGTCCACGTTGGGCTGTAGACGAGGATGTCGTCGAAGAAGACCAAGACGAAGCGGCGGAGAAACGGCCGGAGCACGTCGTTCATGAGTGATTGGAACGTGGCCAGTGCGTTTGTGAGGCCGAACGGTATGACGAGAAACTCGTAGAGCCCATCGTGTGTACGGAACGCCGTCTTGTCGATGTCGTCAGGGTGCATCCGGACTTGATGGTAGCCGGACCGCAGATCGAGCTTGGAGAAGATGGCGGCGCCGTGCAGTTCATCGAGGAGCTCGTCGACGACGGGGATGGGGTATTTGTCTTTGACTGTGCGCTCGTTGAGAGCCCGGTAATTGACGCAAAAGCGCCATGACCCATCTGCCTTCTTCACCAGCAGCACCGGCGATGAGAACGCCGACGTGCTCCGGTGAATCAATCCATTTTCCTCCATCACCCTGCACTGGCGTTCCAGTTCGTCTTTGTGGCGGACGGGGTAGCGGTACGGGCGTACCGCCACCGGGGCTGTCCCGGGCAGCAACTGGATGCGATGTGAGCGGTCTCGGGCCGGCGGCAATCCTGTAGGCTCGGTGAAGACGTCCGCGAATTCCTCCAGGAGGGAGTCCAGTAGTGCCGCTGGAGCGCACGCCAGAGCACGGGGTCGCTGGTGTCCCGGCAACCCGTGGAGCGTGACGCGGTGCCAGAAGGACATTGTCAGCACCGTGAAATCCTAGAGGATCGGCCCCAATGTCGCGAGCCACTGTGTTCCCAGCACGAGGTCATAGCCACCCAGAGTCAGGACGTAAACGTCCGTGGCGAATTCCTCGCCGGCGATCTGTAAAGGCATGTCGGGGAAGACGCCGGGGCACGCCACCTTGTCGCCGTTCGCCACCGTGACGTTGAGGCCCATGCGGGGCTGAGGAGCCCGACCGACACGTGCCGCTGTATCCTGAGACAGGAACGTGTGCATCAAGCCGGAGTCGATGAGGGTGTAGAGGTCGGTGTCGCCGAGGTGGGCCGTGATGTGCATGGCGTCGGACGCGCGAACTCCGGTGGCCGCATGCAGAGAAATCCGGAGTGTGGCGGCCGCGTCTGCTTGGTCGGTGGCGGAGTCGTTGTCGGTGTCGTCCTCCCCCAACTCCAGGAAGAACAATCGGCGGCACAATCGGTTGTGGCCGCGCGAATAGGGCTCGTCACAGTTGAAGCAGAGACCTTGTCGTCGGCGCTCATCCATCTCCTCCGGTGACAGGCGGCGGACGGTGCGGTTGATCGCGGTGGCGTGCCTGCCGGTTAGGCGGCGGTGGCCGGCTCTGGAGCCGGCGCCTGGGGGTTGGCCGCCGGAGGAAGTGGTAGTATGCCGCGGCCGGCGTGTCGTGGCGGGCGGGGTGGCCGGGCTGCGAGTTCGCGGCGTTCGAACGAACGAGCAAGACTCATGGCCTCTTCTAGCGTCGTCGGATGCTGCATCTGCACATCTAAACTCATCGGTTCCTGCAAGCCAACCGTAAACAGTTGTACCTGTTGATCCTCGGAGAGGTAGCCGGTGCGCGTGAGCAGGTCAAGGAAACGCTCGGCGTAGTCATCCACCGTGGTCGTTCGCCGGCAGGCTGCCAGCTCGCCCAGAGGCGTCGAGTGCAGAGGTGGACCGTAGCGCATGTTGAGCAACTCCGAGAAGCGATGCCACGAAGGCGGTTCATGGTCACGTTCAAGGCGAGTGTACCACTGTTGCGCGCCGTCGAGCAGATGGTAGGAGGCGAGCCAGACTTTGTTGTCCTCCGGCGTGCGTTGGCCCCGGAAGAATTGTTCACAGCGGTTGAGGAAGGGGAGCGGATCGCCGCGGCCGTCGAACTTGGGAAAGTCCAACTTGTGGTAGCGTGGAGGACGATCGCCATCGCCGTCGAAGCGGTGGCCGCCCGGACGTCCATGCCCATGAAAGCCATCGCCGCCGCGACCGTAGCGGTCGCCGCGGCCGACGTTGTGATGGGCAAAGCGGCCCCCATTGCGATCGCCGACGTCGCTCAGGTCGTCGAAGCGAGAAGAGGGAGCGCGGGCGCCATTCTCCAAGCGGTTGATGGCCAAGGTCTGGGTACGTTGCTGCTGGTCGATGTCGGTGATCAGGCCGCTGAGCTCCTCCAGCCGGCGCATCATGTCGTCGAAGCGTTGGCGCCAAACGTCGTCGTTAGCGCCGGCCATGGCAGAAATGGAAGCGGAGGATCGGTGGAGACTGATACCAAGATGTTAGGAGCTACGATTCGTGGCTCCAAAACACACACACACACAAGGGATAGAGATGGAGAAGCAACACTGGAACAGAGAACAACCAGAGAGGAACAGAGGATCAGATAGAGATAGATTGGATTAATTCTTGCTTGCCATTAACCTTAAACACTCCGGCTCTTAATAGCCTTACAATCCAACTAATGACGCTAAAAGGAAGGGATAAAACAACTTAACAAACTTCAACTAATGTTGCTAAGATAAAGGGATAAGCAGCAGCACTAAACAGCCATGCCGCCCGGCCCTGTAGCTCGTCCGGCACCAAGCCCAGCTTGCTGCTTGCGCCGGCGGAAGGGAATTCCCCACATAACAAATAAATGAGGCCATGCATGTGATTTCTGTGTTTCAGTTGACTGCAAGAACCCTCCAAGCAAATGATGCAGATTATATTTCAGGATGGAGTTCTCTAAATATACTTTAAGATCAGTGCTATACGTACTAAAAGTTTCTTATAAAACTCTTACAAACAAATATCTTAACCATTAATTTATTTACTCAGTTGGTAGTTATGAAAAATCAAGATACAAGTACATCATGCCATATAAGTTCTAAAGAGTCAGTAAGATTCTTTTTGGTATGTGTCATTTTCCATCTTTAAATAGTGTATCATCCATCATGTTAGACCAGATTCTATTTTAGTGATACTAGGAACATGACGTACAATTAACTTTGCCAACTATGTGAAAAAAAATGAAGCATCATTCCAGTTGTTACCTAATGTAATTCTGATTTCTGTATTAGCAGCTGTCTAATTATGTTTTTTTCTTCACTTAATTTATAAACTTTAATTAGAATTACATCCTAATGATAGCATCTCCTTTTGTGTACAGTTGCACTTCAAGGGTTTAGCAGAATTACTCAAAACATTTCCTGTAACTAATGAATTTGACAAAAAAAATTGTAAGAGATGTTGATGGTCTTGTGATTTAAATCCTTAAGTATGTCTTTAATAACCTGGAATAATCTACACCAATTTTTGTAGTGTTATTTATTCCATTAGTAAAAGTTGGTGTGCATTCATGAATTAAATATCAAACGATGTTTGACAATTATTCTTACCATTTGACAGATGCCACTGGGCAGATAATTAAATTATTGTTTAAATTTTCATGAACTTGATATATTTACGCAGGTTGATGTTCCATCGAAAACATAGGGTCCTCAAACGTTACTACTAACACGAAGGTGTAAAAATGCCAGTGCCCTCTTATATGTCAAATTGAACATAAATCACTGCGAGCAACAATTATTCTCCCTGCATCCAGGTAATCTACATGTTTTTTTTTACGTGAAAGCGGCAAGAGTATTGCCGAATATATTAGAAGGAGAAGTGCGGGTTGCATAGTTGTTACAAGTGGACTATTACAGTATGAATGTAAGCAACTCACAGAGGTAAAAGCTGAAAATATCAGCATATCGCAGCTTATAACAACCGAATCGTTCAAGGAGGTTGGAAAGTGATCTGGTTTTCTTGGATATCATCGTTGATTTGCTGAGCAGCTCTTTGGACGTTCGGTTCTTCCCCTCTGAAGATCTTCGCGTTTCTCTGCAGCCAGACACAGGTAATCTATATGTCAATCTGCAATTACATACAAATATAACACAACACTGAAAGCAAAACTCAAACAGTATCAATCAATGACCATCTAGGTTGACGGAGTCAAAGGCATCTGTTTCGGTTGTTGCTGATAGGTTTCATGTCATTTTTTTCAGATAATGAATAGGTTTCATACCAGTATTAGTATAGCTTTTCGAATCTAAGTACCAATTTGTGGTTTCCAACAATCAGGTTCAAATCTAGATACAAATTTGTACCGTACAGCATTTAGGTTAATTGGTTAATCATGTTTAGAGGGGCAACGTGAAAAACACAAGCATACTTGGTTTGTGGAAAAGGTTGATTCTGCACTAGTATTTACATCACTTTCCAGTCCAACTTTTACACTTTTGAGTGGGCTAGATGGGAGAGGAAACTTAATCACGGAGTGTTAATGTGTGTGTTAGTTGGCAGTAAAAAGATACTGTTATCAGCCTGGGCTTAAATTGACCTGTTTTGATATTTCAGAATATTTGATAAATGCGAACTTAATTTTTGAAGTCCTTAGTATAATTTAAAATTCTGACTAACCAAACTTAAAACCTTATAATCATACAATATATTAGAAACCAAATTTATTTAGGTACACTTAAATTCCGCAAATCATATACTGGACCTTGGATGTGTTCTGTTATGTTGCTTGCATCCATGCCATGCAAACATTAGTGTTGCCATGTTAGCTCTTGACATTGCTCACTCATGACCAACATACTAAGCATGCAAATAGTTTTGTTGTGAAACTACCTCTAAACGATGCAATGCTAGAACCAAGGTATGTATTACGAAAAAAAAAAAGAACCAAGGTATGTATTTACCTCTTCAGAGATAAGTGCCTAAGTGGAGCGTGTCAGAAAAATTCTTTTCAGTAAGCGCTTGCATGTCTGCCTGCCACAAAATGGGGCATGAATCTCCCAAGATATCTTTCACCACTTTCCTACTTGCATTTGCATGGCATGTCATACACTCCGGAATAATCTGTTGAATAGACTTTTTGTGATGGCTTTGATTTCTTTTGAAACAACTTGATGTCTTTATTTTCCAATCTACCAGCGCCTACAAGCTTCTGGTCCTAACATTACGTTTACGATTAGTGCTTTGTGCACTTGCTTTTCTTTTCATTTTGAATGGGAACAGTAGGAAAGGATCCTACTATAGTTTCCTGCACAATCTCACTCGGGTAATCGGGTTGACCAATTGTCAAGGTCTTGGGTGTAGAACGCACCATTTGCTTGCATGCACGATGGAATGGGTAGATAAAACATTAAGGCCTATATATGCAGCCCCGAGAAGTAACACTGTCTTGTTGCCAATGCATCATACACACTGAGATATGGCGCTTGGATTTCCAGAATGCATATCCGCTGTTGTGTTGATCTCTTTGTCCACTATGATTGCTGCTTCTTCGGGTCTGAGTATGAGCAACAGCAGCAACACTGACCTCACTGCACTGATGGCTTTCAAAGCGCAGCTCTCCGACCCTCTCGGCATCCTTGGAAGAAACTGGACTGTTGGCACCCCGTTTTGCCATTGGGTTGGGGTCTCCTGCCGCCGCCACCGGCAGCGTGTTACTGCTGTGGAGCTGCCAGATGTTCCCCTGCAAGGAGAGCTCAGCCCTCACATCGGTAACCTCTCTTTCCTATCTGTACTCAACCTCAGCAACACCGGCCTCATGGGTTCAGTCCCGGATGATATAGGAAGGCTGCATCGCCTCAAGATCCTTGATCTTGGTCACAATGACATGTTAGGAGGTGTCCCAGCCACCATAGGGAACCTGACGAGGCTTGATGTTCTTGATCTCGAGTTTAACAGCCTATCTGGTCCAATCCCAGTAGAGTTGCGTCTCTCGCACAACCTTCGCAGCATAAATATCCAGATGAATTACCTCACCGGCTTGATACCAAATGGCCTATTCAACAATACACCTTCATTAAAACATCTAATCATCGGCAACAACAGCCTGTCTGGACCGATACCAAGTTGCATTGGCTCCTTGCCATTGCTCGAGCGCCTTGTCCTTCAGTGCAATAATCTCACCGGGCCAGTGCCACCTTCAATCTTTAACATGTCTAGACTACATGTTATTGCTCTTGCCTCAAATGGCTTAACTGGCCCTATCCCAGGCAACAAAAGTTTCATCCTCCCGATTCTGCAATTTTTCTCCCTCGACTACAATTATTTCACTGGTCAGATTCCACTAGGGCTTGCAGCGTGTCGGCACCTTAAAGTTTTTTCCCTGCTTGATAATTTGATTGAGGGTCCTTTGCCCTCATGGCTGGGCAAGTTAACCAAACTCAATGTCATCTCCTTGGGTGAGAATCTCCTTGTTGTTGGTCCAATTCGAGATGCACTAAGCAACCTCACCATGCTGAATTTCCTAGACCTCGCAATGTGCAACCTAACAGGAGCCATCCCAGCGGATCTTGGACAGATAGGCCATCTTTCAGTCTTGCGTCTTTCAACAAATCAACTAACAGGACCTATTCCTGCTTCTCTTGGTAACCTGTCTGCATTATCTGTCCTGCTATTGGATGACAACCACTTGGATGGTTTACTACCAACAACAATTGGCAACATGAACTCATTAACAGAACTTATTATTTCTGAAAACGGCCTACAGGGGGATCTCAATTTCCTTTCTGCTGTTTCAAACTGTAGAAAGCTTTCTGTTCTATGTATCAACTCCAATCGTTTCACGGGAATTCTCCCAGACTACCTGGGGAACCTATCAAGTACGCTGGAATCATTCCTTGCATCCAGAATCAAGTTAAGTGGTAAACTTCGGCAACCATTTCTAATTTAACTGGCCTCAAGCTGCTAGATCTTTCGGAAAACCAACTGTTTAGTGCACTACCAGAATCAATCATGGAGATGGAGAATCTCCATATGCTTGATCTCAGTGGAAATAACTTGGCGGGCTCCATCCCATCAAACACGGCAATGCTAAAGAATGTCGTAATGTTGTTCCTTCAAAATAACGAATTCTCTGGCTCCATAATAGAAGACATTGGCAACCTCACCAAATTAGAGCACTTAAGATTATCTAATAATCAATTATCATCAACGGTACCACCGAGTTTATTTCACCTTGATAGCCTCATTGAGTTAGATCTGTCTCGAAACTTGTTCAGTGGTGCATTGCCAGTTGATATAGGTCATCTGAAGCAAATTTACAAGATGGACCTCTCTAGCAACCACTTTCTTGGGAGCCTGCCAGATTCAATTGGGCAAATTCAGATGATAACCTACTTGAACCTATCCATTAATTCATTCAATGATTCGATTCCAAATTCTTTTGGTAACCTGACTAGCTTGCAAACTTTGGATCTATCGCATAACAATATTTCT